AGCTGTTTACATGCAATTATGATGAAATGAACAACTAAACTGATGTTAATTGGCCTGTTTTGGCCTGTTCATTGAACTGTCACTTGTCAATCATCTGGTTAAAAATCAGGAGAGATGGTGTCAATGAGTGCAAACACCTGGGATAATCACTTGAAATGAAACGAGCTACATCAACTGACCTATTAAAAATATCTTTTCTGCCATGCCAACAGACACCTGTTATGTACTTTTAATTTGCTCAGTATGTAATCAAAGCAGAGTAGATGCACCTACAAAATGCTAAAACAATAATGATGGAATAATGAAAACATTCTGATATGTTATATATTTTACCATGTACACATTATTCTCATGATATTATATTGAAAATAGAAACCACGCCTTTTAGTTTAAGATAGATTTACATATGCAGAGAAGTAAAATATCTAAGATGGTTCCTTTAATTGTTGCTGGTATATCTGTGTATGCTTCTTATGCCTTGTATAGAAGTGTTTAAAATTAGTCTTATCAATTTAGACAGTTATTAAAAATGAATTTGAAAATTTTGTCTATATTTGCATGAATACCAAGGCAAACATTAAATGTTAGGTTTTTGAAATAAAAAAAAAAAAATGCAGCATTTCTTTTTCTTCTGGATTTCTTGCCATTTCTCTGCTACAGGTGGTATTCTTCCCGCAAACTCTGATTGGTTACAAGTAGATACAACTGCTCTCAAGGGCTTCTTTAATTTTGGTAAGAGAATCTGATTGCACTTCAATAGTCAACACTCAAATTTTAGCCCAACGCTTGTGGGGCTAGTTACTGATAATGACGAGAGTACATATAGAGAATCTGTTGAGTTGGTGTTAAGCTGGTGCGAGAGTAATGATCTTATCTTGAACGTAGCTAAAACCAAAGAAATGATAGTGGATTTTAGAAGGAATCAGAATGTAAAGGTACCACTCACCATTGGTAATGTTGAAGTTAGTAGAGTAGAGGAATTTAAACTACTTGGTATACACCTTAACAGTAAATTGAATTGGAAGGATAACACCGCAAAGAGTGTAAAGAAGGCACGGCAAAGACTGTATTTTTTAAGATCATTGAGAACTTTTACTGATAGCGTGCCTATTTTTGTCAATTTTTACAGGTGTGTAATTGAAAGCAATCTAGCGTACGGAATTATAATATGGTATAGCGGAACAGCTGGGGAGGAAAGGAAGAAATTAACAAACGTTGTAAAAACTGCAAGCAGGATTATTGGGCAGGATCTCCCCAAGCTGGATGATATTTTTAAAGACAGAATGGAGAAAAGAATTGTCAACACCATGAAAGACTGTTTCCATCCTGCATCATCTCTTTTTACTTTTTTACCAAGCAACAGTAGACTTTTAACTTTTAAAGGCAGTAAACGCTTTTTAAACAGCTTTTATCCAAGTGCAGTGACGCATTTTAATTTGATCTCAAAACTAAATTCTTAATTTATTTATTTATTGTATTATTTTATTATTTTACTCTGTATATTGCTCCAAATGGAAAATGATTTCCGATTTTTATAATTGGCTAAATAAACTCTTATCTTATCTTATCTTTATTCACTTAATTTTTGTATTTAAATGCTTTTTACAAATATCTTATAAATTTAGCCCACCCCACATAAAATTCATCAAAAAAAAAAAAAAAAAAAAAAAAATGCAAATTGATATCACTGATAGAGATTACTGGGAAATAAGTGTTAAGTGTGAAATTGGATATATATGGGTCCACATGGCATATCCCACAGATGCCAGTGTATATGGTGAAGAAATGCCAAGATTAGAATTTAAACAGAACCATGTCAATGATGTATAAAAATATAAACATCTAAATATAAAAGAAAATGGTTGAATAAATGAATAAAATCTGCATGTACAATCTTGAATCTGACATGCAGCTGGTACAGGGTGACCCCCCCCAATTTTTTTTTTTTTTTTTTTTTTTTTTGGGGGGGGGAGGGTCACCCTGTAGGACCCAGTAGCATGCAAACTATAATAAATGCTCCATTGCAGTGTGCTTGGAGTACCAATCACTGATTTTGTCAAGTACTGCTTGAATAAGCTATATATGTACAAGGTTCCCAAATCATACCATAGTTTATGACTCCACACATAATTGAACTGTTTGCATATTATCTGGGTTATCAGCAATTCAACATTCTGTTTGTACACCTAAAGACAACTAAATCGAGTTTATGGGCCTCCAAAGAAACTGAACTGAGTTTATATCATAATTGAAATCTTGGCAGAGTATGCACTTTTTTAGTCAGAAGCACCAAAAGCATTAAAAAAAAAAACATTTTCTTTTGTTTTAATATGGTACGTTCTATTTATCTCAGTTCAATATTGCTGTCCCTAATTACTGTATGTCTGTCATGCCAACAGGTACATGCATCTGATTATGTTTAGACGGCTTAATTATAGTCCTGACATTCTGACACAGTGACTGCACNCTATAGTGTAGATGTCAAAGTTGTCATGGTGATTGACAACTTTGACAGTCATTTTGAACACGTGTTATAAAAAATACATCCTTTGAGCTATTAAATCACTGTCTTTTAATTGCCATTATATAAGGTTCCAGGACATGTAATCTTGTCTCAGTTTCTTATCTCAGTAATAAATCATTATCATGTATATTGATCACGCTGTATAATCACACAGTTTGCTTAGAAAGGTATTAAGTGAAATCAGCCTAACCAGTCTGGAAATACATCTATCTTTACTGACATCATCACATGGGACTTACAAGATGACATGGAAAATGATGTTTGAAACAACATAATTTGGACTGACATGCACGGTCCTTGTGTGAGCACGTCCACAAACTGCAAGATGTGTATGATGCCAAAGGGATCTACATAAAACACATGTATATGTATATATAAATATATATACTTACTAGACTCTTTGTGTACTATGGAGGGCAATAGATAGAAAGAGTGTAAAAGAATCAACAGAAAACTGATTATAGACACTATGAACTGAACTGGAGTGAAATTGTTTGACCATGAACTTACTTTCCAGAACATGATCATTTGTTTCATGTCTTTGGTTAACTTAAGGAAGGCCAAATTGTGTTAGTAAAGAATACCACTGACATATGATACACAAAATATACATATGAAGAGACTTAAAGTGAGGTTTATTAGTATGCAACAAAAATTATACAAATAATACACAGAACAATAAAATAATATTTAATATGATTGATCTGAGTAGCCAAATATTTTTAGAAAAAAAAAACAAACAAAACCAACAACAACATACATTTGTCACTGAATAACATTGTAAAATAAAAAATCTGACAAAGTACCTGAAAATATTTCAAATACATCAGCCTTCCCTCATAAAAAATATTAAAACTAGGCAACAGAGGTGTTAATTTGATCATCCAACTGAATGGAATCCTGCTGTGCAGGAAAAAATTATCCACAAAAATCTACAAAATTATGTGAACCCACCTCTAGTCACCCAGTGCTAGAGTTGATTAAAAACACACATCTTTGCAAAAACAACAAGTTTCTGCCAGTGCCCTGTAGTTCAGGATCACCTCAAGTCCAATTCCATGTACATGTATTCTTACCTCGTTTAACAAGTCATGCTGACTTCGCAGGGCAGCAATCACGGCATCGTGAATGGTGATGTACAGCAGGTCCTGCTCATGTTTCTTGTGTAGCCCTGCCTTCCTAAACATCTTCCTCACACGCCCTGAAAAATTGAGGTTGTGTTTCCAGTCATGTTGGTCTGGCCTTACTCAGTCCAACCATTTTCAGCAGGTTGACTGGGTATGATGGCAAGTAACTAATCATTCTTTTTTTTTTAATCTCAGCATGATTTGCTAAGAAACATATCTCCATAGTAAAATTATAGTAATTTAACTGCAAAAATATGACAGACAAATGATATTGTATTCATGACAAGTTATCCAATAATAACTGTGCCAAGTCTCAGCCAAAGCAAATTGTATTGAGGCAAAAGCTGTTAGTTCTTGGATCAACTTGGTTTGTGAATGTGACCTTATACATAGACCTACGTTTACAGTGAGCCAGGAAGACTGCTACTCCCACCTCTTTGTAGTCACTCATCACCTGAAAGCATAATGGTAAAATTATGAATGCCTTAATAAATTGTCAGCTAAGTGTATGTAACCATGTAAAATGTTGAAAACTTGTTTCAGTGACACCAATGAACAAAAAATAGTAGAAAGTAATAACAAAAAGCATTGATAAACACAGCTGTTTGAGCCTACCTGACTAAGCATTTTAACTCCCCCAGAGTCTATATAGGACACACTGGAGCAGTCAATTATGACATGGTGTATGTTAAAACTCAAGGCTGCCGTTCTCTCCTTGAGGTCATTGGGAGGCTCTTCAACATCACAGTTTTCTAGGACAACTGACCCTTCTTGAGTCATGGCACCACCGTTCTGGAATTCAACATGAGATGTTAACTTTGTAATGTAGACTCTCTCTTTGGGTTTTTCCCCACTCCATAACATTGCTTCTATTTTGATCTAGCGAGTTCATAGCAGGTGTTAATGTTTATTTTCTTTTTGCTTTTTTATTGGTTACTAGGAGATAAAGTTACTTAAGAATTAAATATGAAGGAGAGAAAAATTGCACTGAAATGGATAACAACAGATGTTTCTTTGTTTTGCAATTAAAAATACATTGCCCTTTTTAAAATGTTTCTAAATACTAGTTAATTTCTTTAAAATTACATAGCACATACAATTATATGTTCTGAACAAAGATAAAAAAATGCATTCAGTAAACATAAATATAATGATCTCTAAACATAACATAATTTGCAGGAGACGTAGACCTGGGCCTCATAACTCGAAAGCATCACACATTGCGACGGAGCGCAAGCGTCTCAATTCCATAACTCACTTATACTCATCCCATATAATAATATAGCCTCTATGTGATATTGCTATTCGCAATACGCAACGCTTTTCAAGTTACCGGGGCCCTGTCATACCTCATGGACTTTCCCGTTCTTTTCCTCCTCTTTTTTCATCTTCTCTTCCATCTTTTTTTGTTTTTCCTCCAGCTTATTTCTGGCCTTCTTCAGGGTCACTGGATTGGCTCCTGTCTGACTGAATATCTTGCGTCTGAAATGCTCAGCATTGGCATAGTATAGGGCAGACTCAAAGTGGAAGATTTTGATTCCTGGAATTTCTTTACACTGAAAAGACATTTATAATCAAAGAAAAGCATCAATTTAATGATACAATTTTTGTATTGTTTAATAATCTGGATAATGAAGGTGTCACCTGAAATGTCACTGGAATGGTACTCTGCAAAGGAATTTTGACTGGACATTTACTGAAGCTGGGTCTATATAAGCACTATTGATTAATAATAATATATAACATGTGTAGATATGAATAATTACTGGTGGCACATTTACAGCAGCAGCAGATGATATGTGAAAGTTTCAGCAATAAGACTGCCATTTTGTGCAAATCTGAAAATATGGCGTAAGGTCAACTACCAACTTTAAAANGACTGGACATTTACTGAAGCTGGGTCTATATAAGCACTATTGATTAATAATAATATATAACATGTGTAGATATGAATAATTACTGGTGGCACATTTACAGCAGCAGCAGATGATATGTGAAAGTTTCAGCAATAAGACTGCCATTTTGTGCAAATCTGAAAATATGGCGTAAGGTCAACTACCAACTTTAAAAGTTATCTTGTGAAATGAGGTTCTGCATAATGATTATTTTTTTACATATAAAATTAAGTTCAACTCACCACTTTGTAGGCTGTTTTGTCCCTGTAGATGTCAGTGTGTGGAACACGTCCATACAGACAGGTGTATGGGCTGAAAGTCAAAAGAATACTCAACACTGATGCTGATAAATTTCAAAATAAATGTATACATAAGTCTCAAATGTGAACTTCAAGGTTAAATTGCAAGAAGACTGGAACCTAAAAAATACTGCAAAAAGAAACTGCCAAGCCGTTAGTACTTTATTTAAAAATATTAACTTAATCCATTTTTTAACTGTCAAACCATAAGATTTCTAAACTTAATCTGCATCGTCACATAACCAAATTGCAGTTACCATTACAAAATAAAAAAATATATGTTGAATCCAAGTCACCTTTCAAATTGTTAAGCCAAAAACTCTACTTTTTCCTGGACAGCAGTTTTATAGTGCAACTGACCCTGCTTAAAATCTTCTCATCAATAACTTGTATTTCAACACTACCCCTTGGCCAGTAAGGTCCAGATTTATGACCAGACTGATCTCGAGCCATCAGGCCAGACTGGACACTCCCTGACCATCAGGCCAGTGGTCACATAGTGCACTACCAGACTAAGCCTAGAAAGTAGCCAGGCACCACCACCACCCCTTTACCTCTGTGTTCTGAAGACCACTGTGAGGAGAGAGAAGCCCACACCAATGATCAGTCCCATGGCCACCCCCAGAAGTACCACAGCCAGCCAAGTCACCAACCAGATAGCCTAGAAGACACCAACATCATTACAGCCTACGGCAGAGAAATCATTTCTTGTCTGTTAAAGCTTTTTCAAAGATTAATTTAAGGGTTGATCTTAGTTAAAATACATATTTCTAAACTATGCAATACCAAACATTTCTAAAAATGTAACAAAAATAGTTCTTTTCATAAAAAGTATATCATATAGAAGTTTTTCATGTTAAAAAGTGCAGTTCAGACAGAAAGTAATTTAAATGTTCTATATTTGAGCTTGATAAATTTATAACTTAATTTTTCAAATGGGTAGATAAACAAATTAAAGTAACTACGTACAAAGTCAAACTTGCAAATGTGCCAGAGGTTCTTGAGATCTTTGAACTGAAGGAACATTCCTTTTAAGGCCACTAGGATGATGGAGGCAAGGACGGCCTGAAAATACGCAACAAGGTATTATTTCCTGAGTAAAAAAATCAATGTATGCATGCTGAGAAAATAGTTTCCTAAAGCCAGTTTCCCAAAAACAGACCATCTCAGCATGCCTCTGGGACCCATTTTGCAATGGAACAAAAGCCCAAATACTGATCTTACCTTTCAGACCAAATTTGTAGTCCACTTTGACCCATAGCCATAATATAACCAAAAATATAAGATCAATGTTTCAGATCAATGCTTTATTTCTAACAAATGGATTTCTCTGGATTTATTCTAATATTTCAATTTCCATGTATTTATCCAAGACATGAGTTGCCAAATTTTTTAATAATAATAATATACACATTTTCTTTACATGACATAGATCAGGCCTCATTAATGCTAATTGCCATTTACTAACACTACCCGCAGATCTTTTAGCACTAACACCCATATTAACCATTTAACCCTTGAATCAACCAGTGCACCATAAAGTATTTACAACCACCATAGCATTAGAGCTAAAATATCTGTGGGTAGTGTTAATTAATGCCTAATCCATTTATAAGGCCTGTAGACCAAAGGTTTGGTTTAAAAAGTTTAAATAAATTTTTATGATAAAATCTTTTGTTAAACCAGCCTCTAATCTGTTATCCTTAACTTCTTCCATGTCTTTAAATCGATTTCTGTTGGAGAGCTTATTACAATCATAGTGAGCACAAATTACAAATTTGTTAGAAAAAATATCATATACACACACAAAAACACACACACACAAAAACACACACACACTAACACACTAAGCTCAGATTCTATGTGAAAATGAACTTTACTATTGCATTAAAATCTTCTGTCTTATAGGAATCCAAAGAACTCACATTTGGCAATGTTTGGAAGAGTGGTCCCAGGACAAGGAGGACAATTAAGATGAGTACACTGGAGAACACAGCAGCCAGCTGAAACAGAGAAGCAAATGAAAGCAAAATATCTTTAAAATGTAGATATGCTGAAGAAAATAAACAGTGTCCATTTTCACACAACCTTGATTCTTGGATTCAAATATTAGAAATGACAGCTATTTCCATAATGCATAAATCAAAGCACATACATTAATGTCTGTTGAAAAAATTGATATGCATATCATCCATTTATTCAATTATTTCACATAACATATAATTTGTCATGTTTTTTTATCAGTATATTCATTAAGATCTTTCCTTTGTTATCATCTTAGTACTGAAGAATAATAAAGACAGCTATCATAGTGACAATACAGACAGACACAGGTAATCAGAAGCTACTTAGACAAATACAGTGTCTGTATAAAAAAGTAGAACAAAATTTTTTGTGTCCACTGTCATCTATTTTGATACAAGCTCCTAAGTCCATATCACCTGTGTTCTTCCTCCCACATTGTCTTGAACCAAACTTCTGCTCAGGGAGGCACATGCTGCGAAACAGTTGAAGAAAGAGCTGAAAATGTTCATTAGGCCATAGGCAACCAACTCCTGGAGAAAAAAAATTAGATTTAGCTGAAATATATTGGACCAATTCCTAAAATTATTGTCTCCACCAAAAGAGATAAGTTTTTTTTACCTCTATTTGTTTGTTCATTCCTCACCATCCTAACTCAGAAAGTCATTGATGGATTTTCAGGATATTTCAGGATAGCTCAGAAATGGGCTGATTAGACTTGGGTGATGATTCATTACTTAATTAATGGCTCATTATTTGTCTTGGAGGAGGTCTCCATACACTTTTTTAGTTATAACAACATCACCACAGAAGATTAAATTACATGAAGAAAAGTCATTTTCATGGATGATGTGTAATGCAGACGTAATGCTTGGATTAAGATTGGCAGTACAAAGGCCCATTTCCAATGTTGTTGTTGCAGATGAACTTAATGCACGCTATCTAAGAATACTGTATAATTAGGAATTCTGACCATAGGAATCCAATCCATTAAATGTGATCTCCCTCTAGGTTATCTAAAATTGAAGCAAGTCCCATACTGTAACACTGATCTCCTGTAGAATCACATGGCCTGCAGAGAAAGCAAACATCAAGTTAAGCCACCACAAACTAAATTGGACATGTGGCCTGAAACAAAACTTTCTCCTGACCTGATTTGGTGTCACCTCGTAATCATGCTTCCTGGCCAGCAGTTTCCCCATGGACACCGAGATGCTGAAGGCTACAATAGCGACAGCAAACGAGTCCCCTATCAGGGCCCCCATGTGTTCTGTGGGGGGCACTTTGGGAGCTGGGATCCTGTAGCACAATATTGAAATAAAGTTATATATAAAGTATCTAAATATAAAACACTGAGAAACAAATTCCACTTTCACCAACCCTTTCTTATCTGTTCAATACTAGTTGGTTTTTCAAGAATTTACTGTTTTACAATTGAGACTTTCTCTTCATGATGGCAGACACTTGTGATTAAAATAATACAAAAATCACCATCAAGCAATAAATGACATGCACTTCATTAGTAATGTTCTGCGTACAAAACATGTAACACAACATGTACATATTTGTTAAGGCTTCCCAGCTATTGTTTGGGTCATATTTTATCCAATATGTTAATCAACTTCCCCTATATCTCTACTAACCCTGTTGGAATATGGCCAACCACAGTAACATTGAAATTCTCATGCAGCTTGGCAAGATAGGAAACCAAAGTACCCAATACTACCTACAAGAGAGCAACAGAAATTAAAACACTGAAAATTACATAACACACCAAATACTCAATTAAGAGGGAATGCTCCTAAAGGTTAATGTATTATATGATATGTTATATTATCTATGCACACTCTTAATTTCAAATATAAGATAACTATTCACATAAAATGAACAAAATTAAGAGAAAAACTTACAATGCTATATAAGAATGAGTTAATAAGTAACTGTAAATTGTGAGTAGTTGAGGTACATCAGAAAACAATGTCAATGTTCCTGCACCAAAACTGACACTTGGAAAAGCAATGTCACGTCAGTTACATAACAGAGAAATGGAGAAACTTGTCCCCTAGTTGAATAGCAACAGGAAAGTCAAACCAGTCATTTTGATTAAATAACTTGTTAATCACCACTCTTACAAGATAATTTTTCAACAAACAGTTTATGCTTTTGAAAATTTTAAACATAATTTCATAGCTGTTCAGATGAATTTTAGGGAAATGAACAATCAGAGAAGCATTATTTTGACCCCAATACCATGGATTCATTATGTCTTGCTAAGTATTTGGGCTTGAAATATCTTGGCAGACACCGCAATATTTATCTTTCAACAGGAGAGAGTCTGCAACATCGACTGAGTTTCCCCATGTCTGATACAACAACATCAGCACAATCACATCTAATAACAGCTAGCACAGTCACAATGATCCCGTCACACCTACCACAATAAGTTCTATAGGCACTGGCATCTTCATCCTGGATCTGTACCTGGCATTGATACACTCCTTTACCAGAGCAAGACACAGGATGCAGGTCACAGAGATGATAACAGCTGCAAAGTTGGTCTTGGTTATGTTGGAGAAAATACTGACATAGGTCTGAAACAAGGATTAATGTTGTTAACATGGTACAACCCATTACAATAAACTACCTGATTAATCATTCTGTGATAAAACACAGTCCAATGCTTTTAGACAGACTTCCTATGCTGAAATAACCCCCCCCCCCCCTCCGAGTAAGAGATGGGCCAACCAATTTAAGTAGAAGCCAAGTAAACAAATAGTTGGCATTAGAATTAGGATATGGTATCAATAGAGGCTGAACTTTGCAAATGAAAAATAAATCTCTCATGGACTATTACAACTCACCTTTATAATCTTGAAAGGCTCGGAGGAACGTGGAATATGGAGTCCAAACACATATTTCACCTGTGTGGTGAACACATGACAGGCTGCGCCGGTGGTGAACCCACTGATCAGTGCGTCAGACAGGTAGATAGTCAGGAATCCCATACGAAAGATACCCATGGTAATCTGAAATGCAACGTACCATACTGGGTATAAGTGCATTGAATCTCAATCCTTGTGTTCTGAATATCAAAAGGATCATTCCATTAAATGTACATGTATAAATTTTAGTTATTTACTTCAGTGATCTCTCTCTCTCTCTCTCTCTCTCTCTCTCTCTCTCTCTCTCTCTCTCTCTCTCATTTTATGTCTCCAACAATGATTCAAACCTGCCACAATCCCACCAACAGTGTTAATGCTGTGGCTATTTCAATCTTCTTGTTGTCCAGTTCCTCGCTAGTTATCCCACTGCTGTCACCGGATGTGAGAGAACCATTTGTGCCATTGCCCCCTGGTACAGAGTCTGTGACTAAAGCTTCCAGGTCCCCTGTCTCTCTCACCACCGACTCTCCCACCATCAGGCAGATCACAGCAAATGTGCCTGAAAAACCCAAAATTTTGAAGTGTAAGCATAATAGTATTAAGTGAGGGAAACAACAAGGGACGATTCTACTACTTGCGCAGTTATACCCAAGATTTATTCTGATTTTATTTGGTAGTTATATGGTGGATATGGATTTTAACATAATTGAAACTTGGTTTTAGGGGAAAAAAGAAAAAAATCCACAAGCAGGCTCTGTTTAAAATGTTACAGAGATTACTATATCTACAGGCCATTTATGTACTGATACTTTATTGTAACCCTGCTGCTTTGTAGATATGAGGAGTGAAACCCCACTCTCCCTTTCATCATTATCCATGTTTACAATGTACAGAAGTTCTTGGTACAACTTTTATCATTATGGTGTCTTTTTCATTAAAGATTTGTGTGAATATTCAGTTAAAATCATTTTAGGATGTCATGACACCAGGACACTTCAGACTTGAGTGTTTTAGTTTTCCTTTTTTTTTTTAAATACCTGTTAAGATTGTTTTCCGATTTAAATGTCAAATTTCATGTATTAGTAGATTGGTTGACAAAGGACAAATTTTCTTCAAAATTGCAGTTTCATTCCTGGGATGTCCAGCAGCAATATCACTGTTGGGCATGTTTTCAGACAAAATCTTTGGCTTTTTTGGAGAGGCATCATTTTAAATTATGTGTTCCACTACTTAAATTAATAAATGATTGGACTTTCAGATGAAGATTTACTAGTACAAACTCACTGCTAATCTTTTTATACCGTCTCATTTTAGTTTTTTCTTTTCTCAGGTGGGTCTTACTCAGGCCTACCCAACTACCAGACTCGGCAAGTTGTGTATCAGTACGCATTTCACAGTATCAGACGCGACACCGCTCTTGCCTAGTACGCGATGTGATAATGACGATTCTCAGCGGGGTTGAAAAGCATTGCATCACCACTCAAAATTTGTTCAGGGTATGATACTGTGTAATGCGTACTGACTCACACCTTGAAAACGGGTAGTGTGGTCTGATCTACCGGTGAATTCAGGATCATTCGGTGCTGAGTCTGGTAGTTGGGTAGGCCTGTTACTTTTGGAAAGAATTAAAACCCATTGTTGGACCATCAAAACAACAGAGTGTACACGGAGGTGAAAGGCAAGACAGCAGGCCAACTTAAGACCAGATGAAGGGATCTCCAACACCATCTAGGACCTACCTGGCCAAGCCAGGCTTAGGACTGGTACCTGCAAAAGACAGCTCAGGGAGGTTTTTTTTCCCCATCATTGTGTAACAGTCAGCCCTGGATTGGTTGATTGATTATTTTATTATATTTTTTTTATTCTCTAAATATTCATCAGTTTGCTTTTTTTTTTCTTAATTTTTTTCCTCTGCCTTTTTGGTTTCCATTTTTAAAATCCCATCCTGAATAATTCTCTTTTATATTCTTTTTGCAAAATGAGCAGCTGATATAAAGTATACAGATATACCAGCAACAATCAAAGGATTCACGTCTTCTGAAGTCAATTAGCATAAATATTAACCATATAGTATTAATCTTCCAATAGAAAGGTGATCCTCCTAGTGAAATATCAGGATGAAAAAAGCTGTTTACATGCATTATGATGAAATGAACAACTAAACTGATGTTAATTGGCCTGTTTTGGCCTGTTCATTGAACTGTCACTTGTCAATCATCTGGTTAAAAATCAGGAGAGATGGTGTCAATGAGTGCAAACACCTGGGGTAATCACTTGAAATGAAACGAGCTACATCAACTGACCTATTAAAAATATCTTTTCTGCCATGCCAACAGACACCTGTTATGTACTTTTAATTTGCTCAGTATGTAATCAAAGCAGAGTAGATGCACCTACAAAACTCTTAAACAATTATGATGGAATAATGAAAACATTCTGATATGTTATACATTTTACCATGTACACATTATTCTCATGATATTATATTGAAAATAGAAACCACGCCTTTTAGTTTAAGATAGATTTACATATGCAGAGAAGTAAAATATCTAAGATGGTTCCTTTAATTGTTGCTGGTATATCTGTGTATGCTTCTCATGCCTTGTATAGAAGTGTTTAAAATTAGTCTTTTCAATTTAGACAATTATTAAAAATGAATTTGAAAATTTTGTCTTTATTCACATGAATACCAAGGCAAACATTAAAGGGGTAATAACTCTTTGTTTTGGCTAAAAAATGAATTTTCCTGGAGTAAACAACAATTTTCCCATACTTACCAATGGTTAATGAATCCATTTTTACATTCAAAGTTAGTCCCTGTTTTTTTTCTAAAAAGTTTGGTTTTTTGTTAAAATCTCTTAAGAGATTATAACAGAGTATAGCCATCAATGGAGGTCACGTGGTCTGAAGACCAGTTCAGATATCAGAATAATAGCTATAACTGTCGTTTTTGTCGTAAAACCGAATATATCTTATTTCTATGAGTTGTGCACAATGTTTTTGTCGTGAAACATAGACTTCATACGAAGAGTTATTATCCCTTTAAATATGTGGGTCCACTTGGCATATCTCACAGCTGCCAGGGGATATGGTGAAGAAATGCCAGCATTTGAATTTAACCATGCCAATGATGTATAAAAATAAAAACATCTAAATAAAAAAGAAAAGAAAACGGTTAAATAAATGAATAAAATCTGCATGTACAATCTTGAATCTGACATGCAGCTGGTACAGGGTGACCCCCCCCCCCCCAATTTTTTTTTTTTTTTTTTTGGGGGGGGGAGGGGGGGGGGAGGGTCACCCTGTAGGACCCAGTAGCATGCAAACTATAATAAATGCTCCATTGCAGTGTGCTTGGAGTACCAATCACTGATTTTGTCAAGTACTGCTTGAATAAGCTATATATGTACAAGGTTTCCAAATCATACCATAGTTTATGACTCCACACATAATTGAACTGTTTGCATATTATCTGGGTTATCAGCAATTCAACATTCTGTTTGTACACATAAAGACAACTAAATCAAGTTTATGGGCCTTCAAAGGAATTGAACTGAGTTAATATTATAATTGAAATCTTGACAGAGTATGCACTTTTTTAGTCAGAAGCACTGAAAGCATTAGAAAAAAAAACATTTTCTTTTGTTTTAATATAGTATGTTCTATTCATTTCAGTTCAATATTGCTGTCCCTAATTACTGTATGTCTGTCATGCCAACATGTTTAGATGGCTTAATTATAGTCCTGACATTATGACACAGTAACTGTACTTTACAACTCTTGGAACAACTATGTGCTCATTGTAATGAATACAGCAATAACCCCCCCCCCCCCAAAAAAAAAAAAAAAAAAAAAAATCAATTAACCTTGGCTTGCCTCCTGTTCTCTTTGCTTAGGGGAAAGTTTTGGGCATTAATCAGATATTTGCACAAAGCTGGTGAGTGCAATTAAATCACCACAGTATAACACTGGACAATGTGATTATACCTTATCAGCCGCATATGTATGTAAACAGGGACTACTTGGGACTATATGCTGCCTTGGGAGAATGAGGGTCAACAGAACAGACTTACTAAGTATCAAGAAGGGAGTTCTGATATAAAAGTCATAGGCCAGATCCCAATCTAGTCCAGTTCCTAACTGGTCTAGGCCAGATCCCAATGGGGTCTTTGCATTGTTAACAACATGATGTGGCAAGAGTTAATTGCAGGTGAGCTGCCAGTTTGATCTATAACATCCACAATTTCATTACACATGCTGTGCAAACAAACGGAATGAATGTTTGATATATTATTATATACTGAAATGGTTGTAGATTTTGGTAGTCAATTCTGCAGTTTTGTTCTTAAAAGTGCACAACCATCAGAATGGGTCCTGCAAATTAGATGCTTAATTACATTTTATGGTTGGGTATGAAAACCAACATATAAACTGATAATTCTGTGCAACATACTCACCAATGGAGATATGTTTTGAGGTTCCAAAGAAGAAATACATAAGCACGGGGAAAAAGGACACATACAGTCCCACTATTGGGGGCATCTTGGCTAGCAAGGCATAGGCCATACCTGGAAAGGAATAACAGGCAAAAAATAAAATGACTTAACGTTAAGCAAATACATATTTATAGACCTCAGTTGTGATTTTTACACTTTTTTTTATGTAATATGAGGTGCTATAGCACACATAAAGCCCCCCGCACACGGTGAGCAATTGGCGCGCGCCACTTGTGCAGCACCGTTTTCTCACCAATTGCGGAGGTACTTTGGTGAGATTTTTGCCTCTCACGTGTTTAATATTTTTGGCCTCTTGAGGCAAATGGCTCAGCGAGTGCGGGGTGCAAGCGCCGATTGCTCAAGTCATGCCAACAATGCACATGTGCCGGTAGCCGGAAACAAAGAAAAATGGCAGCCCCTATAGTGAAGTCAACAAAAATGTTCACAGTTATAGTTAGTCTGATTGATTAATGTGGTCACCATTTTCCATTACTTTCAGAAAAAAAATCAATATGTAATGTTTCCTTAATCACATGATCCCACAGTTCATGGTGCGTCCGATAGGGGCAGGCCTGGAGGCACCTCTGCTGAGCAAAGAGCGTAGTGTTTGCAGGGAGCTGAGGAGTGCGAGCATCTGGCGCAGCGCAAGTGGTGCGCGCCAATTGCTCACCATGTGCGGGGTGCTTAATCATAATACTACATGCACTATATTGTCAGTGACTCTGTAACAATTTGTTCAAAATGTAGTCAAGCATTTGCAAAAAGTATAATTTTTTTCTCTGTCCATTTATGTCTTGAACATATGATATATATATAAACCTAACAGAAAGATTTTTATGAGACATACAATTATATGAGATACATAAACCTAATAGAAATATAAATATTTTTTAATATGAAAAAAGATCTTACCTTGTGGTAAATGCATGATGCCAACAGTCAAACCAGCTACCATGTCCCCAATCAGCCATCCGGGGAACTGGTAATTACGCATGATATTAATGCAAGGAAATAAATGCAGAAAAAACTCTTTGGTTTTTTCTTTAGAACAGATGCAATTCTTGGAGAAAAATGTCCTGACATGTTCCTTCACTGGCTTCTTTGGTCTATTTGATGGCTCAAAACCAGAGTCAAAATCCACCTGGTTGTAGACAGGACGTTCCACTTTGAGCGTCCCTGGGGTAGCGGTGTACATAAGAGAGGAGCAAGACTGGGCGTACTGCACTGGCGAGGCCACTGACGGCATGGACTGACTGCTGTCATTACTCTGGACGGAAATACTTCGGCCTCGCCTTTCCGTCGCATACCCATCTTCCCCGGACATGCTGAATGATATATGTGGTAACCAAAGACTGTCTCAATCACTAGGTCTTTTCCGAGTCCCTCAGATTCACAGTTCGCTTTTCAAATTTTTTAGTTGTTCCTCTGTCAAGAACACGTTCCCTTAAGGCAAGACTCCCGTTTGCTAATCTAATGTAGCTAATGAAATAAACTTAAAACTTATCATTTAAACCCAGTTGTTGCTTTGATGTACACTGGCAAACAAATAACTAGTACGTTTTTCTGCTCTGACAGCAATCGACTTAATCACTGTTTTACTGCAGTGATATTAGTATGTTCCGACTTTGTACTCCCCAAGAGTAGAGGTTCAGGAGGCAAAGGTAAGAGGACCATGCATTTCTGTGCGCCCCATATGCAGTAACAGCAACTGTGACCCAAAGGAGTCGATAACGCAGTCAAACAAGGAGGGAGTTTGGAAATCTTGTGTCATATATAACCTTGACGGATCTTTCCTGTTGGCAGTGACCTCTGAAACGGGAGAGATAAAGTGTTACGCTATCTATTAATACTTGATCTTTAAGGTCAACACTTTGGCATACATTTACCTAAACCAAAGCCCATACTGATTGCTTCAAAAAACTGCAACATATACAATTTAAAGTTCATGAAATGGTAAAACTGCATTCAGATTCCTTGATGCAATTATCATCAGACTTGTATATATATATATATATATCAACTAGAAAAGCACTCCAAGAGCGCAGACCTCCGCCAAGGCAGCAATTTTTTATTATTATTGATAATTGATTGATTATTGATCCGGATCACCACCAAAAACTAATCATCTCTTCCTTGGCCCACCTCTGACAGTTCCTGAAAATTTCATCAAAATCAGTCCATACCTTTTGAGTTATGTTGATGACAAACAGACAAACAATTAAACAGGGGTGAAAACATAACCTCCTTGGCAGAGGTAATAAAATAAATATCAACATTTATACTTAAAATTACTTAAATTAACAATGAGATAGTAGTTCCAGCAAAATCTTTGACTTCTTACATTATTCCAAGAAAAAATTGTTAAGGATTATAGAAATACTTTAATTCATATAAAAGTTTTTCTGGTGTTTTTGAATGAGAATGACCACCTTTTACATATTTGTACGTAGCTATTTCTTGGTCTGTCTACAAATGTTTAAAAACTAAGAATCTAATAATTTACCACACCACTTTTCTTTTATTTAACAAAAATTGCAAATATTACCAATTTGCACAAAAGATAAAAAATAAACAACATGCATCAACACATGATTGAAGTTCGGGGATGAGAGCTAACTGGACAAACCTGAGTGACATAAAGTGCAAAAAGTACTGACGTACTTGTACTTAAAAATTTAATCTTTGCTTGCTGGTTAAAAATGCTCTACATTATGTAACTATTATCTTATCAGGGCTGATCACCCTATGCTGATAAAAAAGTACAGAGAAAACATACCAACTATCAGACATAAAGAGCCTTTTGAGAAGAATCCTGTTGATCTTCCCGAGGGTCCAGTCCAGGTGTCCCCTTCAATTCCCTCCCTGGGAGTAAGGTGGACATATATATCAGCCCTCACCTGACCCCCCACAAGGCCACAGTACTGATCTAACGTTATTACAACCTGGAGATAAGACGCTACAGGAGGCTTCGGTATCTTCTCAAAGTATCGAAGATAACTGATAAAATTTCTGTTTACTGATGCTGGTATTTCTAGTATGCCTTAAACTATTACCGCTTGCTGATAGGAGTAGATAGGCTGCCATATGAAAATAAGGCGACTTTGTTGTTGTTGTTGTTCTGTCCGTACTTTGTCAGCACTCCTTGTGGGAGTCACCTTTGCTGGGACAGAGAAAATTTCTGTGGAATTTATAAGGAAAGATACGGGTGTGGAAAATATCCCACTCTTTTCCAGTTTTAAGCAGTCATTCCTTACATAAATGATTCACTTCTTCTTGACTACTTATTAAAAATTTAGATGACACAAATTTTTTTGACTAAGAAGACAGCTTTTAATACTATGAAAAAGAAGCCTAATGAATATTGAAGTATCATTAATTGCCTGCATTTAAAATCTAAATTCAAGTAAAAAGCTCTAAACATTAGTCACTTAGAATAATTTACTAATTGAAGAATAAAATCCACATCCATTTTTATATGTAACAAGGCAATTTGAACCACATCATGAATAATGCAAATTGTGCAATTGAGTCTGTCCCCAACCCCCCCCCCCCCTTGACTCTATTTCATCATGGACCCCTGTTTTAGTCTCCAAATTTAATTGAATTCTTGACTAACAATATCATGTGGTTATAAAGATCAGTATCTAATAGTTTCAACTATCTATATAGCACTAAATATGACATATAATGCAAATCAAACCAACTGAATGGATAAAAAAAGGTGAAGCAGAAGAAGAAATATCAGTCAATTCCAATTTGTTTCAATGGAAAATTTTCAGCTGCACCTCTAAAACTGACCCAAACATTTAACAAGATGTTAGTCACATATCTTTTCTATGAAATGACTCTTTTCCTTATATATTTGCATCGATTATTTCTGACGTTACTGTCTACTTGCATGTAGACCCTGGTAACTACATGACTAATGTCACACTTATATAAATCAAACCATTTCTAAAATATGAAAACTTCATGGAACTTAACACAATTTTTCAAATAATATTTTGCATATATATTCTACTAAATTTCATAGTGATTTTCAAAGAATGCCTGTCCTTATAAAAATGATTATGAAGTACTGTTTATATCATAAGACTGCCATTTCTACAATGTAAATCTTATAAAGTTCCTTCCGTGGATTATAGTATTAAATATTTTTACTTAGGAACTAACCAGGAAAGGGGGGGGGGGGGGGTTAGGGATAAGGAACACCCATGGTTGAAGAGAAATGTTTCAACAGTCACAAAATAATATTTCCAGAAGTGCAGAACTTCACAAAAACGTAGATACTGGTATTTTCATTTCTTGAAATATCCATACTAGTATGTTTTTCAATATATATATATATATTTTTTTATTTATGTTTTAAAACATATTAAAAAATAAACATAAGCTCAGTTCTACACTACACTCTTCATTTAGCTCAAGAGAAAGGTAAATGAACATGTACTGATCTAAGTAACCAGCCTCTTAGTCTAGAATTCCACTTTACACTCAATATATTCAAACAGCCTACCTGTAGCTATGCTGTACATCATGTAACTGCATGTACTGAACTCAGAGACATATGGTATAATGAAGGTGGGCAATACTGTCTACATGTACACTACAAAGTGGACTAATACGTAACTTCTACTTTTATAAAATTCCTTACCTTGACACTATTCTGTGGAACACAGACACTTCAACATGCTTTATGATTTCTTTCTGCTAATCATTGCAATAGAGAAAACATGTCAGATACTGTTTCTTCAATTACAGTGTTACATGCATGGTAAACAGTAATATATAACTGGTAGTTTTTCTAACACAAGCAGCAAAAAACATATATTAATGAAATATTAGCTGCCATTGCATAAGATTTTCCCAACATGCATTTTCAAAATTCTCAATTGTAGAACACACATACGAAACTGATTAACCTCTTTGTTTTAAGTTGTACAGTAGTCTGGACTCGTGTCTTGGTTTTTATACTTGACTCTGACTCAAATATATGTGTAGCAAACATGATAAAAGGACATTAACCATACATGCATGACTGTATTTGACTCCGAATTAAATGAGTCAGAAAATTCAAACTACAAATAAGCTTATAATCATAAATAAACGTAACTACTGTATATAAGGCAAGCTGTTTCTCTACAAAACAAGCACATCATAAAATTACATAAACAAATTCTGTGCAATAAGATTTATGGGCAATCCTTAAATGAATGATCTAGCACTCGCTAGCATTAGAATGAACCTCATCATCTACTTAACAAAGTTAATTTTAAAAAAATCTTTATGGAATTCTCAGAAAACATACTAGGGTACTGGTATACCAAAAATGAAATTAATCTATGTGTTTGCTTAATATTTATTAGATTGCAAAACAGCCAGTCATTTTAAAACTAGCTATTACTTTCAACTTTCATTCTTGCCACTGACACTGTGCCAAATGCAATCACGTCTTTTGTTGACACTGCCGTAAAAAAGCATTACTAATAATAGTAATGCCCATTACAGTCAGTCTCTCTGTCCAATAAAGAAATAATATTATCTTAAAACAAAACTACTTACAGAACGTCACTATTACCTCTTGAAAACAACATCATTACTTCACTCTGATATTTTTAACGCGCTAATTTATACTTCTCAAGATAAGAAATCCGAGTTTTCATACGTGATGGCTAAGTTCACATTGATAACGACCTTTATCAGGAGGCATCTAGTAAAGTAGAGAATAATACATGTGCTCACGTTTGACTTAAAGCTGCAATATCTGGTATCATATTAAGTCTTTAATCTATGGCACAAAACGAAATAATGACAACACATTGACATTTATTTTTATCTTGTTCTATTATGTCAAAAAGTAAAACATTCCAAATCTACATTGAAATGTTGACGGAATTCTGTTCTTTATTATTTTGCTTCAAAGGTCAAGGTCATTAAAAACCAGCTGGAGGTGAGGGAATGTATTTTTCGTTCTTTCTTTTCGTCTACCTGGCATTAATACGTGAAATAGACGCTTTCGTCTTTCTTTTTTGCTCTATTTCACAATGGATATGCATCAGTGTCCCATTTAATGAAGTTTCTTTTTAGATTTATGAAAAAATGCGAACAATTTCGCTTGTCGATTGCTAGAAATGTCTGTCCAATCGCAGCCGCCGACCTGGGGTCACATGGCTTATCACATTCCATTCATTCTTCTGTGATTTTCACAAAAGCTGCCAGTATTGAAAACCAGCCACCAGGATCAACAAACTATTTCCACTGTCGGTGACAAGAGACAATTTAGGAATCAAAATTAAGACTTAAGTAAGTGAAAATATACATTTTTAAGTGAAACCCTCAGCGTCATTCGGGGGGCGGCATGTCAAGCAATGTTTTGATTCACCTGGCGGCTTAAGGTCGATTCCGATTGATGTTAAAATGCTGTGAACTTAACACTGCTTCTTGTTTATTTTTCACCAGTGTGACGGGGTTGGATCATTGGACACTGTGTATGTTGGGAGCTGCGATGGAAACTCCCCTAGATGTTCTGTCGCGAGCAGCCTCGATGGTTCAAGATACTAGCAGAAGCAGTCAAGGTATGTTGTGACACTGCGTACTTGAAGGGTGTGCGTCCCTCTCAAACACAATGTCGACTCCTTTGTTTAGACTTGGACACATGCCCAGAATGTAATTGTGTTGACAGGCATATACATTAAACTATGCTCTAGCTTGTTCAAATTCAATATATTAGTTTTTACAGCCTATTTTTCTTTTTTTTTCCCGACATCCAATCAGTATTTTCATCCATGTAGATGTCTAAATAAAAGACAAATATGATGAATAGAAATTGAAAAAATATTGAAAATTGATTCAGTGAGTTCAGGGTGTCAGAGAACTTACATGTGTTGTACCCAATAATTAGTTGTGAAATTTCTAATTTTCCACCAACATCTCTTAATTGCCCCCTTCCCCCCCCCCCCCTTTTTTTATAAAGATAAATAATTTGATGGTGCAAAATTCAGAAAGCTTGAGGAGTAATGGTTAGAGAAAAATGTATAGTAATTGAAAAAGGAAACAAAGGTTTTGGAGAAGATAAAGCATCTAATTATTTACCCCACTTTCAATAATTGCTAACCTCGCTCAACTACAGTATCTATATCAGTATTTTCTGATTTTATTCTGTTGCTCAATTGTCAAGGTGTTACTGCTCAAGCATCTCAGGGTGATTCCCGCTCTTGCTACCAGCACCAACCAATTATTGAACCGAGCAGATAATTTATTCCTCTCCTTCCATATTAGCAACTATAAAGTATATATATATATATATATATATATATATATATATATATATATATATATATATATATATATAGAGCACCTGGATATTTTTCCCCTTGTTTGGTCATACTGTACATATAGCATGACAAAAAAGTGAAATACATAGACCTGTTTAACAAAAAAATTGTGGATCATTGATAATGTCTAATGAACCTGAAAAAAGAGACAAGTAAACAAATTCACATTTGTATGCAAATATGGCCCCTCCCAATCTCCAAACATTATCTTTCTGTTTTAACAAGTAGTGGACAGACATCTCCTTACTAAACATTTTCAATTCTAACTTTACCAATGGGTGTAACAAAAGTAGAAAAGCTTATGATCACACTGTGATTGTCATTGAGAACAATTCAGATAATACAAATGTTTAGATATTGTATTGTCATATATATACTATTATGTAATTCAAATTATAACATTCCTGTCGTACCAGCTGCTGTTTTTAATTTTGAGGTTTGGTTGGCGCATAACTTGAATACACATGCAAAAAAAAGAGAAAAAATGTTCTAGTTATTTACCCCTTCTCTGTGCATTTCAAACATTCAAACTATTTAGGGCAGATCATTAAAAAAGAAAACACTGTGTTTTCCATTCTTGATTTTGCGCCAGGTTTTCAATGTTGCTGTTGCCTCTGGGTGTAAAACATGCAGACAAAGAAAAGGCATGCAATCAATTTATTGGTATGCGTTAGGCTTTTATATTGAATTTGAATTGGGACTATATGTGATAAAAATTGAGATGAAAGTAGGGGAAAGTTTGTCAGAATTTCATGCAATGTGATTGAGTAGATTTAGTGTTTGATTGGTTTATTTGAATAAAATAATTACTTGGATTTTCATATTCTGAAAAGTTTGATGAATTGATCACATTTTTTTTTTTTTTTTTGATGAATTTCGTTGTCATGAAGTATTTTGAATGAATTAGGCATTTGAAATTGCAGGGCATTTCATTGATGATTGGATGAACAGAAGTTTTTTTCTGTGAAATTATTATCTTGTTTGGTCTACATGCCAATTTTCATAAATACACATATTTTACAGACTTTGCTGCAGTTGATGAAAATTAGTTTATCCAAAATTGTTTAACAAATCATGTTCAAGAGACTGTGTGTTGTCACTGCGTGGTGTTTATCGTGATGAAAAAAATATGTGTGTAAGCCTTTTCTTGTGACTTATAGAATAGATTGGTGTGGCTACCTGATCTGGGTGTAATGTGATCCTAGCAGTCACTGAGTAGACTGGTAAAAGGTGGTTGGAAATTACTTTTGCAGCAGTGAAAACATTACAATAGTATGCAGCAGGAAAATTTGAAAACCTCAAATTATGGCCTTTTCATCATATTAGAAATTGTTCGCATTCAAAGAGAGAAAGATAAACCTGATCCTTATCTTTGAGAATTTCCCTCTCTCTCTCTCTCTCTCTCTTGGTACGGTTTACAGACTGCAATTAATTTCATGAACACACACCAGCAGCTCAATTACCAAGAAAAAGATAATTTTTAAATCAAGCTTAAATTGACCAAATATATTTGCATAGATGATTTCATTACTAGTACATTATTCAGAACTATTTAGTGGTTATTTTTTTCAAGCAATGTTTTCTCTTGTATCATCGTTTATTAGTGATAAATAAAGATGGTTAAACAGAAGACTGAAGTCTTCTTTTTAGCATCACTGGCAGCCTGTTTCATTCAACAGAGGCCAGTGTGACAATTTTTGTTTGCTATTACACCCTTTAAGAAAAAAAATTAGGAGACCTGGAGTCATTTGAATTGTTTACTTTTTTCCCCCCAAACATTGCGAAGCAAATTTTGAGTTATCTTGTCCACAAATAAATAGGCAAAAGGCTGTTGGAAACATAACCTCTTACTTTGGCGGAAGTGCAAGCCCATGTACTGAGCACAGATCAGAACATGAACAAAATTCCATAGCTGAAAGCCTTTGTTCTCCCAGGTATATTAATGAAATTTTGTGGCATGTTATTGTTATGGTTTTGATTTTTATGTGTTTTTGATACAAAAAGAATGTTTGCCATGTGATGTTTATTACCACCAGGAATGTTTATGAATGATAAAAAAAGATTTGCATCGTGTGTGTTTCCAGTGAAAATTTATCCTTCATCAGAAGTTGCAATTGACATTGTTTGCATATGTGTGTGGTGGTAAAATTTCAAGAAATGTATCTGAATTAGTTTGGAAACTGAAAGGAAAAATATTACCTAAGCGTTTGACTTATCAATTTCTGTTTTGCATTTGTGCAAAAGCAAAATCAAAGTAGTTTCTGCTATATTTGTGAGGATATTCTGTGAATATTTATTTGCAGAACCTGAGCCAATGAAATGTGATTTCATTCAACTTGAGGCGGTGTTGAGTATGTGTATGCTAAATTTGTGTCAGTTTAGGAAGACTCTGATTTGAAAGTGTTGAAAAAGGAAGTAACCCAAGAAAAGATTAAGGAAACCACTGATTAAATTTCCTTTGTGTGTGTGTGTCTGTGTTTGTGTTACAAACAACTTTTTTTTACTCAGAACTGTTAGGGCCCAGCATCATATTTTCTTGAAAATCATACCAGTTTTATTCAGAATATTCAGATAGCTTTCATATCAAAGCAGTATTGTGTTATAATTAACCTGAAAATGTTTTATTGAATATTAAAATATGCCCGAGAAAGCAGAGTTGTGGGGAAAGCTTTCATTTGTATTCTTTAGTTTAGGCATTGTGAAGAACATAATGTAGATTTATTAAGTGTTATTTTTTCTGTTGATGGAACAATAATTCCATTGTAGCAAATTTGTAAGGAAGGTGAGATTTTTAAATTCATTGAAAGAATAATAATGGGAACAAATTAAACCATTTTCATTTCCTCAGTCACCAAACAATTTGAAAAAATGAGAATGTTAGTTCTAGGGATTTATTCTCTTTTGATTAATTGGAATGCATTTATATACTCATAATATTAGTCAGATATGTCATTACTTTTGTATGGCATTGCCATAATGATGAGGGTGGCCATGAAGCAGAATAGTGACCAATGTCAGCTGTGGCATGTATGCAGGCACAGATATGTATACTAATAGCAGTGATAAAGGCAGCGGGCAACTTAGGGTAATTTTGTTATAAATATGGGTAATACAGGGAACTGATGCCAGTGTTTTGTGGTAGCCACCTTCAACCTGATGGCACTCTAGTCTAGACATGCATTCATACCACACATTTTTTTCTTAAATTATGGTTTTTGTACCTGTTTAAATCAGTTTACTCGTTCTCTCAATAGATGGCAGCAGGCTATTGCCCTTTGCCACCAGATGGCAGCAGGACAGTGTAGTAGTCCTGCCTACAAAAATGTGTGTGAATGAGAGTGTTTATAACTTGAATGGAATAAATTGTTGTATAATTTGAAGATCACAACTTTAGTATGCTGTTTTTTAACTATAAAAGTACATTTGTAACAATTGTTGTCTTGTGTTCTATGTTAAATTAGGAAAAGTTACCCTTACCCTTGCATGTTTATTCACTCCGCCCTTGTTTGAATGAGGTACACCCTACCTAAATGTGGCAAACAAATTGCTTTCTCAGTCATTGTTTGTCCTTTTTCTGACATGGTAGATGAAGTTTTATATGACACACTATTCTGCCTCATCTGCTTTCTGAAAAGGAAGGAGGTGTTGGTGAATCATGATTACATGTAGTTTATTTATTTGAATTTTTTGCTGGACACTGTGTCTAGAGATTAAATGCCAGTTACATGTATTCTTTCTCAGGACATAAAATAAAAGATAGAAATGAAATGATGTTTTAATGATAGGAGCACAGCTGAAATGAAATTGATAATCATGAAGATATTTGCATGTTAAAAACGAAAAAAAAAAAATGTAAATTAAAACATGAAAATGATGAAAATGAAAAAGGGAACCAAAATCTGTCCGATCATTACAAAAGTGGGAGATTATCCTTGTGTGAACATTCTCAAGAGCAAGCCTTAAAACTGGCAATAGCAGAGGAAAGATATCTGTATGAGAGAAACCGTAACTGTCTTGCTCTGTGTAATTGGAGCGTCAAGTTTTAATACAGCACTTTGAAGAGAATGCAAATTGCCATATAGTCTACCAATCAATAAGTCAGTTTGTGATGAGCAGTTAAGAAAAACTTACGTATTAAATGGTTAAATCTATGTTACTTTGATTGAATTCATTTACATAGTTTATATCTGTTAGCATTTATCTACACTTTAATTTAATGTTCTTACTTTTTTTTTTTTTCAAAAATGTGAAAAACACAACAAGATTTTTATGTTGACTCTTACAAAAGTAATTCTAATGAAATACAGGGAAGTGTGTATATTTATATATATAATATATATATATATATATATATATATATATATATATATATATATATATATATATATATATATATATATAGTGAAAAGAAAGAAGTGAAAAGAAGGAAGTTATTTGAGATCTCATGAGATGGAGGAAGTTATCAATATTTATTAGTGCATTAAAAAACTTCTTTTAGAAAACACAAAAAAAATCTAATATATATATGCATTCAAAAAACTTATAACATTTTTTCATGAAATTCTGCACAAAGAAACATTTTCCTTCAGTCCATTAGTATTTGATGTGTATATTTCATACCCATGGAAGTGTTGAGGTAAAAAAAAATCCCACAATCTTTTCAGTCTTGTGTAATTCAAGCACGTCAAGAAAGGATTTCATTTTAGCCACAATTTCACAACTCGTGTCAATCACAGAATATAATAGGCTGGGAGAAATTAATGATAATCCATCTGCCCCAGCGAGTGCTTAGTGATTGGCTGGCCTGGAATACCCGTATTTTTCTAATCATGTTAAGTTGCCATTAGGAGGAGAGCGGCTGCATACCTAGCATACCAGTCTCTTTGATAGTGGGTGACTAAAACAGGGTGTTCTCGCATGCCATGCTCATTTTTGAGGCACCTCTATAATCTAGGCTGCACAGACATGCTTGTACAGCTCCAGTAAGACACAGAGATGAACTCTGTGTGTGCGCAGTTCATATCTGCTGCTAGCAGTTCATGGATAGTAGACTGCACTGAGAAAGAAGGTATGGGATCAGGGTTGGGGGGGGGATAGAGGGAGATAGTTACTAGTATATGTGCATCGTTGAACCTTGAGCATGCATGCATGCCTGGCATTTAGCCAACTGTGGTATTCATAGAGCTGTTATGACTTAGGAAAATATTTCTTACAAGATTCAAAAACAAGATGCAATAGTAGTCATTTCCTCTAGTTATTTCAGGTATTATAAGTGTTTTATCTGAAGTGTTTTTTATTTGTATGTTTTTGTCATTGTGATCCTCTATTTATTTAAAATATGTTTATCAAGTAAAAGAATTAAGGAATTTTTTCTTAGCATTCAGAAACCTGGTGTTATGATTTTTTTAGTTGAACAAAATATTGTATTGCAAAAAAAATCTTGATTTAGAGGTCAATATTTAAATAATTTTCTTAGAAAATATTTCTTAGTAGCGCTACAAAGAATGTACCTAATTTTAGGTCTTGTGAAAATAAGAAAAAATGGATATTATTCTTCATTTGGATTGGTGCATGGGCCTTGTTGTTGTAAAAAGGTTTTCCTTCCTTCAAGGAAATATTTGGCTTTCAAATAGTTCAGCTACTATATACCCAGGGGCCATTGGTGATATTGTCATGCATAACAGAATGCTATATTCATAACAGAATAAAATCCTTTTTTAAAGCAAAAAAAAGTAAGTATTCTCTTTATAATGTTTGGAAAAAGATTTTGTCAGTAGACAGTATTGCTTGGAACACATTTGCTAGTTGTAGAAAGCTGATTAGTTTTATGATAAATTTTGCAATAAAAAATTAAGGCCATACATGTGAAAGATGACAATTTTAGAGACTTATCAGTAAATAGTTTAGACAAAACACAAGGAAGATTTATTGTCTAAAAATATTTCAAGTCAGGCTCACTTTCCCTGTATTTAGACATATGAATTTCAATTATTAGTACATATAGTCCTTCAAGTTCATATGCTTTTCAATCTTAGTGCCACTTTTTTCTGCCCCTCCAACAGTATACTGAAGATGCCCTGCACTGAATAGATGTAAATCCTGGCTTCCACATGACATCATTTCTTGGCTATAGTGAAGCATTTTCCCCATGCTTTCACTAGAGACACAGTGGTCAGGTTGTATCACTAAAATAGCCTCTGCTGGCTTGTGGGACTTTTTGTCATCTCCTTGCCATTTAGTTATGAAATGCAGATAAATCCAGGCTAAACCATGTCATATTATGGATGCGTGTGTTATACATGTGTAGAGAAGAGTAAGTTTTGATGTATAAAAGTTGATGTTTACAAAAAATTTGGACATCAAGTGACTGCAAGTGAATAGATTAATTATTTACTCTGTACACTGCATATTAAATAATACTATAAGGTATTAATTAAGTTTGGTTTCGGGTAAAGAATAAAAGGGGGTTTGTTTTTTTTAAAACATGACAATTTGTTGTTTTTTAAAACATGACAAATTGAAAATAAGTTGTTTCTGTTTTGCCATCATGTTAATAACAGATTTAATAAATATGTTCTTTAAAATATTGACTTTTTTATGTTCATGGAATTACTTAATAAATAAAAGAAGCTGGTATTAAGAGTAATTCATTTGTAGATATTAATTCTTATGTTGAAGCAAGCACTTTAACATTAAAAGGGGGGGGGGGGAGATGCCTGACTTTGGAAGTATGCAATAATTGGTAATAGACAAAGAAAAAAAAAAGAAGTAGCAAGTTCAGTGGAAGTAAAACACCACAAGTAACTTAAAGGAATAATTATGGTCATTGCCAGGGGAAGCAGATAACAAAGTGATATTTTATGAAATTGAAAATCTTGAATACAAATTCAAATTTAGTTCACTCATTCGAAAAAAAGCAGTCACACACAACTGACTATCATTGAAGGAAGAGATGTTGTTAAGTTTCCAGACTTAAATGTATACATATATCTAGCAGGGCTTCCTGTATTTTTGCTTCAGTATTTAATTAGTGCCAGAATACCATTTTCATTGTTATTGATTCATTTTTATTCATTATTTATTTTTATTTATTTATTTATTTATTTATTTATTTATTTTTCTTTTGAGAAATGTGCATAAATTGGTTGGGGAGGAAAAATTATCAGTAATTTTTGCATTGTTTACTGAAAACACTTTTAAAATTTTTCAAAGAAAGAAAGAGAAAAACTTACTGTAAATGACTTTTTGATTAATTCAGTTTCATATTTTTTAGTTTAAAACACATTGGTGCTAAACTACATATAACACACTACTAACTCTCAAATATACATATTATCATTGATTTCCATCCAGCATTTTAGTCACTGTCCTTTATTATATTTTCAGCAACCACTGTGATGGAACATGATAGAACAAAGACCAGTTCTCCTACCAAACAACTTCCCACAAGAATGCAGCGTGAGGAAAGGAGGCGAGGACGTCAGGAGATGTCCGCTATGCTACAGTTTGCAGCAAACCACAGAGATAGGACAGGGGATAGGAAGTGTGCGGGCACACAAACGTAAATAGTTTGTTTTAGTTTCAAATACATTGTACCCTGGGAGTCAAAGTAAAGATGGTAACTTTATTTGATGCACCCTGTGAGTCGAAGTGATGATAGTAACTTTCTTATTTGATGGGTGTTGATGGTAACTTATGCACTAGAATTCAGAGCAAGCACCTTGTTTCAGGCTTGCTTTGGCCAAGCTAAAATTACTTTTGGTTTTTTTCATTTCTTTAAATGTCAGTTTCTATAAACAAAACCTGTAAATAATTTTAAAAAACATTCCTGTATGTTCTTTGCTTTCCATCAGTAACTGAAAGCAGGATGTTTTTAAGGCAGAATAATTCACCAAGCAAATTACATCAGAGTTAGGAATGTTTGTTTGGAACAAAACAAAAACAAAGAAAAAGAATGAAAAAAAAAAGGGTACAAAGGATACCAAAAATTTAATGCCACAGCTTTTTAACCTTGCCTTACAGCAGGGGGTCTTCAAGTTGAGCTGTGATTATACCGGTATGTGCTTTTCCGGAGGCCATGTTGGTTTGAAAATGTGGTAACATGCCCTTTTCGTAAATTCATTTTTCGCAATTCTTATTCACCTACTGTAGGATTGCTCACAAACATTTTTGCTTGCTTTTATAATTAAAATATTGTCTTTGTAGCAGTGCAGTCATTCTCGTTCATTAAAATTATATGTTGAATTGGAATTACTTTCAGCTTTTGTAAGAATATGTAATCTTTTCCAAAGTATTTGCTATTCAAAATTTTTGCTCCTCAATTATTTTGGAAGAATAAATATACCCTCTAAGGAAAAATGTTACAAGGGCAATCAAGTAGTTGGTTGTATTTCAAAACTCGATGCTGAAGTTAGCAAAGAAATATTTTGGTTTGTGCAATGATTTACTGTTAGAAATGATTGGCTATGAAAGGATTCTAGATAGCCCCTCTCCCCCCCCCCCCCCTTTAAGAGATAAGACATTTTAATCTGTAATCTGTTTTGCACAATTCAGAACCCTTAAAACCATGAAGTATTAATTGTAGAGAACAGAAGTATTCAGACTCTGAAGCTCCAGCTGAATTCTGCTAAGTTGACATTTTGAACTTCAATTTTTGTGAATGTTGCACCACTAGTTTACAATGCAGGAAACGAGGAGCTTTGTCTGTATTGCAGAGGCTAGGGCATTGAAAGGGGAGGGACGCCCTGCATAGAATGATGACATTGAGATTACAGACTTAAATTAATTTTGATTTGAAGTTATCTTCTCTAAATAAATGCTATGAAATATATAGTAATTTAGACTTTAAGCCGAGACCTTTAGCTGTCTGACAATGAAATAATGTCTTGAATAACTGTAATCTATGTAAGTGGTCTGAGTAATGTTTATGAAGACATTTTGTCCTTGTGCTGTCTTTGAGTGGACTGATATTGTTTAGTGGCATTGTGTTAATTAATGGACACAGGGCAAGGGTGTCAAAACAATTGTTATATAACAGGGAAGGTCCTGATATGTGTACAGATGTCTTGTCTTGTCACCAAAACAGGTCATCACACAGGTATGTTAATGGGGTGGTCATGTGTCTTCAGGTTTAGGTAATGCCAGGAAATGTTTCTTGAAGTAATCTGTAATGATTGGTTAAGTGTGGCATAATCACCCATTGTTTGGGTTCTGATGAAGGAAGTAGGAGTTTATTTGGACAGGAAAACCTTGGATGTTTGCATGTTTTGGTTCCAATGATGCCTCATATCTGTTATACAATAATACAGCAGGCTGGCTGTACTTAAAACTATATGAAATGTAATTGTTGAAGTAGGGGTAAAATCAGTTCCCTCAAAAACACCAGGATTAAAAATTTAGAAATTGAAAACAGGGTTTATAGGTGGCATTTCTCTGTCGGCAGTTTTGGATAAGGGGATAAGAAAAGTGCTAAAATTTCCAAGAAAATTACTTTTTGCTACAGAAAGGTCTAGTGCACATTGTACATGTATGCCAGAGGTGGAGGTTGAACAGTGACACTTGCACATAATTTATAATTGAAACTAAGAGTAAGAATGCAAGTATGCTTTGAAGTACGTGTAGCTGTAACTTTGTCTCACTGTCATGGCCAGCTGTACACAGAGAGATGAGAATAATGGTTTTGATGTGGTGTTAGCCTGTTCAAAGAGAAAGTCCATTTGGACTCACACCAAACATTTCTGTAGTGCAGTATTTGGCTGCCTGGCCAGTTTGTGTCAGATTTGACATTTTGTCACATGCAACCGGAGATGTTGTTGTGTTAAATTGTGCATTACAATATAAAAGGTGTAGTGGCATTTGAGGAAAAATGTCCCCAAAGAGTTTTTTAAAGTTTTGAAATTTAACAGAAAATGAATTTGTAATAGTATAAAATGCTTTGAAACTGTAGAGAATAAGAATTTAAAGAGAGACTTCAGACAAGTTATCCATTCTTTTATTTTTTAATTTACCCATTGTTTGTTTTGATTTACAGACCATATTCCAGTTTCAATGGACAGCCAATGTACACATCAGGAGAGGGCCCTCAACGGCCTACCAACCTTCCACTAGTCAGCTATCACACACACACCACAGCTCAGTCCAACGCACAAACTGGCTTCTGTGGCCATTGTAATAATGGCAGCACGAATCCTGGTGCTGGCTCATTCAACAGCCCTACTTCACCTCTTAATTTATCAACCACGACGCGATCGCCTGTGTCCCCACTACAGCAGCAGCACAGGCCGTCCGTGATAACATGTGCACACTGCGGACCTCCTCCATATCCAGCGGGGACCAGAAGAATAGAAACCTCAGGTTTGTACAGTCTACATGGGCAGTTTTACTACATAGTCAAATGTCATATTTTTCTTTATGTTAAAGATATATTATTTCAATATATGTGAGTATTATCTATTAGCTATATATATATATATATATAGGTATATTATTTCTCTTTCCATTATCACACATGCAGGTGCCCACAGTTTTCTATATTGATAGTGTGTTTTAAATGTTATCACCCATAAACATTCAAACCCTTCTTATAGTTTTTATATCTGTACATCTTCAGAATACCTCTGCCTGTTCATGTTGTGCTTTCCAACACATTTGTTCACCTCATAAATGCCAAACATAATTTTTGCTTTACTTTAAATTTACTAGGCAGCTTTATTTGATGAAAAGGCAGGTTGAGTTCAAACCCATCATTATTGGAATATTTTCATGGAAATTGTGTAATTTTTGGTGTTTTTTACATATAAGTATGCAAAGTTCCCACTATAAGTGTCATGTTTTGTCTGAGAAAAAATATACCGGAAGCATTATTTAATTAAAAGGCAGATTGATCAGCATGATAAGATGATTTTTTCAAAGTTATTGGATTTTTGGTGGGCCCACCCTCGTAGGAAGAAATGTACAGTATGCAGTCAGAGGTGGGAGGCAAGGTTGAGGGTATATCTTTTCACCAGCCACAGATAAAAGCAGATGTTCTAGTTTACTTCCCAGATTTTTATAGATCTGATTAACATCCCATGCCCTCCACAGTGACACTGTGAATGCCAGACATGCCACCAACAACACTCATCCTGCCATGCCATGCTGAATAGCTGGTCAGGATCTACTACAAATAAATAAGAGTTTGCATTTATGATAAAAATGGAAAATATTTGAAACGATGTATTTTCATTGATTTGACCTTAAAATGGATTGGCAGGATTTAGGAGGTATTTCCTGGAGGCAAAAGTTATGCCAGGTATGGGATGGCTGTCTATATTGGGGTACCGTGAACTTTAGAGCAGGGATGAGTGCTCTTAATATGGCTCTGAATGTGCTCTGCTCCTCTTTAGAATGTCGTGATTGTTATTGCGGAGAGAAGGGTGGGTGTGCTTTGTTAGTAAGAGCTTTAAATGGTCAGTGGTCAGTTCAAGGCTTTTTGTATGGACTGTTTGTGTGTAAAAATCTGGTCTAGGAAATTTAATGTTAGATCCATTGTTTTATGTAAGTAAATGAAACACAAGTTCCATTGGACATGTAGTAAAAGTTTCCAAAATGCAGTCACAGTCAACCAACATGCAGCATACCTGAGGAATAATACTTTGTATTACCTATCACAGTCCTCATTTCTCTGATGAAGTCTGTCAGCAGATAAAATATTGGTTGGTGAATTTCAGTTAATATTTTCGATAACTGTTGACAAATGAAACATTTAAACCTTTTAATTAAAAAATTATTAGTTTATTGAATATCCATAGCTAATGAAACTATTCAACACAATCACAATCAGTTTCACCAAACAATTTCCCCCATTATTCACCCAGTATCTGTCTATAATCAGTCTGTGAATGCAGGATATGCTCTGACAAAGATGTCCTTATTAACATAAGTTTGTCCCTCATCTTTGAAGATTAATTTGTCAGTAATGCAGCTGCTCAACTGTTTTTTTTTTTTTTCTTTTTAATTATTAAGATTTTAAATGTTCATTGTAATATGAATTTCTTTCAGTTGACCTCTGTGACCCAGCGATTGAGGAGCATTTCAGACGGTCATTAGGGAAAAGCTACCAAGACTACCTTCCCGCCTCCACACCTCCGGGACCACTGTCGCCGCTGTCCAAGTCACCTGTGACCAAATCACCGATCTCAGCATCAGGACCACCCCTCAGTCAGGCTGCAGTCACCATGGCAACACCATCCCCACTCTCCTCCTCTGCCTCCACGACACCATCATCTGAGTGCAGCATCTCAATAGCAGGTTGGTGTGTGGGTTACATGAGACATAGAACATGGACATCTGGTGATGGCTTGAAATGAAGCAACTCTGCTTCCTTATAGTTTGAGACATAGACTCTAGGTATCATTGCTAGCTAGGATAAGTGATAAGGCATTTATGATACATGATTCCTGTTTGAGTTAATTTTAGGACTGAAATATATGATGAAAGCATCACTGAAATTTCTTGAATTTGGAGCCAACTAAGTTAGTTTTAACTTAAAAGAGTTTTAAAAGCATTGATCAAAACATTTTGACCAAATGTAATTTCGGGGAAAAAAGCCAGAATTGTATCATTGCTGTACTGTTTATTTTATGATAGGTTCAGCTTCTGTAGACGATCACTTTGCCAGAGCTCTGGGAAACAGCACCTGGTCAGAAATTAAAGCTAAGAAGGAACCTGTGCAATTGGACATTTTAGCTGGTTCTGTGGATGACCACTTTACAAAAGCTCTGGGGGACCAATGGCTGAAGATTAAGGCTGACAAAGAATTAACTAGGAAAGAGGCGGTCAATGGGGCATCTGTGGCACATATGACGACCTCTTCACGTACACAGCCTTCACAGACTTTGGTGTCTTTATAGATTATTAGAAAACCAAGTAATCTTATTCTGACTGCTATGTACGTTTGTGAAAATTTCAAGGTTGGCTTTATAGCCTCATTTCCTGGATAAAAGAGATCAGCAGGATTGACAACTTATGACTGAGTGGTTTTTATGGATCTGTTCAAACTTGAAATGGTGGCGCCTCCCTGTCGGGGCAAGTGTCAACAATGTGAAATGTTATGTGATGGCATTTTTTCTTGGTTTAAAAATTATTTGGCTGAAAACATTTGAGTGAAAAGGGTAAAATTCCAGTATTCATGGTGTTTAGACTGTCTTAAGGTCACATTCTCCAAGACAACACATCAAAAAAGGACAATAATTTAATGTAAATGAACAAATGTCAAGGTTTTTGTTATGAACAGTTTCTTTCTTTTGTGCTTCTTTTAATTTAAGGTCAGAGTTCATGAAATAATGGCTTATGTAATTGGCTAGTAAGTGATGATTCAGTAATCAATGTGATACATGTAGCTTGTCCAGTGATGTTGTAAAGCACACATTATTGAGCACTGTACAGTTTTCATTCAGTTTTTCAGCGATGGGATGCCAGAGTATTATTGTACATTGTATATACACTGTTGCTGTTGTAATCTTTACGGTTCATACCAAGTTCACTACAATATGGACTCACTTCAGTTGGGGATTTTTTTCTACCTTCAGTTTTCATGGTTGTGCACTTGTAAATTAACCAGGATGTTTGGTTTGTTTTATAAGTATAATAAGTATAAGCAAAATGAGAAGTGTATGGTTCTTTCTAAAAAAAAAAAAAAAAAGCTCCAAGGCACAGTTGAAGGTGTGAGGCAAAAAGGCAGATAGAGGAAAGTATGGAAGGTCAACATAAAAGAGTGAAGAGACGGGAGCTTTTTTTCAAACCCAGGCATTGACACACAATCTGAAGGATTGACATAACCTGGGTGGGTGGAGTGTCATAACTGCACTGCTTTGATCTACTGTTTCTTTTGAAGGATTAAAGTTAGAGAGAGGTCTACAGGTAGTAAAATTTGCTGTCTTAAGGCAAGCCATGGATGGGTTTCATCTCAAAATTATAGGGTTTATAATGTAAGTCAGTAAGTTAATGTTATATTATATTATTTAATTTAAAAACCGTCATAGAGAGGCACTGGCCTTATTGTGGTAAAGAAATAATATTATGCTATTTAAGGCACGGAAAAGTCATGCAGGACCAAGAAGATGGAGAAAAGAAATGGTCCAGATCCAACTGTGGGTGGTTTTCATTCATCTCCAGAGCACCAAGTGCACACTAGGATAGGGTTTTATTAGCACCACACCTTATGGTATCTTACCCATTGGAACAAATGTGAACAGTGAACTAGGGTTTTCATCATCTTTTGTAATTAATTAATAAGTAAAAGAAAACTGTTTCTGAATAGATTGATGCATTATATTTCAGCCCTTGACATGATCTTGATCACAAATGATCAAGTGGTAAATGGTTAAAACATCATGCCTAATACCTAAATACATTTTTTTTTTTTTTGTTAAGAAACCATTTACCGTCTTACCAAATAGGTGATCGTCATTGAAATGTGAGAATTAGAACAAAATATAACAATTTTGACCAAACCAGGTTAAAAATCCCATGGAATCCCTTTTGGTCAATTATGGGTCAGGATTGTTCTAAATTTTACTCAACTCAGATCTAAGATTAGAATCAAAGAGCAGGACTGTTTATTGTCTAAGTTATATCTTGTAAAACAAGAGTGAAGTATTGGTGATATGTTAATAAATGTGAAATATGTTGTTAATGTATTTTGTAAATTGCGGTATTTTTTATAACTTACCACAAATGAGAAGATAAAGTCTCAAGTTCCGCTTTAAATGTTACTTGTTGTCGATCTGGTACACATAATAAACTTGCTATTAAATAATTGAAAACACTGTAAACAACGTTGTCGCAACTCTCTTCAATTTATTGCACGCATAAACAATCCTTGAAGGATTTTAAAATGCAAGGGGACTCCAGGCTTAACTAGAGAGCTTAAGTAAAAATGTGTCTGAAACTGCTATACATAATGTGATTCCTAATTCAGCTAAGGGTAGTCAGATTTGGTCTAGTTAGCAATAAGACTCTTCTCAATTCTGCACTGTTTCTATTACTGAACTCCATGACCAAATTCCAGATTAACAATACTTAAATGAGTGTCATTCAAACTGTGAATGTTAAAAATATTAAGTACATACAGTTTTCGCATCACACATAACAAGACGTGTTGTAAAAATAGGTATCCACCCCTCCTCTATCTGACTGTCCCATTTTCTTATAAATATACCTTAAAAATTATATAAGTTTTAGTATATCTTGTAGCATAAAAAACTGGCGCTTACAATAAGCACCTTTAACATGATACAGTAGCACAAAGAAGTGAGCATTGACCATGGTGTGACACTACTTCAACACTAAGACTTAAAAGTAGGAAAAAAAGAGCAATATTCCTGTCACATCAGCAGCCCTTGTTTCTTTAAACTTTGTTGTTTTTTCTTAATGCACACTATTAAGTCATATGAATAATAGTAAGTTAAAAATACTTGGGCTATTCGTGAAAAGAATTTGTTTCAATACCAATGACACAACGCTACTGTTGGAGTGGTGTTATAAATGTTATAATAAATAAGACAATAACCATTAATGAGAAAAAAATGTGCAAACTGCTGTGCAGAAAGTTGCACAATATCAAACCCATATCTAAGTGTCATCACAATACAAAGTCGAACAATACAAAGTTTGCAGTCTACTGTTTCACAATGTGATTGATCAGTTATAAAATGCACCAACATATCACTGCACCAGAGAAGTGAAAACTTCCTGTTCCATTACAAAGAACAGGTCCTGGAGGCTTCTTCAACCTCCACCGCTTTTAGTTCAGTTGGTGCTCGGAAGACAAATGTTTAAATCCAGAAGAAAAAGAGCACAGCCCTTCATTGTATGCTTAGAAGCAAAACAAATACTCACTATGCAATCTGAAAATGTCGAACAGAAAACATATTCGTCCAAATTCACAAACCTATATCACATATGGATTGATGTCTAAATCTTGTGTCTGTACCTACATACATGTACAATAAGGAATAAAAACAATTACATTAAAAGCTGTCATGTAATGCTAACAAAAAGAAAAATTACCATCCTCATACCTCTTGGAGCAAACTCCAGCCTGTACATACAAGTTAGCACCTGGAGTAAATAAGTTGCTGTGACAAAAATCTCTTGCTTTACTTGTGCTGCCATCTACAGAACAATTACACAAAACCTTTTTCAAGACATTGTCTGCATGCGCTTTAACTTGTGACAACTGGTTTTACGTATCTCAATGTTGAAGATGAAAGATTTTTTTCTTGTAAAATATTACATCTGTGTCATTTTCATTGTGGGAGGTTGGTATATCAAGCTAATAAATATAGCATTATTAATATGGCTACCAAATAGCCTTTGGTACAAACTTGGGCTACAAACAATTTTTTTATCACTTCAAATGTTGTTTTTTACAGGTTATTTCTATTTTAAATTATGGTGTACATGAAACTGCTTCATTGAATTTCTATCAAATCAGCTAGAAACCCCAAGCACCTCTGCATCAGTCAACATATCTATGTCCAAAATAGAAAGAAGAATAAAAAAGGTTTCATTTTTAACACATGGAAAAAACTACTGAAGCAAGAATATAAGTGAAACAGGCACTTCTTATATGCTTAAGTAAAAACAATGAATATTACCATAAATAATTAACCTGTCTAGGATATTAAAAAGAGATTCTGAAGTATTAATTATAAGAAATAAGAATGAAAAAAAAAAAAGAAAGTTATATATACAAATTAAATACACACAAAACCAAATGAAATCCCAAATAGCAAAAAACAAATTGCTGTCTAAACAGGAACATCACAAAGGTTTCACAAAATGTTATTTTTCTTTCCCATTCTTGTTCTTAACAAAACACAAAGCATTCATGGTTTCTACACCTCCCAGACATATCTTAGCTATCACTATGTGCTAATATAACAACATTGAGATTCCTCTATTATCAAAGACTAACTGAAAGATCTAACTATTGTTATTATATGAATATTCAAGTTTAAAAACTGGTGAAATATGCAGCAACTAATGCATGTGCCTGCATGTTTTCATAAAAAAGAGATGATTCCTTACAATAATATCTATCACATGTAACAACAATCCTCATATTACAGTCTTAAACAATGTGCAATATTACTTCACTCAAATGGAGGTTTCAAGCAAAGGGAATCTGTTGAATAAAATATCTGTCAACAATCCTATTTATATAAGATATATCAATGCTGTATAAAATTAGCAAGCATTTTCAAATTTGTACTCAAATATTTTCTTTGAAACTATGTACAGCTGGAAGGAAATTTGTATGAAAAATTCACACTTCAATAACATTTTCCTCTTGGACATTTGCAAAGTCTTCATTTAAAAAGCACCAATTTGACCTTTTTACCCAAAGCTCATTTTCTGTGCTGACAATGGTAACCACCATTTTTCTTACATGACAAACGTAGTCTCTGTATTCTACAAGGTCATTTCAACCAAGGTCAGGGTCATACAAGGGCAAGGTCATCCAACTAATGTCAAGGTCACCAAAGGTCATTCACTTCATCATGAGGGAATGCTTACAGACGTCTCCTGTGTTGCCCACACACGTGCTATATGGAGCTGGGCTGGGAATAGCACACACACTGCTGCCATCTGATGGCAGCATCTGCAAACAAAAGAATTCTAGAACCACCAGACCACCACAGGGGGTGGCCATATTGCACAAGCGCTATACAGTTGTGATGTAATTAGTCTGATCATTCTTTTTCTCTGCTGTATCTGCCATATCACCCCTGTCCTCTGGCGTTGAATACTGATTGAAGTCCCTCATTTCCTGTGCGCTGTACCCGCCCAGGTGGTCATAGTATGGTGACCTGTGGAGTAGGTCACGTGCTGCCTGGTCTATCTCGGCCTGGGTCATGTCGTTGGCCTCGGCTATCTCGCGCTGTAGACATTGTGCATCGATGTAATGTTTAAGGCCTTCTTCTTCTAAAGTCTGGAAGGAAAGTTTACATACTATAAATGTAAGAAAAAATTATACAGATTGATTTGCTTTTAACCTGTCATCTCTCACCTCCAGGACATCAAAATTTATTTCGAGAGTCATCCCCACTGAAATTCAGTACTTCATGCAGCTAATCAGAGTGAACTATCTCCATATAGGAGACCCACTACAAACAGTTTGTCTATATAAGCATCTGATTTCAACTTCACCAAAACCACCATATAGAACTTACTAAACACTGATACAATATGGACATATAACACCTCACATGGCACAACTAAACTGAAGCCGACCATGGGGAACAGATCCATTCAGCCATCAATATATATAAACATCAAACACCAAAACATTTCATAGTACTTGCGGCACACACAGTTGACAATAAAGTACCAAATAAAATGCATAATTAACAGCTGATATTGTAATCATCCCCTGTAAAAGTCTAACTCAATAATGATAAATAGATAAATAATGAATAAATAAATGAACAATGAAGACTGACATTTTTTATATTGAATATGAACTTGTGTTAACTGACTGGACTAACTTTGGACTGACCTGTCCTCAGACCTATTAGGCTCAAGCTACCATATACAGTGAGATTTAGCCCTTGTCAATGTACCCCTCCAGCTCCTCTGTGGCACAGTTTGTCTTTTGTGGTACACTGGAGCAGTTTCAATCAAGGCATGCTAGCACTATACTCATCATAACCTTTACCATCAGTAAATTGTCTATTTTTCCATTTTTTTTTCTGCCCCATATACCTTCTTTTAAATCAATTTCCAAGTGAATACAGCATTACATTAATGCACTTGAATACAATGAGAAGATTCCTAAACAGGAACTTTGAAGTTCACTGCAAGAATTACATGGAAAGGCCTCAGTCCAAAATTTACAGACCTCATACAAAATAAAAATCCTGATTCACTGTTCGTATTTAAAGAATGTCTCATTTTCATTATACACCCATATACAGGTTCCCTACCTTCATGTGAAAAAAAAAAAAAAAAAAAAAAANACAGAAAGAAGAATAAAAAAGGTTTCATTTTTAACACATGGAAAAAACTACTGAAGCAAGAATATAAGTGAAACAGGCACTTCTTATATGCTTAAGTAAAAACAATGAATATTACCATAAATAATTAACCTGTCTAGGATATTAAAAAGAGATTCTGAAGTATTAATTATAAGAAATAAGAATGAAAAAAAAAGAAAGTTATATATACAAATTAAATACACACAAAACCAAATGAAATCCCAAATAGCAAAAAACAAATTGCTGTCTAAACAGGAACATCACAAAGGTTTCACAAAATGTTATTTTTCTTTCCCATTCTTGTTCTTAACAAAACACAAAGCATTCATGGTTTCTACAACTTCCAGGCATATCTTAGCTATCACTATGTGCTAATATAACAACATTGAGATTCCTCAATTATTAAGGACTATGAACTGAAAGATCTAACTATTGTTATTATATGAATATTCAAGGTTAAAAACTGGTGAAATATGCAGCAACTAATGCATGTGCCTGCATGTTTTCATAAAAAAGAGATGATTCCTTACAATAATATCTATCACATGTAACAACAATCCTCATATTACAGTCTTAAACAGTGTGCAATATTACTTCACTCAAACGGAGGTTTCAAGCAAAGGGCATCTGTTGAATAAAATATCTGTCAACAATCCTATTTATATAAGATATATCAATGCTGTATAAAATTAGCAAGCATTTTCAAATTTGTACTCAAATATTTTCTTTGAAACTATGTACAGCTGGAAGGAAATTTGTATGAAAAATTCACACTTCAATAACATTTTCCTCTTGGACATTTGCAAAGTCTTCATTTAAAAAGCACCAATTTGACCTTTTTACCCAAAGCTCATTTTCTGTGCTGACAATGGTAACCACCATTTTTCTTACATGACAAACGTAGTCTCTGTATTCTACAAGGTCATTTCAACCAAGGTCAGGGTCATACAAGGGCAAGGTCATCCAACTAATGTCAAGGTCACCAAAGGTCATTCACTTCATCATGAGGGAATGCTTACAGACGTCTCCTGTGTAGCCCACACACGTGCTATATGGAGCTGGGCTGGGAATAGCACACACACTGCTGCCATCTGATGGCAGCATCTGCAAACAAAAGAATTCTAGAACCACCAGACCACCACAGGGGGTGGCCATATTGCACAAGCGCTATACAGTTGTGATGTAATTAGTCTGATCTTTCTTTTTCTCTGCTGTATCTGCCATATCACCCCTGTCCTCTGGCGTTGAATACTGATTGAAGTCCCTCATTTCCTGTGCGCTGTACCCACCCAGATGGTCGTAGTATGGTGACCTGTGGAGTAGGTCACGTGCTGCCTGGTCTATCTCGGCCTGGGTCATGTCGTTGGCCTCGGCTATCTCGCGCTGTAGACATTGTGCATCGATGTAATGTTTAAGGCCTTCTTCTTCTAAAGTCTGGAAGGAAAGTTTACATACTATAAATGTAAGAAAAAACTATACAGATTGAGTTGCTTTTAACCTGTCATCTCTCACCTCCAGGACATCAAAATTTATTTCAAGAGTCATCCCCACTGAAATTCAGTACTTCATGCAGCTAATCAGAGTGAACTATCTCCATATAGGAGACCCACTACAAACAGTTTGTCTATACAAGCATCTGATTTCAACTTAACCAAAACCACCATATAGAACTTACTAAACACTGATACAATATGGACATATAACACCTCACATGGCACAACTAAACTGAAGCCGACCATGGGGAACAGATCCATTCAGCCATCAATATATATATATACATCAAACACCAAAACATTTCATAGTACTTGCGGCACACACAGTTGACAATAAAGTACCAAATAAAATGCATAATTAACAGCTGATATTGTAATCATCCCCTGTAAAAGTCTAACTCAATAATGATAAATAGATAAATAATGAATAAATAAATGAACAATGAAGACTGACATTTTTTATATTGAATATGAACTTGTGTTAACTGACTGGACTAACTTTGGACTGACCTGTCCTCAGACCTATTAGGCTCAAGCTACCATATACAGCGAGACTTAGCCCTTGTCAATGTGCTCCTTCAGCTCCTCTGTGGCACAGTTTGTCTGTTGTGGTACACTGGAGCAGTTTCAATCAAGGCATGCTAGCACTATACTCATTATAACCTTTCCCATCAGTAAATTCTCTATTTTTCCATTTTCTGCCCCAAATACCTTCTTCTAAATCAATTTCCACGTGAATACAGCATTACATTAATGCACTTATACAATGAGAAGATTCCTAAACAGGAACTTTGAAGTTCACTGCAAGAATTACAAGGAAAGGCCTCAGTCCAAAATTTACAGACCTCATACAAAATAAAAATCCTGATTCACTGTTCGTATTTAAAGAATGTCTCATTTTCATTATACACCCATATACAGGTTCCCTACCTTCATGTGAAAAAAAAAAAAAAAACTCATTAAGTGTTATTATCTTAGCAATAAGGGTATTATTGTTTCATACAAGATACCTCCAGCCATCTCTGTGTATTTGATGTCCTGGCCACCATCCCAGTGACAGCAGTTATGTTATTACCTTATTAAATATATCTTTCCCGCCAACTCCATACATCTTATGCTGTGGTGACCACTGCGGAGACTGTGTGGAGGGGATAGAAAGGCGGCCCTCTTCGAGGGCTTGAAAATAGGCAGCAGTCGCTTCACGGTTTGAGCTCGGGGAACTAGAGGAAGGGTCGAGTGAGGGGGCTACAAACAAAAGTGACCATTAGTAGACAATGATGTTGTTAATGTTAACAACTGTTCATATTGTGAGCACTCGGTTGTGTGACGCGATCACAGAATTAAATCACTTCAAATAGTGGAGGCTGTCAAACATCAAGCAATTCCACTCAGCATTCAGAATGTTTAAATAATATTTTTTTGTATGTGTGTGCGAAAAACCACATTAAAGTGTTATTGATTTATAAGAAAGACATTTTCCTTTAAAAAAGAGAAACATTAGCAGCAATATTTACAAAATCATGTAGTAAAAGCAAATTACATTTAGCACACTAACACAAAGCTCTTTTCATTACACAAAACAGTCAAATTAATGTAAAGACCCTTAGGATATACTTCCCAAAAACAAAGTACATTCAAAGGAATTTCTGACATACAGCAGAAACAAACATTGATTATTAACTTTAATTAATAAGAATTACACTCTGCCATTGCCATGGAAAGCCAAATCATTGCAGGAACCAATTTCACCCATATACAATCATGCCTAAGTTGTAGAAACTCAAGAAATGGTTTCCAAATTGAGGAGAAAGAAGCTGAAGCATGATGTCTCCAATATTGGTTTAAACAGAGTTTCTGATACTTAAGCACAATTGGTGAGGGCACAATACATGTAGAACTGGCTCCAGGTTGGGAGAAATAACATTTTTGGCTGTAAGTCTTTTAATGCAAATTTTCAGCATCTTTNAGAGTCATCCCCACTGAAATTCAGTACTTCATGCAGCTAATCAGAGTGAACTATCTCCATATAGGAGACCCACTACAAACAGTTTGTCTATACAAGCATCTGATTTCAACTTAACCAAAACCACCATATAGAACTTACTAAACACTGATACAATATGGACATATAACACCTCACATGGCACAACTAAACTGAAGCCGACCATGGGGAACAGATCCATTCAGCCATCAATATATATATATACATCAAACACCAAAACATTTCATAGTACTTGCGGCACACACAGTTGACAATAAAGTACCAAATAAAATGCATAATTAACAGCTGATATTGTAATCATCCCCTGTAAAAGTCTAACTCAATAATGATAAATAGATAAATAATGAATAAATAAATGAACAATGAAGACTGACATTTTTTATATTGAATATGAACTTGTGTTAACTGACTGGACTAACTTTGGACTGACCTGTCCTCAGACCTATTAGGCTCAAGCTACCATATACAGCGAGACTTAGCCCTTGTCAATGTGCTCCTTCAGCTCCTCTGTGGCACAGTTTGTCTGTTGTGGTACACTGGAGCAGTTTCAATCAAGGCATGCTAGCACTATACTCATTATAACCTTTCCCATCAGTAAATTCTCTATTTTTCCATTTTCTGCCCCAAATACCTTCTTCTAAATCAATTTCCACGTGAATACAGCATTACATTAATGCACTTATACAATGAGAAGATTCCTAAACAGGAACTTTGAAGTTCACTGCAAGAATTACAAGGAAAGGCCTCAGTCCAAAATTTACAGACCTCATACAAAATAAAAATCCTGATTCACTGTTCGTATTTAAAGAATGTCTCATTTTCATTATACACCCATATACAGGTTCCCTACCTTCATGTGAAAAAAAAAAAAAAAACTCATTAAGTGTTATTATCTTAGCAATAAGGGTATTATTGTTTCATACAAGATACCTCCAGCCATCTCTGTGTATTTGATATCCTGGCCACCATCCCAGTGACAGCAGTTATGTTATTACCTTATTAAATATATCTTTCCCGCCAACTCCATACATCTTATGCTGTGGTGACCACTGCGGAGACTGTGTGGAGGGGATAGAAAGGCGGCCCTCTTCGAGGGCTTGAAAATAGGCAGCAGTCGCTTCACGGTTTGAGCTCGGGGAACTAGAGGAAGGGTCGAGTGAGGGGGCTACAAACAAAAGTGACCATTAGTAGACAATGATGTTGTTAATGTTAACAACTGTTCATATTGTGAGCACTCGGTTGTGTGACGCGATCACAGAATTAAATCACTTCAAATAGTGGAGGCTGTCAAACATCAAGCAATTCCACTCAGCATTCAGAATGTTTAAATAATATTTTTTTGTATGTGTGTGCGAAAAACCACATTAAAGTGTTATTGATTTATAAGAAAGACATTTTCCTTTAAAAAAGAGAAACATTAGCAGCAATATTTACAAAATCATGTAGTAAAAGCAAATTACATTTAGCACACTAACACAAAGCTCTTTTCATTACACAAAACAGTCAAATTAATGTAAAGACCCTTAGGATATACTTCCCAAAAACAAAGTACATTCAAAGGAATTTCTGACATACAGCAGAAACAAACATTGATTATTAACTTTAATTAATAAGAATTACACTCTGCCATTGCCATGGAAAGCCAAATCATTGCAGGAACCAATTTCACCCATATACAATCATGCCTAAGTTGTAGAAACTCAAGAAATGGTTTCCAAATTGAGGAGAAAGAAGCTGAAGCATGATGTCTCCAATATTGGTTTAAACAGAGTTTCTGATACTTAAGCACAATTGGTGAGGGCACAATACATGTAGAACTGGCTCCAGGTTGGGAGAAATAACATTTTTGGCTGTAAGTCTTTTAATGCAAATTTTCAGCATCTTTACACTTAACATGACAAACTTTTAAAATAATTCAAAGGAACAGAAATTTCATCAGATGTGAAAAATTACAAAAACATATTGAGTAAATAACAATTTTTAGTGATTCTGTGAAAAATTGGTCAATTTAAAAAAATCTTTTTTTCTTCTCTGTATAAGAAGCATCAAATATCCTGAGGTTAAATATATATGAAAATTTAACTTTTCCTAGCACTGTAGCATTCTTCTACATGAACATGTTCTTACAGCCAAAAATATGCTTTTCAAAATAATGAAGGACTTATAGCTAAAAACACACAGAAGCAATGAGAGGACATTAAGATCATATCTCAGTGAGTAATGGGAGAAGTGGAAGTCAATCTGAACAGACCAGACTCCTTTCTCAATTCAGGCTGCCTCCCCAAAAGAATATGTGCTGTTCATTCTTTTGATCTACATTTATCATAAAGCTGGCAATATTCAACATAAAAGAATTTGAAGTAAAAGCATTGGAAGGGATGGCTGCTCAGCATTGGCATCTTGGACATATCCCTTCCACTTTGGCAATTACAAATAACAAATTAAAGCAAAAAGCTTGGTGAACAATACCATAATATTGCTTTTAGGTTAGGGCTAAAAACCAATGAAAAAAAAAATGATTAACTTAAAAAAAACTTTTTTTGGCCAAATCACAGTACATTTAACCGGAGAGGGGAAATTTCAGCACAAGCCAAGGTACCCGAGGCAAAGGAGATATTCTAAAGAGGAGACAGACTGCCAGAGTGTTGAGATACAATGAGCAGGGTCCATCCAGAAGTGGTTAAGTTACCTGTGGGGAGGGAAGACTGATGACTAGCATAACCTGGAGAAGGTGGTGGGGGCTGTGGCTGCATCCTGGGGGTTGATGATTGCCGTGGAATCTCCAGGGGACCGCTGCGACCTTCAGGACTTATACCTGCTACCGCCATGGCCTAATGAAAAATACAGTTCAACCCAATTTTCAAAGCACTTGCAATTTTTTTAAAAAAATCTCCCATCTTTTTTTGTTTAGTGACCATTTTCGAAGTTGTCACAAGCATAAATGTACAACTTTTGAAGAATTTAAATTTCTGTCAATATCAATAATGAATTAGGCTGTTAAGTTGAAATCATTTTCATAAAATGCAACATTAATTGAAAAATTCTGTTGCATTATACTCAACCTAAAATATTTCTATTTGCAAATTAATACATAAATCAGCTACCCGATTTCCATTTGAAAGTCTCTGCTCCAGGTAAATTTTACCTGACATTTTGTGTGTTTAAACAGTTCATTTTCTACAAAAATCTGGTCAAAACAACTTTATTTCCTTTTGAATTTTTTTTTTTTTTTTTTTTTTTTTTTTGCATAAAATGTCAAACTGTCCATGACCATTGCCTTGCTCCAGCAAGTATTTGGTTACCTGTGACTGTGTTAATTTGAGTGGCTCAGCAATCTTCCTGTGCATCAAGGGATTCTCGTCACTGTCCTGCTTCCCAATGCATGCCAGCTTGAAAGAGGCGCCTCTACGACTGAGTTTTCGGGGAGGAGGTGGGGAGGGTGGGGAGTGTTGTTCTCGTTCGATATCACTATCCTCCTGAGGCAAGCTGAATTAGTAGCAGGTGTTATCCAGTGAGTAAAGGGTTAAAATACCAAGCCCCCCTTTCCTGTAAATCAACGGCTTTGGCCAGCTGTTACTGCTATTAATATGTTATTATCATAAATACATGTTAGGCTATCAATGTATATAGAGACTTGGAAAAAACCACTATTACACCATGAGATAAATGGTTGATCTTTTGCCTAGGCACAAGAGTAAATCTCGGGAGGGTGGGGGGGAGTCTGAGAAGACTGGAGAGAGAGCATGAACTATTGCTAACAATGGTCCCTAATGAGCAAGAAGTTTAAAAAATGCTACCTTTAAAATTTTGCAAGCTTGACTGCCTGTTTTGTGTTTGTGTCAAACCATAAATATGGCAGACACAAGCAAAAGGTATTCATACTGCATATGCAAATAAGTACACTGCTAGTGAACATTTTTATGAAGACGGCTAGAAAAATCAAGTTATAATATCACCACATTTTCAACACAGCTCCAGAGAATACAAGTAAATGAAATTACTTTTAAATACTTCTTCTTTACATACTTCTACAACCATATAATGCCTATCATACACATATCTTATTCAATGTATTTAGATGTCCACTTTAATTACTTTCCCAACCGAGTCCACTGTGCAGAATCTTCAAAATGTGTTTCAAAACAAATAAATGTTTAAGAAAATATTGTCAATTAATTTGATTTAAATTTAGCAAGAAATCACCACAGGGAAAAATGTAGTAAAAAGAAACATTCGCCTTGGATGTTTAAGGCTGATTACAACATGTCATAAAGTGGCAGCCAAAAATAAAACAAGATTCTAAAATAATTATGAAGTCACCTTCAATTTTGTTATCTAAGGGGGCCAATCAGGGTTGAAAACATTTCCCTTTAAAACTGCCACCATAAGCAACATGTATAAAACTAGTACATAATCATACATAGCTTGAGCACCTGTGAGTGACAGAAAGACTGCCAAGAATCATCTTCATATGGTGTCTCATTCATGTGACATTATAACACATGCCTCTGTATGGTCAGACCAACTGATTGTTATGTGTACAAGTGCAAAAGTATTTCATTTTTTACATGCATTGCAAAAAAAAAAAAATAAATAAAAAATTGTGCAATGAGTAAAATAACAACCCAGTACTAAAATCTTCAGATTCCTAAACTGATGTTATTCCTTGGTCTTTATCATACAGAAGCATGTCTGTAATAAAAAGCAAAGAGTGCTCACCCCAAAACCACAGTGTGTTAGCGCAGAGAGGAAAGTTAATGGTTACTCACTCTCGGTAAACAAAAGGACCCTGTTTACGTGTTAGTGGCAGAATCCTAGGTGAAGAAGATGAGGTACGCTCCTCATTGCCAAAAGCTTGCAATGGAATGTGCTCAGCAGACCCAGAGCCGGAGCCACGGTGAGCTTCCAGCCGTGACGGTACAGGTGGAATAAAAGTATTTGAGTAATGTGGCACCTCAAGAGATAGGTTTGACAGTGGAGGATCCCGCTGTCCAAGCATAGGGTCGGTCTCAACATGATAGAGGGAGCTAAAGCAAGAAAGAGAAGATCTAAGTCAAGGGTTAGAGGTCAAGACCCCTGGTGAGGTAGTCATGCTCATTCTTGGCTAAGTCATTTTACAACCAAAAAAGAAAATGTTTTACCTCTTCACTTCATATTTAGATAAAAAACTTTTCTTTTCCGTATTTGTTTGGATAAAAAAATCTAAAATCAGACAGAGAATGCTTTTATTATTAGAAAATATGAGCATCTTCTCTGCTGCTATCTGTTTAAAAATAATCTGAATGACTGACTGACTTTTTACACACCTTTTTAGTCATTCAAATCAAGTTTCCCCATGACCATGACTACCCTTTGTAATAGCATAAACTTCCAATCACATATAGGGCTTAATAATAAGTTATCATTAGTAATATATGTATGAGGTATAGAACGTTGCACAACCAATTACACATAAAACCCTTTACGATTATTTTACAAGCAGTGACACTGACAAGTAAATGTTGAGTTCAAAGAAAAGTCGTATTTCTTTGCTGAAGTTATTTGCCAAGCAGTTAGTTGAAATAAATAATGTCTGCCTTTCAGGGTTTTTGGAAAAGTGCATTCCAGTCATTGGAAGTGTTCGCGTCATACTCCTCATTCTCCGCCTCCAGGCTAAGGGAAAGAGAAGGACAGGCTACAGCTATGTCAGGATATAACAATCAAATAAAAAGAAAACAAAATACCTTCCAGTAAATGGATAGAAACTAGTCGGATCACTTCAAAAACACATTGTTCCACTGTCTACATGGTTAGACTATAAGTGTATTATAAGCATTGTGCTACGTGTGTATATGTGCTTGCATATGTATATGTATCCTCATGTGTGCAGTTACATGTACTGGGTATATAAAGGTGACTGGCCATTCCTGTAAAAACACGCAATGATTCATTAAAGCAAGCTTTACAGTGAGAGTGAATGCTATCTGTTATGGAATAACTAATTAGCATGGGTCAGCAAATTAAAAAAAAAAAAAAATTAAATCTGCAATTCTTTTAAAAATGGAGAGATGCCAAAGCTGTTAAGACATCTGTTGAAACCTGCACACAAGTCACTTGACCCAAGTCATCCAATGTCGAGGTCGTAACTTACCCAGTGCTTGATAAGTTAATCGGTGAGGATGGCGACCGCCTGTCGTGAGCTGGTTGTGGCGAATGGTTGACATTATTATGATGATCCACATTGAGATGATTGGTGGAAGGAACAGGTGACGGCTGCGGTGATGGGCCGCCATTGCTGTATGAATGCTGAGGGGACAAAGTCAAATGGGGCACAGGCGTCACATTAAGTGAATTTGTTGGCGATACTTTTGGATGAGGTTGCGTGGAGTTGACTTGCAGGGAGTTGCTTCTGGGTTTTGACCCAAAGGCTGACATCACTGTGCCAAATAAGCTATGATTTCTCTGAAAGATAAAAATACGAAAATAATCAGTCCAGAAAAAATTACTCTTGGTGGTATCCATTCAGATTCCCTTTACATAAAAATTACAACAAAGATTTTAAACCAGGAAGTTTACAGATGCTTTTCAGCAATATTTACAAGCAAGCAGCATGTACACATTTCTATAAATTTAACTGATTTATAAAACACTCAAACCTTTACCAAAGAGAGTTGAAAAGAATAATAAAATCAAAATGTTGATTTTTCTTTGTAAATTACACCAAACTACACCATATTTTCAAAAAAATCTTAGCAGTTCAAGAAAGAATGCAGGTAAGGACACCCTCTTCTATCCTTCTATTTTTGCTATTTTGTATCCCAGAGTGTTAGTGCATAAGCCTGACATATCCACGTTTGAAATTTATGAATAAGCAACATTATTCAAACACACTTGAAAGATAACCACTTGAAAAATTCTACATGTTTATAAACTAAACAAGATTTTAAAAACATCAATGCCATCAACAGCTGAAGAGGAAAAAAATAAAAATTCAGACTAAAATGGTGATTAGAAAGTTTTCTAAGAAACTGGTCTAAGACTTTTACAGAATTTATTGTCACAAATATGAAATATCTATCTTAACATTTCGTCCCCTGTAAACTTACTTCCATTTCTGAACCAGGACTATGCATTAACTGAATCAAATGTAAAAAAGTAATCATAATGCATGCATGTAATATCAAATATATTAGAACTGTTATAGTCAATCTAATACACCAGGCAACTTTATTTTTGAAAACTAGTAACTTTCTTTGTTTCTGAAAACTGGTATATCTTAGCATTATTAAAATATTAAATTGTCAGTGATGATTCTTTTGTTCTCATCTTTTATTTCAACAATTTTGCTTGACTGTTAAGTTCCAAATAGGTAGAAGAATGCATCCAAGAAGAAGAAAAAAGTATACCACAAAATTATAAGGAAACCTAGCCACACCAATGGCAAGATTTCAACACTGAATGACCAACCATAAGTGACTGCAACAGCATAATAGTAAGAATAGCAGAATTCTTATTATAATACCATTATATTTCTAAAATCACAATGAAATAAACTCATTGTGACAACTGCTCAAACTCGGGGATGAAACTACCATTTAATGAAAAAGTCAGAAAATATGGAGGGGGGGGGGGGGATGCCCGTGGAGTCAGGGGGGCGCCTACGAAAAAGATAATTTTGGCTCCCAAATCAGAAATCCATTGATAGTTGGAAAATCTCACCGCTGCAGAGTATTGTCAAAAAATCTGTTATAAATCTAATTTTTAATTAATACGAAATAAATAAATAGATAAATAATTTTTTAAAAAATCTTACTCTGTGCATAGGTAATTCTTCTTGAGTGGGAAACTCGTCCTCTTCTAGATTCCCAGAGATAGCGCGGCGGATCTCTGGGCCCAGGTCATGCACTGCTCGCAGACCAGCCTGGAACACAGCCATCACAATATATCATATTATTACAATAATTAAATAGTTACTGTAACATAACAGTAGTGCATTTTTTTCAATATTTACTTATATGATGCCCAACATACACACACAAAAAAAATGCAGATATTGAAAAAAAAAACAAAATAAAAATAAAAACATGCATAATTGGCATTATCAATATTCATAAAAGACATTCAAAAGTGCATTTATGGCAATAAAACATAAAGATTTTATTTTTACTGTTTGTTTTTTCTATAATTTTATGATAATCAATCCTGTAGGAATAAAACAAAGGTTAGTTTACAAGCACCACAGTGACTATATTTGATGTTAAATTTCTGCGAGCTAGATTTCTGAAGCAAAGCCAAAAATCAATGAATGATAATAATGTATGCATTGTTTAAGCAGTGAAATAAAAGAACCAGGGCTCAGAATTAGCTCTGACTGATAAGAAAAAAAATTAAAACACTGATATTATTAAATATTTCAAAAAGAAAATCATTTCAATGACAATAAAATGACCGTGGGGGTCCATGAGCTCCTGCCAGATGATAACAAATCAATGACCTTGAGAGGTATGTTCAGGTATCCCATGCCTTTTTTCATGTAAGAGCTCCACATTTGTTCTTAAGGGAGGGCTACAGGTTTGAGATTTTATCTTATTAAAGATCTCCGCTTTTTTTTTTTTCTTTTAATTCCTGTTCCAATAATTTAATGTTTCTTCAAAACATCTAATTATGCTTGAAACACAACTCCAAGTTCATCGTGTGACGTAATATTGGGATTTTTTGGGCAAAAACATCATTTTCGGTTTTTTAATTTTTTCAGGCACCTGGACAGCTATAAACATACTTTTAATGGCATAATAAAAATTGAACAAAGTACTTCAAAAGGAGTTCAGGGATTTTTCTTCAAAGACTTACTGTTGATCTTATCTATAAAATGTAATTTTTAGCCCCCCTTAACTTTGGCAGTACGTTCCACCTCACCCACTTCTGGAATTACATGGACTGACAGATGTGGAGGAGGCTGCCTCCATAGCTCCTGCACCAGTGTGGCAGGAACTAAAAAGATGCTAGTAGTAGGTAACTTGTATGAGTTTGAAATCAAAAATATTACAAAACAATTTAGTGTGTGCACATGTATTTGAAAGTTGTTGGAAATATCTCTTTTTAAGTAACCATTAGCAATTTCTGTGAACTTCCAATTGTCACAGTCCAATTGGAAAAGTTGTAAAAAATGAACCTAACTCACAGGGTCTATAACAAAAATGTACAAAGCATATAGATTATACCACTTATAATGAAATAAAAAGTAAGTTTTTTTAAATTGACCAATTGTAAAAAAAAGCATAACAAACAGTGGACAATGTGTAAATTAATCCCATTCTCATTTGTTTCCATTAAAAAAATAACCACCTAAAACAAATTAAACAAATGGCATGGCTGACAACACTAAACCAGCACAGGATACAGTCACATATATAATTATATAACCACAGCCAGTGAATTCATTTACCTTGGTCTGAGTCTATACATGATGTAAACATGGGATTGGTTTAGGAAGAGCAAAGAGAAAGGAAACAAACTACTGGGATGTGTAAAACATACTCCTTTATAATAATACACACTCACTGTAACATATCTAGTGATCAGAGGACACTGGGAGCACCCAGTTGAAAAAGTTTTTTAAGTAAATGCAAACATACTGAGCTACAAGAGAATGAATGAAGTGGTTGGAAAGTTTTGAGCGAGACCCAGTGTGTGTGTGTGTGTGTGTGTGTATGAGTGTGATCATTTGTGCGCGCACGTGTGCGTCAGGTTGAATTGGCCAAATGGACAAAGCTGGTGAGCATGTTAATCTTACACTGACAAACTTTTGGCACATATTGAGTCAAATTTTCACATATAATCAAAAAGAACAAGAAATATGGAAACCCTCCTACACTTTTTCTGGGTCAGTCTGAAAACTTTTCAATCACCCCTGAAACACTGGGTTGACTTTCCTGCCCAAACCTGCCTGAGTGGATTATCAATTTATGGAAAGCTTTTGAAATCCCTTTAAGGATATTGTCACCCTTCATCCAAAATTCCTTACTTACTGCCTTACATACATTCTTTTGGGTAATAAATAAATCTTCAGTGTTCAGTGACTAAATTAATTAACATTTACACATATGTCATCTTACAGGTGACGTCAAAATTGTGACTTTGGGGTAAAAACTGAAAAATCGGTTTCTCAAATTTCTCTTTTACCTGAGCACCCACGATCCCCGTTTCAACGCCAACTTAATAATATTATTTAGTACTCCAAAACACTGCCAGCAATTTTTCTTAACTGTCTTAGTTCAAAATTTATTGTTGATAAAGCAAAATAATGTGAAATTCGTGAAAATCTGTAATTAGGAGCTCACAACTCCATAACAAAAACATTAACTGGTTAACTCTGCCAATTTTTGTGATAAAATCTTGTTCAGGGATGAAGTTACACCCATACCAATTGCTATCTCAACTCAAAATAGAAAGGTGTTAAATTGAGAATGACGATTAAAGCTATGAGTTGCCTATGCTTATACATTGCAACGAAAAAATATAAAGGCCGATATTTTATATTTTCAAGGTTTTTTTCATTGTTTTAAATCAGCACAAAGATTGATGCATTATTGAACAATTAGATGCGCTAAAAACTCATTTCAGTATTTGGATGATAAAGGGTTACAATAACAAGAACTTTTAGAGGGGTAATATGAAGTGATGGGAAATAAAGAAAGAAATAGCTGATAACTACAATTTATCTATTTAATGAGTGATAGAAGTGCCAAAATCAACCTGATATGTCACTGCAAACCAAAGTGATTGTGTTATCTGTATTCATATATCAATGTGCATGCACACACACACACACACACACACACATACACACAAACACATATACCCGCATATTACGTATTCACCAACCACATAATCCGTTTGTCCTATTCTCTGTGCAAAAATAACCCTTGTTGTATCATGAGTTATTGGATAATCTAAAGGGGACATAAAAGTCCAGGTTACCTGTAAGGCAGATGTATGTTCGTGCCCTAAGTTTTGCATCTTGGCAAGCTGTTCCTTCCGCTTCTTGAAGCGGCGGAAGTAATCCTGGATGAGGAAAGTTGCATAGAATTTGCCCACAGTCACATCGTCATCCCCTGCAAAGAATAATTCACAAAAAAATTACAAATATATATATATATTTCTTTCAACAGTCATATCACCATCCACATGAAACAAAAGTATCACTCGATAAATCAATTTGCAAATAATAATCAGAGGTGAGTCTAAGATGAGAGTTCCCCATGCTATGCCTTCCATTATCAAATTTGAAAGAAATTGATTCATCAGGTTTATAAAAAAAAAAAATCACCGCACTGTAGCAATATAGATATATGTGGCCTATGTTTGTCCTATCTCAACAGCTCTCTACTCTACAACTGGCTTGTCTTTCATCATCGTATTCTCCATCAAATGTACTTAGTGTTACTCACTTCCTGCAGGTGGCACCACTTGGTCCAGTAACTTTGGACTCGTTCTTTTCCATATCTTCTTTATCACAGAACGCAACTCTTCATTGGCAGAGTCTATATTACCTGAAAAGTGTACAAGGGCATTGTTGCATGTGCATCAAGTGAATACATTATCTGGTGAGAATCAACAGTTATGTATGATACACAAGAATTCGGGTGAAGTTTGTTTTTCTTTTGATGATAAGTAGTTAAAAAGCATACTGAAAAATGCAACCACAGTAAACCATTTAGTGGATGAGAGTGCATCTGCCTGCATCCTCTTTCAGTATTAACAGGCCAGGTAGGCTACGTATTAAGTTAAATATATGTGCCTGTTCAACTTCACCAATTTTGTGGCCTAAATATCTTAGAAATAACCCTAAGTATTCGAGAATTTTGAAATATTGCTTAAACTCTTCAACTTTTACCTCTAATGATACTAACCTGTAGTGTATATGCCTAAAGAGGTCCTAACTAGGGCAAATAAAGTTGCATTGAACATCACAGTACCATCACTATTTAGAGGCATGTTCATGGAGACCAGTCTCTGGAAAACAAAACAACAAGCTTTGACATGCATGTCTCCATTTCATTCCTTACGTCCACACATATGCCGAGAGTGAATATTAAATTGAGAGCTCAAAAACGAGTTCACAAATGAACAGTTTGGACTTTTTTTTCTTGATTAAGGTATAGGTATTGAAATTTTCAGGAAAATTTGGTATAATAAAAGTCTAATGCTCATTTTGTACCAATAAAAATATTTTCTAGTTACTTATACTTAAAAGCCAGTCATATATGTGATGTCGACCTAAAAATTAATCCATAAAACTCCTCAAAAACAAACATTCCCTCCAAGACTTACTTTACATGCCACTCTATGTGGGCAGAGTTTACCAAATCCCAGAGGAGGAGAGATTTTTCTTAGTAAAGTCACAACATCTAAGTGTTTTATTCTGCCCCTGGAAAGAAGTCAGAACAACAAGGCAAGGTTAACAGTTTGTCAATAATACAACAGCATTTACAGGTACAAGTAATATTCTGCTTTAGGTAATTTTCTTCAATATGTGTATTTACATCTTTAATTACATAAAAATTGCAAATCAAGAGTATCTTGTCTACATTTCTTTCTCAATCTCGAATTTTTTTCAATCAAATCAGTATACATATAAATTTTAAAACATGATTCGTTATGAAATATGCTACAAATAATATATCTTGTGCCATACTGAGGTGGTTTAATCTAACTTAAATCAATTTAAAACTTTCAAAACAAACAATTCCTTCTGGTAAAATGTCAGAGCTTTTATAATAACTAAATATTATTGACAGTTGAAAACAGTATACACATATACATATATGTAAATAATGAAAGTACCAAAAGTTAAAATAAGCATTTTTAAATAACATGCTTCTTTCATATACTGTAAATTATAGCTTTGGAGGAGCAGAGGGCACCTCCTTAACACGCACCACCAGCCAATCTTTAAAGTCAGCTAATACACAAGAAAAGAAGGATCAGTCCAATGTACATGTATTGGAAACAGTATACAAGAGGTCCATTATAGTGGGGACGTCTGTGAAAATGAATGTTCTAACTAAAAATTCAGGACAATTTAGATGAATCAAATAAAGGCTAAATGCATGAGATGTTATGTATGAAAAACAATAATTTGTTTTCCAACAATATAAAACTGGCCAAATGACCTTGGAAATTCAAAAAAATTTCAAGTTTAAGGTCAAGTTTCAAATTCCATTATTGTTCCTATAACTTAATTTCAGACAAAATCTAAATGTAACAGTTGACATATTTCAAGTTTATGCAATGCTTTAACCACCCAATTCTCAAAAGAAAAAAAAGGCGAGGATACATATTACTGATGATTTGCGGTATTCAAAGGTTGCCATTCTTTTCAACTTTGGTGTGACACAGGTAGAAGAAAATTTATTTAAATTCACAAAAATTCACTACTATTTCAGGTGACAGGCAACCAGCTGCACGACCTGGAAGCCTTTGCAATGATGAGGTTTAAGGAGCGTATGCTTTCATGTTCTCACCTCCAGCTCTGCAAGCTGGTGGAAAATAAAAACACTGAGCACTTATCGCACCGTTTATAACTTCCCCCAGGAACATAAACATTAAAATTATAGTAAGATATTGAAAACATTTCTTCTTTGAAACTTATGAAATCTTTAAATTAAGAAAGTAAATGTATATCGTCTTGTAATCACTCCTTCTGTATCACAACAGCAGTACCAAAAATAAGAGAACTTTATTGCAACCTTGATTTATACTTCAAATAACCATGCTAAAATCATTCAAGAAAAAAATTCTAAATAAATAAAATGTCACAACATCACAATCTGTAAAATTATCAAAAATTCTCCATGGAGGTATTTCTGAAAATGATACATTATGGTAAAACCTCTGTATATGAATAACCCCACTCAAACTTTATCACAGGGATTTCATATAAATATTCAGACATTAGTGCAAATGATGTATATAACTGCATTATACTAAAGTAAATATCTCAACAGGTATTTAAAATGAAATTATTAGTCATCCCAATTACCCCAATATATGAGTATTATTGGTGGAGAAATATTTCCCGGAGTATTTTGTTAAAAGCTAAAACAACTACACAGGCCACATAAACTAGGCACACATAACAAGGTAAGATTATTAATAACGTAAAACTCTGATAATATCACCCTTTAGAAACCACTTGTTGCGAGATAACTTGATTTATGAATTTACTTTCTACAGTTTCTAATTGCAATGATCAGTTGGTTTTATTGTAGTCTAATTTGTCAAATTTGCTTTAAATCAACATATCAAAATGATTAATGATTATAAATTTTAATATTTTTTTTTCTCATCCAGATTCAATCACCCAGAAAACAATGAGTAGACTTGATCTGGTAAGCAGTTTTGCTCTTGGATCTCACCATTCTCCCAAACTCTGTTCTATCTTATAGTTTGTAAATCCATAAACCAAGTCATGAAAACTGGAAACCCAATACTCTCTTTTTGTACAGCTTACAGGATGCTTGTTGAAACATTTTACATCTGAACTAAATAAAGAAAAAAATCAAGGTTGCATGTTTGCAGATATAAATCAAAAATCAAACTCAAGTGTCCAATGTTAAGACATTATACAAGTGACCAGCACAATCTTGGTAACAATTTAACAATTTAGAACGGTGCTGATGATCAACATAACAAGGCAGCAAAGCTGTCAAATGTACAGACAAAAAGCAGAAAACAATGCACAAAAATAGGCTACTGTCAATTCTGATACAAAAGTACATTATGCTTACCTGCAAATTCAACATCAAATTTTAGTTATGCTCAACAGGTAATACCAATGTAAGTAAAATGTGAAACAAGCATAAGGCTTCAGTNCAAAGGATTCTCGTCACTGTCCTGCTTCCCAATGCATGCCAGCTTGAAAGAGGCGCCTCTACGACTGAGTTTTCGGGGAGGAGGCGGGGAGGGTGGGGAGTGTTGTTCTCGTTCAATATCACTATCCTCCTGAGGCAAGCTGAATTAGTAGCAGGTGTTATCCAGTGAGTAAAAGGGTTAAAATACCAAGCCCCCCCTTTCCTGTAAATCAACTGCTTTGGCCAGCTGTTACTGCTATTAATATGTTATTATCATAAATACATGTTAGGCTATCAATGTATATAGAGACTTGGAAAAAAACCACTATTACACCATGATTTTAATGGTTGATCTTTTGCCTAGGCACACGAGCAAATCTCGGGAGGGTGGGGGGGAGTCTGAGAAGACTGGAGAGAGAGCATGAACTATTGCTAACAATGGTCCCTAATGAGCAAGAAGTTTAAAAAATGCTACCTTTAAAATTTTGCAAGCTTGACTGCCTGTTTTGTGTTTGTGTCAAACCATAAATATGACAGACACAAGCAAAAGGTATTCATACTGCATACGCAAATCAGTACATTGCTAGTGAACATTTTTATGAAGACAGCTAGAAAAATCAAGTTATAATATCACCACATTTTCAACACAGCTCCAGAGAATACAAGTAAATGAAATTACTTTTAAATATTTCTTCTTTACATACTTCTACAACCATATAATGCCTATCATACACATATCTCATTCAATGTATTTAGATGTCCACTTTAATTACTTTCCCAACCGAGTCCACTGTGCAGAATCTTCAAAATGTGTTTCAAAACAAATAAATGTTTAAGAAAATATTGTCAATTAATTTGATTTAAATTTAGCAAGAAATCACCACAGGGAAGTATGTAGTAAAAGAAATCTTCGCCTTGGATGTTTAAGGCTGATTACAACATGTCATAAAATGGCAGCCAAAAATAAAACAATATTCTAAAATATATATTAAGTCACCTTCGATTCTGTTGTCTAAGGGGGCCAATCAGGGTTGAAAACATTTCCCTTTAAAACTGCCACCATAAGCAACATGTATAAATCTAGTACATAATCAACATAGCTTGAGCACCTGTGAGTGACAGAAAGACTGCCAAGAATCATCTTCACATGGTGTCTCATTCATGTGACATTATAACACATGCCTCTGTATGGTCAGACCAACTGATTGTTATGTGTGCAAGTGCAAAAGTATTTCATTTTTTTTTACATGCACTGCAAAAAAATAAAAAATAAAAAATTGTGCAATGAGTAAAATAACAACCCACTACTAAAATCTTAAGATTCCTAAACTGATGTTATTCCTTGGTCTTTATCATACAAAAGCATGTCTGTAATAAAAAGCAAAGAGTGCTCACCCCAAAACCACAGTGTGTTAGCGCAGAGAGGAAAGTTAATGGTTACTCACTCTCGGTAAACAAAAGGACCCTGTTTACGTGTTAGTGGCAGAATCCTGGGTGAAGAAGATGAGGTACGCTCCTCATTGCCAAAAGCTTGCAATGGAATGTGCTCAGCAGACCCAGAGCCGGAGCCACGGTGAGCTTCCAGCCGTGACGGTACAGGTGGAATAAAAGTATTTGAGTAATGTGGCACCTCAAGAGATAGGTTTGACAGTGGAGGATCCCGCTGTCCAAGCATAGGGTCGGTCTCAACATGATAGAGGGAGCTAAAGCAAGAAAGAGAAGATCTAAGTCAAGGGTTAGAGGTCAAGACCCCTGGTGAGGTAGTCATGCTCATTCTTGGCTAAGTCAAGCAAAAAATAAAATGTTGTACCTCTTCATTTCATATTTAGATACAAACTTTTCTTTCCCTATATTTGTTTGGATAAAAAAATCTAAAATCAGACAGAGAATGCTTTTATTATTAGAAAATATGAGCATCTTCTCTGCTGCTATCTCTTAAAAAATAATCTGAATGACTGACTTTTTACACACCTTTTTAGTCATTCAAATCAAGTTTGCCCATGACCATGACTACCCTTTGTAATAGCATAACCTTCCAATCACAAATGGGGCTTAATAATAAGTTATCATTAGTAATATATGTATGAGGTATAGAACGTTGCACAACCAATTACACATAAAACCCCTTAAGATTATTTTACAAGCAGTGACACTGACAAGTAAATGTTGAGTTCAAAGAAAAGTCGTATTTCTTTGCTGAAGTTATTTGCCAAGCAGTTAGTTGAAATAAATAATGTCTGCCTTTCAGGGTTTTTGGAAAAGTGCATTCCAGTCATTGGAAGTGTTTTCGTCATACTCCTCATTCTCCGCCTCCAGGCTAGGGGAAAGAGAAGGACAGGCTACAGCTATGTCAGGATATAACAATCAAATAAAAAGAAAACAAAATACCTTCCAGTAAATGGATAGAAACTAGTCAGATCACTTCAAAAACACATTGTTCCACTGTCTACATGGTTAGACTATAAGTGTATTGTAAGCATTGTGCTACGTGTGTATATGTGCTTGCATATGTATGTGTATATGTATCCTCATGTGTGCAGTTACATGTACTGGGTATATAAAGGTGACTGGCCATTCCTGTAAAAACACGTAATGATTCATTAAAGCAAGCTTTACAGTGAGAGTGAATGCTATCTGTTATATGGAATAACTAATCAGCATGGGTCAGCAAATTTAAAAAAAAAAAAAAACATCAAATCTGCAATTCTTTTAAAAATGGAGAGATGCCAAAGCTGTTAAGACATCTGTTGAAACCTGCACACAAGTCACTTGGCCCAAGTCACATGACATCCAACGTCAAGGTCGTAACTTACCCAGTGCTTGATAAGTTAATCGGTGAGGATGGCGACCGCCTGTCGTGAGCTGGTTGTGGCGAATGGTTGACATTATTATGATGATCCACATTGAGATGATTGGTGGAAGGAACAGGTGACGGCTGTGGTGATGGGCCGCCATTGCTGTATGAATGCTGAGGGGACAAAGTCAAATGGGGCACAGGCGTCACATTAAGTGAATTTGTTGGCGATACTTTTGGATGAGGTTGCGTGGAGTTGACTTGCAGGGAGTTGCTTCTGGGTTTTGACCCAAAGGCTGACATCACTGTGCCAAATAAGCTATGATTTCTCTGAAAGATAAAAATATGAAAATAATCAGTCCAGAAAAAATTACTCTTGGTGGTATCCATTCAGATTCCCTTTACATAAAAATTACAACAAAGATTTTAAACCAGGAAGTTTACAGATGCTTTTCAGCAATATTTACAAGCAAGCAGCATGTACACATTTCTATAAATTTAACTGATTTATAAAACACTCAAACCTGTACCAAAGAGAGTTGAAAAGACTAATAAGATGTTGATTTTCTTTGTAAATTACACCAAACTACACCATATTTTCAAAAAATCTTTGCAGTTAAGAAAGAATGGAGGTAAGGACCCCCTCTTTTATCCATCTCTTTTTGCTATTTTGTATCCCAAAGTGTTAGTGCATAAGGCTGACATAACCACGTTTGAAATTTATGAATAAGCAACATTATTCAAACACACTTGAAAAATAACCACTTGAAAAATTCTACATGTGTTTATAAACTAAGCAAGATTTTAAAAACATCAATGCCATCAACAGCTGAAAAGGAAAGAAATAAAAATTCAGACTAAAATGGTGATTAGAAAGTTTTCTAAGAAACTGTTTTTAAGACTTTTACAGAATTTATTGTCACAAATATGAAATATCTATCTTAACATTTCGTCCCCTGTAAACTTACTTCCATTTCTGAACCAGGACTATGCATTAACTGAATCAAATGTAAAAAAGTAATAATAACGCATGCATGTAATATTAAATATATTAGAACTGTTATAACCAATCTAATACACCAGGCAACTTTATTTTTGAAAACTAGTAACTTTCTTTGTTTCTGAAAACTGGCATATCTTAGCATTATCAAAATATTAAATTGTCAATGATGATTCTTTTGTTCTCATGATACATATCTTTTATTTTAACAATTTTGCTTGACTGTTAAGTTCCAAATAGGTAGAAGAATGCATCCAAGAAGAAGAAAAAGTACATCACAAAATTATAAGGAAACCCTGCCACACCAATGACCAGATTTCAACACTGAATGACCAACCATAAGTGACTGTAACAGCATATTAGTAAGAATAGCAGAATTCTAATTATAATACCATTATATTTCTAAAATCACAATGAAATGAACTCATTGTGACAACTGTCAAACTCAGGGATGAAACTGCCATTTAGTGAAAAAGTCAGAAAATATGGCGTGGAGTCAGGGGGCGCTAGAGCAAAGATAATTTTGGCTTTTAAATCAGAAATCCATTAATAATTTTTTGAAAAATCTTACTCTGTGCATAGGTAATTCTTCTTGAGTGGGAAACTCGTCCTCTTCTAGATTCCCAGAGATAGCGCGGCGGATCTCTGGGCCCAGGTCATGCACTGCTCGCAGACCAGCCTGGAACACAGCCATCACAATATATTATATTACGACAACAACTTAACAGTTACTGTAACAGAACAGTAGTGCAGTTGTTTCAATATTTACTTATATGATGCCCAACATACACACACAAAAAATGCAGATATTAAAAAAACAATTAAAATAAAAATAAAAACATGCATAATTGGCATTATCAATATTCATAAAAGACATTCAAAAGTGCATTTATGGTAATAAAACATAAAGATTTTATTTTCACTATTTGTTTTTCTATAATTTTATGATAATCAATCCTGTAGGAATAAAACAAAGGTTAGTTGACAAGCACCACAGTGACTATATTTGATGTTAAATTTCTGCGAGCTAGATTTCTGAAGCAAAGCCAAAACTCAATGAATGATAATAATGTATGCATTGTTTAAGCAGTGAAATAAAAGAACCAGGGCTCAGAATTGGCTCTGACTGATAAGAAAAAAAATAAAAACACTGATATTATTAAATAATTTCAAAAAGAAAATCATTTCAATGACAACAAAATGACCGTGGGGGTCCGTGAACTCCTGCCAACTGATAACAAATCAATGACCTTGAGAGGTATGTTCAGGTATCCCATGCCTCTTTTCATGGAAGAGTTCCACATTTGTCTTTCAGAGAGGACTGCAAGTTGGCGATTTTATCTTAAATTAAAGATCTCCGCTTTTTTTATTCCTGTTCCAATAATTTAATGTTTCTTCAAAACACCTAATCATGCTTGAAACACAGCTCTAAGTTCTTCATGTGACGTAATATTGGGATTTTTGGGGCAAAAACATAATTTTCGGTTTTCTGATTTTTTTCAGGCACCTGGACAGCTATAAACATGCTTTTAATGGTATAATTACAATTGAACAAAGTACTTCAAAAGGGGTTCAGGGATTTTTTTTTAAAGACTTACTGTTGATCTTATCTATAAAAACGTGATTTTTAGCCCCCCTTAACTTTGGCAGTTGCAACTCACCCACTTCTGGAATTAAATATTTTAACAAGCCTGTGACATGGACTGACAGATGTGGAGGAGGCTGCCTCCATAGCTCCTGCACCAGTGTGGCAGGAACTAAAAAGATGCTAGTATTAGGTAACTTGTATGAGTTTGAAATCAAAAATATTACAAAACAATTTAGTGTGTGCACATGTATTTGAAAGTTGTTGGAATTCTCTCTTTTTAAGTAACCATCAGCAATTTCTGTGAACTTCCAATTGTCACAGTCCAATTGGAAAAGTTGTAAAAAATGAACCTAACTCACAGGGTCTATAACAAAAATGTACAAAGCATATAGAATATACCACTTATAATGAAATAAAAAGTAAGTTTTTTTAATTGACCAATTGTAAAAAAAAAGCATAACAAACAGTTGACAATGTGTAAATTAATCCCATTCTCATTTGTCTCCATTAAAAAAATAACCACCTAAAACAAATTAAACAAACGGCATGGCTGACAACACTAAACCAGCACAGGATACAGTCACATATATATAATTATATAACCACAGCCAGTGAATTCATTTACCTTGGTCTGAGTCTATACATGATGTAAACATGGGATTGGTTTAGGAAGAGCAAAGAGAAAGGAAACAAACTACTGGGATGTGTAAAACATACTCCTTTATAATAATACACACTCACTGTAACATATCTAGTGATCAGAGGACACTGGGAGCACCCAGTGGAACATATTTTTAAGTAAATGCAAACATACTGAGCTACAAGAGAATGAATGAGGTGGTTGGAAAGTTTTGAGTGAGACCAAGTGTGTGTGTGTGTGTGTGTGTGTGTGTGTGTGTGCGCGCGCGTGCGTGCCCGCACATGTGTGTCAGGTTGAATTGGCCAAATGGACAAAGCTGGTGAGCATGTTAATCTTACACTGACAAACTTTCAGCACATATCAAGTCAAATTTTCACATATAATCAAAAAGAACACAAAATATGGAAACCCAATTCCTACACTTTTTCTGGGTCAGTCTGAAAACTTTTCAATCACCCCTGGTAGGTAAGTCTTGAAATACTGGGTTGACTTTTCTGCCCAAACCTGTCTGAGTGGATTATCAAATTATGGTAAGCTCTTGAAATCCCTTTAAGGATATTGCCACCCTTCACCCAAAACTCTTTATTTACTGCCTTACATACATTCTTTTGGGTAATAAATAAATCTTCAGTGTTCAGTGACTAAACTAATTAACATTTACACATGTCATCTTACAGGTGACGTCAAAATTGCGACTTTGGGGTAAAAACTGAAAAATCGGTTTCTCAAATTTCTCTTTTACCTGAGCACCCACGATCCCCGTTTCAACGCCAATTTAATAATATTATTTAGTACTCCAAAACCCTGCCAGCAATTTTTCTTAACTGTCTTAGTTCAAAATTTATTGTTGATAAAGCAAAATAATGTCTTTGTTTTGTGAAAATCTGTAATTAGGAGCTCTCAACTCCATAACAAAAACATTAACTGGTCAACTCTGCCAATTTTCGTGATAAAATCTTGTTCAGGGAAGAAGTTATACCCATACCAGTTGCTATCTCACCTCAAAATAGAAAGGTGTTAAATTGTCGATTAAAGCTTTGAGTTGCTTATGCTTATACATTGCAGCGAAAAAATATAAAGGCCGATATTTTATATATTCGAGGGTTTTTTATTGTTTTAAATCAGCACAAAGATAGATGCATTATTGAATAATAAGATGCAGTAAAAACTAATTTTCAGTATCTGGATAATAATAAAGGGTTACAATAACCTTAAAGAACTTTTAGAAGGGCAATATCAGGTGATGGGAAATAAAGAAAGAAATAGCCGATGACTACAATTTATCTATTTAATGAGTGATAGAAGTGCCAAAATCAACCTGATACGTCACTGCAAACCAAAGTGATTGTGTTATCTATATTCACAGGGGCGGATTTAGGCCGTCTTCTGGGTCTTCCGGAAGACGGTCAGATTTTCAAGTTTACATTGACGGGTATCTATTTTTTTCTGTCGGAAGACGGTCAAAAATGGAGGATGGATCAACAAAGATAATTTGGAAGACTGTCAGAAAATATCTCTGGATCCGACCCTGCATTCATATATCAATGTGCATGCACACATACACACAAACACATATACCCGCATAGTATGTATATCACTATTCATGTTGTATCATGAGTTACAGGATAATCTAAAGGGGGCATAAAAGTCCAGGTTACCTGTAAGGCAGATGTATGTTCGTGCCCTAAGTTTTGCATCTTGGCAAGCTGTTCCTTCCGCTTCTTGAAGCGGCGGAAGTAATCCTGGATGAGGAAAGTTGCATAGAATTTGCCCACAGTCACATCGTCATCCCCTGCAAAGAATAATTCACAAAAAAATTACAAATATATATATATATTTCTTTCAACAGTCATATCACCATCCACATGAAACAAAAGTATCACTCGATAAATCAATTTGCAAATAATAATCAGAGGTGAGTCTAAGATGAGAGTTCCCAATGCTATGCCTTCCATTATCAAATTTGAAAGAAATTGATTCATCAGGTTTCTAAAAAAAAGGGAAAAAAAATCACCGCACTGTAGCAATATAGATATATGTGGCCTATGATTTGTCCTATCTCAACAGCTATCTACTCTACAACTGGCTTGTCTTTCATCATTGTATTCTCCATCAAATGTACTTAGTGTTACTCACTTCCTGCAGGTGGCACCACTTGGTCCAGTAACTTTGGACTCGTTCTTTTCCATATCTTCTTTATCACAGAACGCAACTCTTCATTGGCAGAGTCTATATTACCTGAAGAGTGTACAAGGGCATTGTTGCATGTTTATCAAGTGAATACATTATCTGGTGAGAATCAACAGTATATATGATACACTAGAATTCGGGTGAAGTTAGTTTTACTTTTGATGATAAGTAGTTAAAAAGCATACTGAAAAATGCAACCACAGAAAATAAACCGATGAGAGTGCATCTGCCTGCATCCTCTTTCAGCTATTACAAGCCAGGCAGGCTACATATAAAATTAAATATATGTGCCTGTTCAACTTCAACAATAAGAAATAACCCTAAATAATCTAGAATTTTGAAATATTGCTTAAACTCTTCAACTTTTACCTCTAAAGATACTAACCTGTAGTGTATATGCCTAAAGAGGTCCTAACTAGGGCAAATAAAGTTGCATTGAACATCACAGTACCATCACTATTTAGAGGCATGTTCATGGAAACCAGTCTCTGGAAAACAAAACAACAAGCTTTGACATGCACGTCTCCATTTCAGTCTCTACGTCCACACATATGCTGAGAGTGACAGTTCAACTGAGAGCTCAAAAACGAGTTCACAAAGGAACAGTTTGGACTTTTCTTGATTAAGGTATAGGTGTTGAAAATTTCAGGAAAATTTGGTATATAATAAAAGTCTAATGCTCATTTTGTACCTATAAAAATATTTCCTAGTTACTTATACTCAAAAGCCAGCCATATATGTGATGTCGACCTAAAAATTAATCCATAAAACTCCTCAAAAACATAAACATTCTCTCCAAGACTTACTTTACATGCCACTCTATGTGGGCAGAGTTTACCAAATCCCAGAGGAGGAGAGATTTTTCTTAGTAAAGTCACAACATCTAAGTGTTTTATTCTGCCCCTGGAAAGAAGTTGGAACAACAAGGCATGGTGAACAGTTTATCAATAAAACAACAACATTTACAGGTACAAATAACATTCTGTTTTAGGTACTTTTCTTCAAAATGCGCATCTACACCTTTAATTACATAAAAATTGCAAATTAAGAGTATCTTGTCTACATTTCTTTCTCAATCTCGAATTTTTTTCAATCAAATCAGTATACATATAAATTTTAAAACATGATTCGTTATGAAATATGCTACAAATAATATATCTTGTGCCATACTGAGGTGGTTTAATCTAACTTAAATCAATTTAAAACTTTCAAAACAAACAATTCCTTCTGGTAAAATGTCAGAGCTTTTATAATAACTAAATATTATTGACAGTTGAATACAGTATACACATATACATATATGTAAATAATGAAAGTACCATAAGTTAAAATAAGCATTTTTAAATAACATGCTTCTTTCATATACTGTAAATTATAGCTTTAGAGGAGCAGAGGGCACCTCCTTAACACGCACCACCAGCCAATCTTTAAAGTCAGCTAATATACAAGAAAAGAAGATCAGTCCAATGTACATGTATACAAGAGGCCTGTGGAAATGAATGTTCAAACTAAAAATTCAGGACAATTTGGACGAATCAAATAAAACCAAAATGCATGAGATGTTATGTATAAAAAACAATAGTTTGAAGTTTACCAACAATATAAAACTTGCCAAATGACCTTGGAAATTCAAAAAAATTTCAAGTTTAAGGTCAAGTTTCAAATTCCATTATTGTTCCTATAACTTAATTTCAGACAAAATCTAAATGTAACAGTTGACATATTTCAAGTTTATGCAATGCTTTAACCACCCAATTCTCAAAAGAAAAAAAAGGCGAGGATACATATTACTGATGATTTGCGGTATTCAAAGGTTGCCATTCTTTTCAACTTTGGTGTGACACAGGTAGAAGAAAATTTATTTAAATTCACAAAAATTCACTACTATTTCAGGTGACAGGCAACCAGCTGCACGACCTGGAAGCCTTTGCAATGATGAGGTTTAAGGAGCGTATGCTTTCATGTTCTCACCTCCAGCTCTGCAAGCTGGTGGAAAATAAAAACACTGAGCACTTATCGCACCGTTTATAACTTCCCCCAGGAACATAAACATTAAAATTATAGTAAGATATTGAAAACNCATAATCAACTAACAATGTTGTGAAGATGCAGGAAATGTGAAACAAACACCTTTACGTATTTTATTAGTTAAATAATGAGACTATTAACATGCCTAAGAATTGAATTTGAGGAAATGTGAAAAAAACAGCATAACTTCTAAAATAATGGCCCGATAATGCTGATTTTCGAACTTGACCTGCATTTTAGTGAGATTGATTACTCCTGTGAGTTTCATGACAACAGGCCTATCAGTTTTCCTTAAAATGTGTTAACAGTGTTGCATATATGCTGAAAAGTGAAAAAACAGCATAACTTCTACAATAATGGCCTAAACATGCTGATTTTCGAACTTGACCTGCGTTTTATGAATATTCAACAGCTCTGTAAATATACAGCCAAAAAGTAAAACTGTCTTCCACTTATCGTGTTAACGATGAAAGTGCACGGCGACGGCGACATCGACGGCGACAGGGACGGCGACGACAGACGCAGGTGATGGCAATATGTACAGACACATCTGTGTCTGTACATAAAAAGTCTCCAAGCTACAAAACATGCTTCAACATGGCATCCATGGCTGTCAGCGAGGTCCACTCCTTACCATCAGCAGACCTGGACTACATGCCACTCAAATAAAGAAATACTTGGTAGAATTATCCTCAACAGTTATTGCTTTCTGTATTACATTACTCCCTTAAATATTTTTCAGTGGGTTGTAACATCACATCAATGATTTAAAATATCCTTTCCATTTTTTCATAAAAAGTATATGTAATATGATGAAAATACCATAATGAACTGAAGACTGATTCAAAAGCATCATCAAAATTAAGAGGATAATTCGCAAAGCATTTCTTATAAAACTCTCAATCCAGCGTTTCCAAACGCCCCACCCCCCTCTCCGCGCCAACAATTCCCTAAACTTACTTAGCATCGGGGTCATACTCTGACCATAGCTGTACAAAGTCAACTAAATGGTGCGGCCCAAGGATTGACCAATCTCGTGTCAAGTAATCAAAGTTGTCCATAATTACCGCCACAAACAAGTTCAATATCTGTAGGGAGAGAAATTGGTGAATAAAGCCAACCACACTAAAACAGAACAAAACGTACAATACAACACTGTGGTGATCCAGTTGAGGCTGGGCTCTAGTCTACTACGCACTACGTAGCAACGGGTCTGGCGTCAGCGCGTCACTGGGTCTGGCCGGCAGAGAAACACTCGAGAATCGCACACAAGAGGGAAGCACTAGTCATGGCCTTGACCTTGACCTAGTTGTCTGCATACACACAGGGAGGGGTAAAGCTCCAGTCTAACATGGGGACAGTTTGGGGCAATATGAAGTTTCAAGTGTATACATGAAGTGAGCCACAGAGAATGTTAATAACAATAAGGTTTGGTTGGTTGATTGGTTGGTTGGTTAAAAGTTTGAGATTGTCACCTGTTTAAGAACTGGCACAAGAAGCAGAGATTTTTATAGCCAAGACCAGCACAGTTAAAACAACAGGCCAAATGTAAAAGGTGGGTGGGGGGGGGTGGGGGGGTGGGGGGGGAGGGGTCAGAAGTTCGCATTTTCTCAGTGTCTTCCTCCGCTGCCTGCCCCAGCATCATACTTCCCGCCAGACCAGCCAGCTCTTGAATTCATCCACTTACTTTGCATCAGGGTCATACTCAGACCACAAGCGAACAAACTCGTCTAAATGATGCGGCCCAAGGATGGACCAATCCCGAGTCAGGTAATCAAAGTTGTCCATGATAACAGCCACAAAGAGGTTAATGATCTATGAGAAAAACGAGCCAGGAAAGAAAAAGAAAAAACAGCAACTGTTTAAACAATTTGCAATCATTCACCTGCAGTGATTAATAGGCATGAGCAAGCATTAATTGTTAAAATATAAGCTGCACTGTTAAGCAGGCATGTCAAACAATAAGCAAGGCTCAAACTAGCATATAACTCAATTGTTTTGCCAAATGCCTCCCTTGGCAATAATAAACTATTAACTCTTATATATCTCATTTTTGGTTTAATGATAATCTTCAACTAGTGCATGAATAACTATCATCTTGTAAGTTCAAAAAGTTGTTTGGCAAAAAAACAAAATGTATGTTAGATAGAGCCAAGCTTGTCTTCTTTTTCACGCGTATCAACACGAGAAAAACTTTGGGAAAAAAGCTAACTGATTTCCATTACAAAAATGATCAATAATTTGTGAACATTTTGTAGAAGCAACTGTATGAGGAAGAAAATCAGATCTCAGAGGAAGCCAGAGAGCCAATCAGTTAGAACTTGGAAATGAAACACTTCATGGGTACTTTCATTTGTTTTCAATATTTCTATTTTCCTTTCAAACTGGAATGCCTGTTCTTATTTTCAAAAGATTTGCAATTTTTCCATAGGCATTCAAGTAGCTATCAATGCTAATAACTTACTTTTTTACTTAAATTAAAATGGCATCTTAAAAAAGTCCTAAAATTACATTTACTCAGAGAGCTTAAAGTGAGCCACTAAAATGTCGAGAATTGTTGTAAAGACCCCTAAACAAATTATATTTTTCTGTTATCTGTTCCATGAATTGTTTCCTTATAAAAGTTAATAAAATAAGTTAATAATAATGATGAAAGTTAAAGAAGCAAATTATCTTAGTTATAAGTGAATTGAAAAGCAGTAAATAATAATATCAATGGACAGAAAATTGTGAAGATATTAAGGTAGTATGGTTATTTAAAAAGAAAATTTCAAATATAGTTCTTCGGTTACAGTTCAATTGAAAGAAATTTTATCAAATGAATTGATAGAATCAGTGGATATTAAAATAATTGTAATGAAATGAAAGAAATGAACTGCTAATGACAGAGTTAACTTTTTACTGAAAACAGTAATGGAATGAATTATGTAAACAAATGGCTCTTTCTTAAAATCTGAGATCCCTTATCAGATTGATTAAATCAATGAAAAGAAGAGAAATAAATTTGAATTGTTTTACGATACAAAAAGAATAATTTAAATGCAAACAACAAACTCATAGCAGTGCTTTAAAAGTGATTAAAACATATTTTCAATATGTAAATTCATGAAAGTGGCACAAAAAATTACATAAATGACAGTAACTATTTTACAATCAAATATTCAATAAAGCAAGGTTTCAAATAGTTTGTAAAACATAGCATGACATTCATGCCCACTTGACATTCATTTATGCTCAGCTGAAACATCAATTCATACTGTAAAATCATTTCAGCCAATCACAAGCTTTTCTCACATTTTCCCAGCATGCAATTCACTTCACGTCAGTGCTATAAGCTCAAATATTACAAGCTCTATGCAGGAACAATAAAAACATTCCCAGGGCAAATATGATAAATTCAAGGAGGGAAGTAAGATGTGCAACCATTTATTGAAACATTCCAAAAGGAAAAGGGAATTTTTCAAAATTGTAGATGAAATCAAACAATATTTACCTGTATTTTGTGATAATTTTGAGACATGAATTTTGAAAATGTTCATTCCCAGTAGGCAATGAACGAAAAATTAATTGAATTTTTGCTGAACTGATGGATGTGATCAAAATATCCCACCTCTTTCCCCCACTGAATAATACCCACAACTGATACATGAAGTGAACACAAAATTAAGTCAAGTTCTGGTATTCTTCAGTAGGAAAAATCAGCTGGTTCTGCTTCCTAAAGAAGAGCAAATGATGTGAGCTTGCTTCTTGGTTTGAATATATATATAGGAGAATAAATAGTGTATAGAACTTTCATATTTTCAATATTATTTATCCAGTGTGCATTTTGTTTTTGTGTTTGTTTGCTTTTCAACTACATCTGAATCATATTCTTATATTAGACTGAAACTCTATTGACTGTGAAGTATTTATCAACATCACTTTTATTTATCTTGGCTTACTGGATTTTTTGTTTCAAAGTGAGTTTGAACACATTTAAGAACAAACACCCAGTAAAATTTTGCACAAATACTTTGGTGCATGTATATTCGTTTGGTTTTTCTATACATTTAAATTAAAACTTCTTACATATTTTTAAAAGAAATTAAGGTTTCTAAAGTATTTCCCTATACCAGTTATAAAAACAAAAGGAGAGTGGTTTCGAAACTTTTCAAAGATCTGCTGCAAACACTGAACAGAAATATCCACTTAATTTTGTAAAGTTCAAAGTACTATCATTTAAGAATTTAAATTTATATGTGGTGCACATTGCAACCAGAAGGCAAATACTTTGTTTTTTAATAATGACTAAATCAAGTGTTAGTGCAACAGCCAATGCCAGATGAATGCCATGGTGGAAGAGACAGCATTTTTTTTCATTTCCTAATAAAATCTGCTACTCTAGTTATTTTGGAAGCAGAACAAGCTGTGTTGAGATGCGTTCCCTCCCTTCCTGCACTCTGAGCTTTCTCTACTAGGCCTACAATACTGCATCCCACACTCTGCCGTTACAACACCGAGGACCTCTCTGCGGGACACTTCTGAAGCAGGGCCATCAGGTCAGACAGAAGACTTTAAAAACTTTTCATGACTTGAATTGGGGTAGAACTATTTAAACAGTCCTTCCAAAATAATTTTCCTTTTCTTAAATGTTGACCTCCATTTGAGTACAATATTTAATATCAAGATTATTCTTTCTGTAAGCTCAATAAACTCATGACTGATACATGAGCAGCCCTTGCACAAAATCCTATCTTTAAGTTTAATGTCTACTATTACATGACAGTCAAAGAAATATGGTTAGTCACTGAAGCTTATGAATTACAAGTTCTAATGATTCAAAAGATAAAAAAAAACCATGTCAGTAACATTTCCCTCACTACTCTTTTTGCCATTTTAATTTTTAATTAATTATTAAAATATACACCAATTAAAAAACTTTATCATTCTTTAGATAATCACCTAAAACCTCAAAATTTTTAGCACTTAAAGCAGCCAAACAATTTGAAATCTACAAGAATATGGAAAAATTAAATTTGACCTAATAAAAAAAATTGTCTTAATTTTTGAGTCATCATGCTGCATTAAATAGCCATTATTTCTTCAAATTTCATGGACTTCAAGATATTATAGAAATGATCTGGACCTTTCTGAGTGACCTCGACCCTCTCAGACAGTTAATACCACAGTGAGTTCTCGGCAGTTGCAAGGCTACTAGTTTGTGCGGATACTTGCCAACTCACCAAGAATGAGCACAGAATGTAGAACGAGATGAAATATACATATGCAAAATCGCTGCCACAACTCTCTTTATCCTGTGAGTCTGATGCTGGATCACAGGCGACATCTTCTGTGCTGATGCACCCTAACATGACATCCTGCCATGCCTCCCCTGTTGCTGACCTGGAATATGAAAAACATATATATAATAATATATATATATACTTTTGTATCATTGTTGTTATATTTTTTACTTTAATTATCATAAAATAATGACATTAGAAAAAATTGATTTTAACAAAAAAAAAAAAAATATATATATATATCAGTCTTTGAACATCTTGTTCCAAGGCAATTTACCACATTTTCAGTTATTAACTTGTACTTTCACAACTAATTAAAGTACATAAAAAAAGCTTTCATTCAAATCGAAGAACAATGATTTTTATGTCCAAGAACTTGACAAGTTCACCACAAATATCTGGTGTATTAACTGAATGCTACCACATAAGGCTGCGTTCACATGAAAAAGCTATTTTCTAAAAATCTAAAAATCTATCTGCGGTATCTTGTGATCACGGTCTGTGCCCTGAATACCCCACGGCGTAATTACTGGCAGCGCCGAGAATTAATTACAACTTTTGAAGTAACTGGTCTGCGCTGCCCGTAATTACGCCATGGGGTATTCAGGGCACAGACCGTGACCACAAGATACCGCAAATAGATTTTTAGATTTTTAGAAAATTGATTTTTCATGTGAATGCAGCCTAAGATAATCCAGAGGACACTATTTCACTGTTACTTCCCACATGACATCTAGCATACTAACTGCCCAATAAACTGCCGCACAACAATAATCCACCCTCTATCCCCTCTCCATGCTGAGGCAAGTTTACATTTAAGATAGATCGGCCCTTCTCTGCCAGCCATCTGATATTATCCCTCTGTTCTTCATAGTTAATCACATATCATAGCCAGCCAAGGACAAGGCAGAAAAAAAGGTCACATTCAGAAGGACCAACCTATCTTCAATGTGAACACATCACCACATAACCACATGGTAACTATATCCCAGTGTATATAGTGTTCATGCTGTTATACTCCACATGCAAACTCTACAGAGGTATTCTGCTGCAGTCGACGTGCAGGGAAAAAACAGGGAGTGCATTTCAGATAAAAAGGATACTTTCTTTCCTTTAATAGTAAATGCCCTTTTTACAGTATATATTTCAAGTGGCAAAAATTGCCATGAAAAATAGGGAGATTCAATTTTCCTGAAAGTGACACAAATCTATCTTAGCACAAAACATTTTCCAAATACAGGTGGGTCATATCCCCTTCCATCTCCCCCCCCCCCTCCCTCCAATATAAACTATAGAGATGGGATAATGGACCCTAATGGTATAATGGAGCTCTCATACTATACTTGTAGTAGATGACAGGGACAACTGTATTCCCGTCAAGTCAACAAGTTTCTCCTCTTTTGCTGAAAACTACCTGAACAGGACAAGAAGAGCCTGCGGGAACGTCTGGAAATTATTGTTCCTGTTGATAACTGTGTTTTTGGCATTGTTCAGTGCAATTCTTCCCAGTATCTGAGGGAGAGAGGTTAATATCCTATAAGCTACACTAATAATGGAATAAATCATACATAAATGATAAACTAAATACAGATAACAAACAAGACAACTGTTAAGACAACAATTTCAATTGGTCAACATGCAATGTTGTCAAAGGACTTGCAGACAGTTTCATGTAGTGTTCATTAGTTAAAGACTTCTCATTTCACAAGTTTGTCCATTTGTTTTTTTGGTAAATTTACTTTACACAAGTACGGCACCCACAAAAAGTCTTGCTAACTACACGTCTCTCATGAAACTGCCTTTTAGTTATGTGCAACATGGAACAGAGGACATGCAAGATAATTCTTTGTTGGAATTCAACAAAACCAACACCAAGATGACAAAACATTCAGGGTTTGTTTCTCTCTCTTTTTTTAGCATGCGTGACTGCTTTTTCAAATCGTTTTGCAAGAATGTTCTATGCACACAGGTTTCATTATGATGACTTTTGATCATTTTGGATGTCAAAGATTTTTATGCTGTCAAGTGATATCGTCATTGGTGCTTATGTCATCTTTCAAGTCTCTTTAGGAGTCATTTTTTGCTTTGTGAATTTTAACATAGGAAAATGTGCATGCCATTAACATATTTTTTTTTATAATCTCTGCTGGCTTTGTCAATTTAAAAAATAAACACCAAACCAAAATCAACTAAATTAAGAAACCATCTGCTGGAGGCTAAAATCTCACACTGTCAGGATGACATGAGTCTACTGGAACTTAAACTGACCAAAATAGCAACAAAGATTTTGCAACATAATTGACTTGTGCAAATAAATCATCCATCTAACACCCTGAAACAAACAAAAAATGGCTGCAACAGGAACAGCAAGCTACACATCCAATACCTAAAAATCAATATAAAAACTAGAGATGGGATAAAAGGGTGGGTGGGGGAGTGCGTGAGGGGGTAGTCAGTGTTAGATTTTCTCTAATTCACAAATCATGCCATGCAATTTTGATCCCAGTTCCCACTTCCATGCGCTAAAAGGGAATACTGTTATAATGAGAGTTGGATGTTACAATGCCCATGGCAACAACTAAGAACAAATAAAGACATCCAATGGCCAGATAAATAACAAAAAAGCTGAGAACTTCTTACAACAAGGTACTTTTCAAAAAATTCTCTTTCACTATTTAGGTGGACTCCTACCAATTTATTACTAATCAAAGTAGACCAAAAGTTAGGGCTACAAGTATAAACCATCTTTCAGCCTGAAGTTCATTTGAGAAACTGCCCCTTGGATTTCCAGAGCCCACTGTCACTTTGCCAAATATAGGGCTCAGAGGCAGAAAGCCAAGGATCCAGTTTTGTGGATGGCAACATGGAAGTGAAAACACAACCAAAGAGTATTCAACTGGCACCTTAAGACAGTCCCCCCCCCCCCCCATCACACACATACACACTCCCACCACCCCCTCCAGAGGACCACCCCTCCCGGTCAGTGAGTGACCGTCTACCTGAAGAGAACCAAGACAGCCTGGGGAAACGTCTGGAAGTTGTTATTCCTCGTCATGGGGGTATCATCATCCAGAGCAATTTTACCAAACACCTACAACAGATCCAATCTCAGAGATCTTTAATTCTGAAGTAAATGATATCAATATCAAATTCTGAAAAAATAAAAATTTAAGGAAAAAATAAAACCTAATTCTGCAATACATATATTTTGCATTAAAAAGTTTAAGAGGTGTGAGCACATAAAATACCTTAACAATTAAACTTAAATCTTATACGAATCAAGAAGACAATTGATTGTACTTTGACTATAAATATAAACCCTATGAAGGTTACAAACTAAATAAATTCAAGCAGTTACACATATCATGGCTTTTTTACTTTTTTATTTTTAATTTCCTAATTATATTCTTTTTGACTAAACTGTCCATATTTTGCTTTATCCAATGATACTCCTTCAATCAAATTCATTAATAGTATTTTGTTTTTGTTTAGCATTTTACCTGCATCCCAATTACTGCATAGATGAAGAATAACATCACGATCAGCAGTGCAACATAAGGCAATGCCTGGAGGAAGACAAAAAAAAAAGAACAAATGCAGGACAAATTTCCACAGGGATTGCTAAAAACCGTACATAAAACATCAGAGTTCCTTCTGGCATATCTAATACATTCCTGTTAACAATTTAGTACTTACAAAGTGTTTTTTTGGCAAATATTTTCAAACTTTTACTTTTTTCAAATAAAGTACACTGAAAAAAATATTAAAATTAATATTAAAAAGGAGCAAAACTCACCTGAAAAGACTTGATAAAAGTCCACAATAAAGTCCGTATTCCCTCTCCCCGACTAAGCAGCTTCACCAGCCTCATTACACGGAACAGACGGAAAAAGTTGACGCTGATCATTTTTTCCCCTTCCTGCAAAGAGAAGAAAAGAACTACTGACTATACTATAACTGGTGATAATTTTAGGTTCACAATATCAGCCTTCCAGTAAATTAAGGTGACTATAGCTAAGATTTTTATGAATAATGATGCCATATTTTGTCATACCAAGCTATAGCTTCATGACCCTAATCATTGCCATGATAGTAACTGCTACTGCAAGATAAGAAGTTTGAAAAACTGAAAGGGAACAATTTGAATACCTTATCAACTAATCAGTGGGATAGGAAAAAAATCCCAAATAAATATTGGACTCTAAGATGTGACCATATTAAGGAAAAGGGTAGGGTGCATCTTGAGTATACATTTTAAATCTAAGCATTCTATGACTCACTCATAATTTCCTTTTTATAAATATAAGAGCAGACTGAAACCCTGTCATTTCTATCCTTGCAAAAAACAATTTGCAGTTGCTCTGAAACTATGCACATCCAAGCAAAAATAAACAGAAAATAAAAATCACAAAGAAATTGATTAAAAAAAGGTAGCAGCTCATGCATGATCAAAGTCATATATTTAATATGGAAAAATAAACAAAAAATGAAAATGAAGAAAATCAAAAAGTTTTGCTTCCACAAAAACAGTCCAACTTGCAAACATGCATTTCAAGCATTGAACTGAATACCGATTCAGGACACTTTTCCCTTATAAACTTGCTACAAGGACAATAAGGACTGAAAAAAATCAAACAACGCTCCAAGTTCAACCAACTCATTTGATTAATGATAAGAAATTGTTTGACCAAAACATAATGATGAATAAAAAACTTGCCTTAAAAATGGTAAACTGTTTGATTGATACACGCTAGGCATATATACATATACATTTATATAAATATGGAACATGCCAAAATTTGCACCTGCATCCACACAAAGTGTGAAGTATGAACTTACTTTATCAAGCTGTTCAGCCATGATAAGAAAGAGATAACAGAAATAAAATCAGATGAAAATTTGATCAAAAAGAGTGCAAGTTTGTTTTGAAGGTGTCATCTACAAAGGTAATATTAACATTCCTCCAGGCTTCAGCACTGAAACTTTCGCTGTCATCAGTGGCCATTTCTGAGTTGATGACACTGTAATTTCTCTACTCTGATGACACCTTCATAACAGACTTGAATTGAACAGCATGCATAGCACCGTGCCTAATGCAAAACATGCGAACATGATGACCGTTATGCATGAGCGTGCAGGACAACATGGGTAAAGTTATTTATTTTTTTTTTTATTTTTTTTATTATATTTTTTTTTTCTGAACCCAACAAAGGTTGTATCCAGAATTGCAGGGTTTATTGGCAAGATCAAAGGTATCAGTCTCATCATGCAAAGGAAGATGCTAGAACAGTTTTGCTTTGTAACTAACTAGTATACATTTGAACACCTTGCAGCAACTGAGCTAGCCTATTAGCAGCTACTATCTTATTCATCTTTATGTTATTTATCTTGAAAATAATGATGATCAAAAAAGAATGTAATCTATAATACAATTACTATATGGTGTTGATAAATAGTATAAGCACTGAGATGTTAACTGGGTGGATGATTAAAAAATACATCTATTGTGAGAGGAATTTACTAAAATATTCTATCATTTCTATACTAAAATTTTATCTTTTGGCCCTTTAGAGTTTTTGTACACTAATGAGAGCTTTCACTTTAAATTCATTTTCTCTTCCATTTGCATCAAAAACTGAACATCTAAGTCACTTAATCTTATTAAAATGAACACAAATTGATGACAAATATTTTATTAATATGTCCCACTGTCCTCTACAATCAGTACTAGATTAGTGCTACTACTGTTTTCAACATGAATAATTCAATAAGTTTGACTTTAGAATTATAATAATGAAGCTACAGCATATATAGATAGAGCCCAAATCTGTATGATCTGCAAGTCTTATATCGTGTTCCCAGACTACCAACTCTCCCATTGTATTTGTACATTCCTACAACTAGTGCTAAACATTGAAAATAAAATAACAGTAAATTTTCTTATATCATAAATATGTATACTAACTTGACAAAAAATAAAGATAAAGTTGGCAATTAAAGTGTTTGTTTTAAATTATGCAAAGATGTATAATTAATAATATATATTACTTATAAAAAACTTAATTATGGCATCTTTCAACAAATAAGCATGACAGGTAATTTATGGGGAAAAAACTGATAGAGAGCTTGATAATTTGCCATATGGCAAAGGCTTTAGGTATGGTATGGACAAACAACAATAATATATTTCATCTAAAAATTAGTTTGGGTTTAGTTTATATTCATTGTATAAAAATACTTTTCTTGGAATGAAATAAAAGCAGCTTTGATGGTAAATTTGTTTGTCAGCACCAAGTTGACCTACTTTGCCTTTGCAATATGCAGGTTTAAGATGAAAAGCAGGAAGTACTGCACTGCATGCAGTAAATATGGTATTTATTTTTAAAAAAATGGCATTAAAAATATCTAAATCATTTATTTTCACATTTCAAAAAAAAAATTGAATTCATCACTGACAATATGTCACCATTCTCCCTTATTTCCTTGCCTGTATAATGTGGACAAACCAGAGAACCACATTCAGCAAAATACCTCTCACATGCAGGATAAGGAGACATAGGCGTAAACAACATTCATAAAGGACTACAGTGTTACTGATGAAAAAAAAATTAAATTAACCAACCTCAGATTCAAATCCCTGTGCAAAGGAAAATAAGGAAATTTAAAACCAATAAAAACATTCTGGCAATAGCTAGCATCAAACTACCATGGGTGAAATGAAAGTATACACTCTGCTAACAGATAAGAACAAAATTAATTTCTCTCCTACAGCACATGTATCTAGTGTGCATAATAGAGCAGCAACAAACAAAAAAGGAAAATATCTGTATAAATTGTTAATCAGGGATTGTCTCACAGTATTCTTTGGTAAGATCTCTTTTTCTCTACATGTCATTTTCATTCAGACATAATCCCCCCCCCCCCAAAATACAAAAATCGAAACAAAAGTAACAAAAAGCACAGGGTACATTTTCATTTACACCTATCCATGCTGACAGAAATCTACCCTACTAAAGGAAATAAATAATAGAATAAAATAGAATATCAATAACTTTTTACAGGATTTTCTTTATTTCACCCCACAGACATTGCACTCCACTGATTTATGTCACTTAAAGAAATGCCCGTTTTCAATGTTCTTTTACTTGTGTGTTCCTACCAGGAACCAGGGTGCAGTCACACCCATTCAGAACATAAACAGACTGTATTTGACATGTCCAGCACAATTCAAACTAAATTAGAATTCAAAAAGTGAACTAAGTGAAAATGGATACTTTTGAACAGGGCATGCCTCATGTTGTGCTGCGATCTACTCTAGACACCAAATAAGGCAAATGTACAGACAGGCAAATGAACAGACATTTAACTTAACTCAAACAAACATTCCAACAAAAACTGCAAAAAATTATAATCAGAAAGGCCACACAGAGGCAATCAGATCATATGAAGATGCCATTAATGTCTGACAATAAAAGGTGATGTTTCATTTTATTATTTAGACTAGTTCTATTAATTATAACATATATCTTGAACAGGCCAGGTGATACTAAAATCAAAAACCCTTTTAATTTAAATTTCCAGTATATAATTTTTTTTATTTCTACCAAAATCCAAGAACTATGCCAATTAATTTATTTGAAGAAAAAAAAGTTAATAACTTCAGTTCATTTATTTGGAGAGGTATAATGCCTTGGGCATTCACATTTGATACACCTTTGCCTAAAATATAGTCAAAAAGAGAAGAGATTTTTATCCCCCCCTCCCTCCGGCCATTTTAGAGTATCTATGTATTTCAGATCTAATATACACATAACTTGATTGCACCTCAGTTACAGCAGTGATACACAGGCTCTAGCATGTGTATTACTATTATGGGATAAGTGTATTACTATTATGGGATATCACTCAACTGTCCCAAGAACAGCCATACCAGTACAACCAACCTCACAACTAAGTCTTACAAGTCAACAAAGACAACACCAGTACAGGGGAGTACAACACGTACCCACGGCAACAACACTCACCCACGGCAACAACACCTTACCATGGCAACAACACATGACACACTTCTTACACTCCCCAAACTATCCACTGCTTATGGAATTTGATTGTCCTAGCTAGTTTTGTGACAGTCTGAGATCAACATGCCAAGTAAGTCTTTTTCATTCTTTTAGCAATTTGTCAGGCTTACAGACTGATCATGACTATTGCCCAACTTTGCAAATGGTCAGATAAGTTATTTCCCATTAAAATTTGAAGAAATATTTAGTCATATTTCCCAAACTTGTTTGTGATACCTATAAAGTATATTTCCAGAAAGAAGCATTCATTCATTCATTGATTCAATGGCATGCTGTGAGCAAATAACCAGATATTATTAAATGGAAATATAAATATATTTTGCTTGGCCACAGTGGTGAAGGGTTACTGGGATTGGTTTCATTCCTATCAACTTAACACATTAATATTCTCTGCAACCTCTCCAAGAGAATACAGACAAATAACATGGAACACACAAGACAAGGAGAACTAGGTTACTATTGGACCTGAGCTAGCAAAGACACAGGGAAATATATCTACATTCTTAACAGGACACTACTGTACAATAATGAGCTTGAGAAGCTCTTTGCTACACAAAGAAAAATCACTTTTGGTTTGTGTACGATGACAACACTATGTGCACAAAATTCTAGTTTCATAAGTCTGTCCCTATATTGGTAGAGTTTGGTATCTTCTCATGTAGACACTCTTCCTCGGTCCTTAACAGATCTTTAGTACAAAAAACCACTAACAAAAAATTCTAACAAAATTCCTTCTCCAATAAAAAGAAGTGCAAAATATCATATCTATTTCCATAATTATGGTGCAATTCATGCCCCATCTTCACAGGTGCTATAGAAGATTTCACATATTCTTTAAAATGACTCTGAAGGAATGAAAAAAAGAAAATAGTCCACACATGTACATTTTGATTTTACGCAACAGAACCAAGAAAATTCAATGGTATTCCTCAGTGTGCGCCATTCAGGATAAATACACAAGTGTAAAACTTACATTGACTTTGGTGTAGATGATGTCTATAAAACTCCCAAGGACTATGATAAAGTCAAAGACATTCCAGGCATCTCCAAAATAGTTCTGAAATATGAACACCCATGTTAAATAGCAGGAATTTACCTTCACAAATTTGAGAAAATGGTGTGGCATCTAGGGCAGCTTCAAATACAGGATTTTTTAAAAATTACTAAAGGTTTCATTTACTGATTCATGGAAGGCAAAAAAAAAAAAGAATCAATTCTGTAAACTCTCATTTTTAGCCATCACAAGTTTTCTTTAGCCTCACAAAGATTTCATGAAAATGACCCTGGTATTGTTTTCCACCAACCTTGAACTTGAACGCTATCAACTTGAGCACACACTCTGCTGTGAAGGCAGCCGTGAAGATGATGTTCATTACGCTTAGGAACTGGGAGTAACCATCACTCATGCCATCATACTAAAATAAAAGAATAGAATAGGATTTAAACTTGATTTAAGTTTGTACTATTATAATCATCCACATATTTCAAGCACTTTACTTATTCAATAGCTTTATTTTTCAAAATTGATCATTTTTTATATTTAAAAAAAATGTTGTCTGGCAATAAATTCTTTTGTGATGAACCTAACCTACATTCTAAAAACTTCAAATCATCTGTTGCAGACATTGCTAGCAATAATTGAGGTATTCCTGGTATATCAATAGATAGTGCACTAGCAATAATTGAGGTATTCCTGGTATATCAATAGATAGTGCACTAAGTATTTCCCAGTATACATTATGTTAACTGTAATGTTAAAATTTAAAGTTTTTTAATGACCATGCACAGCATCGACTCCTAGCCAAATGTGGAGCTCAGTCTTAGTACTCTTTTGTATTAATATTATTATTATTATCATTATTACTATTATAATTATTATTATCAAAATTCCTTCCCTACCTTCATGGCTAGAGCCATCACATTAAATAAAATAAGACCAAAGATGGAGTATTCAAAGGCCCTTGACGTCACAAACCACCAGATCTTGTACTGGATGCGGGCCTTGGGGATGTACCGTCTGGTAGGCTTGGCTTTTAAGGCAAATTCTATGCATTTTCTCTGCAAGGATTACAAGTGTAACACATCATCAAAATTACAAAGTATCACCAACTTTAAAAACCATTGCTCAAATTTAGCATGTAACAAAGGCAGAGAATGCCACTATAATTACAGCTAAAACTGCAACTTTTGCTGAACTTTATAATGATGGTACATTTAACTACATGTTACTCATACAAATTAAAGTGACTACATCATGGAATTCACCAAGTAGATCTCAAAGTCACAGCCATTCTAATGAAATACTATGTAGACTGGCCACTGTGATTTTAAAAAGTTGTAGCTGATTTGTTTTTTTACAAAACAACCATTATTTAATCTGAATCAGATCCAATAAATGTAACTTTTTTGGATTCATTTCAGTTGGCTTTTTCTCAACAATTTCTTAAAAACTGCCCATAATATGTCTATCATTATAAATACCTGATTCTTATTGAGCTCACATCCTTTATACTCCTGTTCACCCTCATTTTGAAATGTGACAATAACAAAACCTACAAAGATGTTCACCATGAAGAAAGCAATGATGATGATGAAGATGATGTAGAATACAGCCACGGCCTGTCGGTAGTTGTAAATAGGACCTTGGCTCTCCTCATTGGAGTCTATGGAAGTATACAGGAGCCTAAAAAAGAAAGTTTATAGCAAGAACTAAAGACCAAATACCAAAGTTGTTATCCAAGTATACCTGATGTCATGTGTTGAAATAATATTGCACTAGTGTTGCATCAGTGTTGGAATGTTGTACTAGTGTTGTGTCAGTGTTGAGATAATGTTGGGCTAGTGTTGTATCAGTGTTGGGATGTTGTACTAGTGTTGTGTCAGTGTTGAGATAATGTTGGACTAATGTGACAGTGTTGAGATAATATTGCACTAGTGTTGCATCAATGTTGGGATGTTGTACTAGTGTTGTGTCAATGTTGAGATAATGTTGGGCTAGTGTTGTATCAGTGTTGAAATAATGTTGAACTAATGTTGTGTCAGTGTTGAGATAATGTTTGACTAGTATTGCATCAGTGTTGGGATGTAGAGCTTGTGTTATGTCAGTGTTGAGATAATGTTGGACTAGTGTTGAGAAAATTCTGGGTTGATGTTAAGATAATATTGGGTCAGTGTTAGGATAATTTTCTTAGGTGAATGCTGAAATCATGTTAGGCCAGTGTTGAGATAATGTTGGGCTATTGTCGAGAAAATTTTGGGTTGATGTTGATATAATATTGGGTTAGGGTTAGGATCATATTCTTGGGTGAATGTTGAGATAATGTTGGGCCAGTGTTGAAATAGTGTTGGGACAATATTGAGATAATGTTGAGCAAGTTATATGTTATCAATTATTCTGCACGATTCCACAAACGTCAAGTCAAAAAAGATAAATTCAACATACATATAGTTTGTTATGATCAAACATTAATTATTCTTAAAGTACACCAAGAAAAAAATAAAATAACAGCTAATGACAAACAGATTTAAACTTTCAGACATCCAAATTTAACCATGTTTTGCATGTATATAATCAAAAGCAAAATAATCACTTTAAGAATTTCATCATCCAAACAAGAAAAATCAGGATATTCAATTCTCCACACCAGGTTTCTCCAGGTCTAAAGAAGAGTAGCTTTCATAGAATATTTTGGATGTGATACATGTACGACCACATCACACCAAGTTGTAGCACAACAATAAAAAAAAAAGCTGTGTTTGCGTGGTTCCCACTGCAGGCCCCCAGGGAAAGTTAAATTCATCAGAGACTGTAATCCATCTGTTCTTACTCCCACTGGCAATACCAGCATGGGACTGGCAACTCTAGAACCTTACGCCATATTCAGAACAGTTGACTAACTACTCCGAGGGTCAAATATGGCCGACCCATTTGAATACTTCCCCACGGGGAATCTATTCAGTGTCTATTAGCGGATCAGACAGCAAGATTTTTAGTGGGTTGCCATATTTGACTGGTGGACTAGTTCTGAATGCAGCCTTTCAGAGTTATGTAAGAAAGTATGCTGTCCAGGCCTACCCAACTACCAGACTCGGCACCCAATGATCCAGAATTCACCGGTAAATTGGACCACACTACCCGTTTTCAAGGTGTGTATCAGATCGCATTACACAGTATCAGACGCGACACCGCTCTTGCCTAGTACGCGATGTGATAGTGACGATTCTCAGCGGGGTTGAAAAGCATTGCATCACCACTCAAAATTTGTTCAGGGTATGATACTGTGTAATGCAATCTGATACACACCTTGAAAACGGGTAGTGTGGTGTGATCTACCGGTGAATTCTGGATCACTGGGTGCCGAGTCTGGTAGTTGGGTAGGCCTGCTGTCTATGGCGAATTTAGCTTGTTAAGAGGATGCCTGCAGGAAAGTTTGCATTGTAATAAGTACAGGTGACCTATCTTTAATGTACATGCACTTTTAAAAACTTTGTGGAGAACTCTGGTTACTGATCATTCCTATCCCAATATACCATGCTTGGCAGGTACATGGCATGATAATTCATATACCATGACGTCCTCAACATAATTTAAAAATAAAAAGATTACTTTAGAGGCAAAGGCCCTCGGATTACAAAATTAATTATTTAAAAAAACAAAAAAACAAACAAACAACAATTTCCATTAATTTTGGAAAATAGCACCTTTTATCACTCACTTTGATCTATCGTTTGCATTCCTATTATTTTTTATGCTCTGAGGGCCAATATTGTTAGATGTGTACAGTGAAGAAAGAGAAAAGTAGCAACATTTGAAAACTGTGCTTCATAATGCATTGTGCCATTCTGCTTAAAAAATTATTCTAGCTTTAACTTAATTTCTTTCTTTCTATTTTGTGTGTGCTTAACAATATTTAAAATAAGTTCTTTTTTTCTTAATGAATATGCCCATGTTAACCTGATGCAAGTTGTATTATGCTATAATTTGTGACTGAGTTCAGGTGAAAATATAAGTTCAATCAAAACCTAATTAGAAAAATCAGTGTTCGAAATTCTACTCCTATCATGATGCAATGACAAATGAGAAATAATCATTAACAAACTGTCTTCTCATACCAACATTCCTTATTTCACTTTAACTTTAAAACAAGCACATTCTATAGTATACCTACAGTGTGATAGACATATTTCTTACATTTGGGGAAAAGATACAAAAACAGATATATTATTGCATTTAGATTGAAGCATAGTTAAATATTGCCGAGTTCATTTTTAATGAGATAAATAAGTGGGTCTTTATACATAGAAGTCCTCACTCTCTTTTTTATGCAAATGCAAACAAGAATTAAAGCTTTCTAAAGAAAGATTAGAATAGCTGAGTCAGTGAAAAAGTATGCAATAATTCAGTGCATAGATTCTAAAAAATTCGAGACATATGGTCTTGTGCAACTTCCGAGATCGGTTTCCTGGTGTTATAATTTTTTAAAAGAAATTTACCTAGGCCAGCCTTCAAATGTTGCAACAGTAAATAATGTTAGTAGACCATTGGGTACACTGTCAAAGTGAAGCGGGTTGTTCACCCACTCTCGCGGCAACAACCTGGGCAGATCAAGGTCACTACGCAAGTAAGAGATGAAGATGCCCCTGGAAATGAACAGTCAGGCTAATATATATAACACAGTTATTCTAAGACAACACAACACCACAATACAGTACAATACTCACCCTGGCCAACCTTCAAAAGTGGCAACAGTAAATAAAGTGAGGAGACCCTGTGACACATCATCATAGTTCAGAGGGTTGTTCACCCACTCACGCTTTTGTTCGCTGGGGTTTGATAAATCATCCCCTGCATACTCTATAAACCAGCCCCTAGAAAATGTGCACAGAAAAATAAAAATACAGTCAACATAAATTGGAAAGTATAAATCAAAAAGATGAAGAACATCAATAATAATAATAATCAAGATATAGAACTGTGGAATGTAACAAGATGGTGAAACTTTGTTTTGTGCTGACAAAAGTGTGATGCAGTTATCAGTTGGAAAGACTTTTGAAAAGCATTCAAAGTTTCTAAATGATTTCATAGTTCAGAAAAATAAACAGCGTGAGCCCTTCCCCCCCAAGTGTTGAAGCATCAAAGGTGAAACTGGACAAATCCATCCCTACATTCACGGGAATACACTACGACTCTCAGAAACCATGGATGAAAATGCACCAGAAGCATTTTCTTCCATCCAAAAAATAAATACAGCCAATACTTCACATATTTTAATTCCATTATTCACTTTACTTTTACATACAAAGTTAAAAAATTCAACGATCTATCATATCAAAAATCTTAATCAACAAACAAACAGCAAGATTTCAGTTTAAAGTTTTAAAAGTCGACCAATGAAATTGAGTGTTACAAAACAACATTGGTGATATCTTACTGGCATTCTTCTTCCGTCATTTTGGATTCATCAGTGCAATGATAGAATCTCCCCTAAAAGGAATCAACAAGATATTAATTACTTTCATCATTTTAGAAGCCCCGGTATGAATCTTCATTTAAACTAGTTTTATATCTGATTTAATCATAAATACTTATCACTTTGACATGACTATAAAATGTACAAATCCAAATAAAATTTGTTCTTGATGTGTGAATAATTGTCCTCAATCCTGCCTGCTTCAGATCTACTTAAAACTGTGATGTAGTTTTTATAGAAAGCAATAACTTTGATTAGAAACAATCGCAAATCCATATTTAACCATTTGAAAAATGTGCAAATGAAACAAAAATTCAACTGTGATCACTCCACAATTTTTATTTGTTTGTTTCTTATTTCTTATATTCTTTAGCAGAGAAATCTGATTAATTCTGATTTATATTTTCTCAATTGTCTTGTCAATCATCTCATTTTGTAATGATTGCCTTCATGCATCCATTTTACGAAAAAAAAAAAAGAAAAAAAAAACAGCAAATAAATGCATCACGGTTTCCAAAGAAAATAAAAGAAGTTAAATTATATATAAGAAAATCTTTTTAAAATAATGCAGATTGTAATAAGGCAGTCATCTGCAATCAACATTTAACAAGAGCAGAACATTTCATGGTTCAGACGAAGTTTGTAAGAGTTCTGTATGTGTTATTGTTTAAATTTATCATTTTAAGACATAATAGTTCATTTAACCCACTAAAACTTTACTGACTATGAAGAGGAAAGAGTATGCAGTGGCCTTAAAGAGACATACGGCCAGTTTTAGATTAGAGATAAAGAAAGCAGAGAAGCTCAACAAAGAAGAAAAGGTGAAAGCCAGTATACACCAGCACAGCCATGAAAAGCAGCAATCTTGATATGATGGAAGACGACAGAAAACATTGAACTAAAGCTGTGGTTTTCTTGCCCAACAACAGGCAGATCAGATCTCTAACAGCATTTAAGCTCTAACAGCATTTAAGAAGAAGAAAAAGAGGAAGAAAGGAAGGAAGACAAATTGGAAGACTGTGAGAGGTGTTCTGCAATAAGTAAGAAGACAGCATAAAATTGTAGTAACTTTGACCCCAATGTGCTAAGATGCATCAATCAAAAATTGAAATAAAACATTCACTGAAACACAGCAAGCAGAAATACATATTGAAAGCTAAAAAATAAACAAATAAAAGAGGCTAATAAGAAGCTTAGTTTACATTTCACAGATGAAATAAAGTTTTTTGACAGACACAACATTTTCATGACTGACAAAGACAATATTATGGAAACAGCTGAAATAACTGTGAATGAGGCAGATAGATCTACATATTACAATTGACGAATTTATTTTCTTATTTAAAAAAATGAAAAAAGAAAGGGAAAAAAAGACTGGTAAACATTAGATCTGGACAATTTTTGAGACAACAATGTTTTAAAATTTTCTTAATTTGGAACAATCTTTTATGAACTTCATGACAAAGTTTTCTAAAATATTTCAAAAATTTTTATAATGATTATCATGTTTTCACAATTTTTTCCATTACACATAAAAAAATTCATAAATCCATCAAATTGGCTTTATTCAAGTACAAGTGCCATTATTTAAACAACTTTTGCCAGTTTCAAATGGTTTTCTGATATACTGGAGGTCAAATGCAATGTGTAACAGCTCTTCTGTCATGGAATCCCAAAGGTCACTAATGAGATAAGGGTGAAATAATAATGATAATAATAATAGAATGATGTACATAGTATCTTCTCAGCACCTGAAAAGTTCCCTACCTTAAACAGCTGCACTCCTATCACAGCAAACATGAAATTGAGGAGGAAGGTGACTAACATGATGTTGCCGATTGTCTTGATTGCCACGATCACACACTGAACAACATGCTGTAAGGAATAAAACACATGAAAGCACACAGATCATTATGACCAGCAAATCTCATGGGCTCTCAATATGGGGACAGGAAGCTTCTCAACGCAGTCATACCAAACTGCTGCAGCATGGAGACAATTCCAACTATTGCATTATGGGAAATCAAGAAATCAGCCAATCAAGTCTCTCGTGACTCTCTTCATGTGGTGTCCTCTTCACAGCCAGTGGTATCAAGGCTCTGATCCCATGACATATTGAAGGTATTTTAGGGAGCAAGGAAAGCAGATACATCACTGTATATGGTTATTTTCTTCTAGGATGTCTGGGTTCAACTAATTATAGGGCAACATTAAGTTAACCAAATTTGAACAAAAAGCCAAAAAAAAAAAAAAAAAAAACTTCTAGAGTGGGGTCTTAATATCAGCACATGGATTAAAATCTAAATTTGAAATAAAGATGGCTGCAGCACAGCGTCGAGCCTATATAACTACAGTACTGTTTGATTAACACTGTAGCACACTGCTCAGCTTCTAATTTTACACCAACACTATCCTAATGGATAAATGGTATATAATATATATATATATCACAGTGATCTTCTACTCCATGCCTCACAAGAATGCATGCCCTTAATATGCCATCAGTTGTTTGGTTAATATGTAGCAAAATAAACTTTAAAATAATAAATCAGTCTTTAATGTCAAACATAATCAATAACCAAGATTATCATTCCCCAATTAGCCTGACCATTATAGGACTGGATAATATATATAAAATAATGTTTTCATCTTTTCAAAGCTGCGAAATTCTTAAGTAAAAATTACTCATAAAATACAAATGGAAATAATTGGGTAAAGAAGACTTCAAAATGTATTACGTCAATAAACACACTCCAAAAAGTTGCTTTTGTAAGATTTATCATTTCTTGCATTCTTACAACTAGAAAAAAGATCCTCAAACATTCCTGTAATGGTGCATGGCCCATGGGAATGGTATATGCAAATGGAAAATAAAACAAAAAGAAAAAAAAGTAGGTCACAGCAGGAACTGCATGTATCACAAAGACAAGGACAGCCTCTCTGGATGCACAGGACGGGGAGCACCCGTCAACAATTGTCAAAATCTCCAGATGGCCATTGCGGATACCGTTACCTTAAACAGCTGTACGCCCATACAGGCGAATACAAATGTCAGCATAAATGTAATCAGCAGCAGATTGCCAATGGTTTTAACTGCCACATAGACACACTGGACTACGTGCTGTAAAATTGCATTCATGGTTTATTGACAACAATCTCTGAAATATGTCACCAAGCTCACTTTAGTACAGTCAATTATAGTAAAAATTCACAGACAAATTCTAATTTCATATTGGCTAAACAGAGAGTATTTTTTTCTTGCTTATTTTGGTAAAATTCATAACTGATTTTGTTGATTTCATTTGGTTAAAATTAGCCACATATTAGACGAAAAGGATAATATACCCCAAAAAAGAGCTATGCTAGATTCAGTGGCATACCTATGAACATTAAAATATTACAATACATTAAACAGATTGCCATCAACTACAATTATTTCTAAACAATATTAGTTTTTAATTAACTAGGCAGCAAAGCTGACAAATATACAGACACTAAACAGAAAAAAAGAAATTTTCATTACAACATCTTGTGTAAACGGACAAATTTCAGTTTATTTATCCAAGTTTATCCAACTTTGCAATGCTTCCAGTGATCTGAATATATACAGACACATACAGTGCCTGTATATAACATCAATTTTAGATACATGGATCGAATGAAGTTAATTACCTACATCTAAATTTAAAGAACTGTAAAAAAATTCTTAACATGGCACCTGCACCAATCAGGGTAAACATTCAAAATAAATAAATAATAAAACTTTCAAAAATAAAAAAAGTAAAAAAAGCCTCTCAAGAGATAGTTTGGTTGATATCAAACAAAAATTATTATAGTGAAAATGGAGGCAATTTTGACTGAACATCTTTGACACAGATTAAATAATATAACTTTTAAGCTGATTTAGGCAGCAAAGCTGTCAAATGTACAGACATCAATTCAATTCAATTCAATTTATTTCTGTACTGGTACATAGATTGTCATGACCTTGTACAATATGATATACAAATGATGATACAATACAGTTAGTGTATTACCATCTTTATATAATGAAGATAAGTACTAGTAAAATTACTCATAACATATTCTATCTAAGCATTGAGATAAACCTTGGTGTGATTATAAATTTACCATAAACATACTATAAACATGTTACACAAAAAGAATATGTTTTTAAAGAACTTAAAACCACCNAGCATTTTCTTCCATCCAAAAAAAAAAAAAAAAAAAAAAATACAGCCAATACTTCACATTTTTTAATTCCATTATTCACTTTACTTTTACATACAAAGTTAAAAAATTCAATGAACTATCATATCAAAAATCTTAATCAACAAACAAACAGCAAGATTTCAGTTTAAAGTTTTAAAAGTCGACCAATGAAATTGAGTGTTACAAAACAACATTGGTGATATCTTACTGGCATTCTTCTTCCGTCATTTTGGATTCATCAGTGCAATGATAGAATCTCCCCTAAAAGGAATCAACAAAATATTAATTACTTTCATCATTTAAGAAGCCTCGGTATGAATCTTCATTCAAACTAGTCTTAGATCTGATTTAATCATAAATACTTATCACTTTGACATGACTATAAACTAAATGTGCAAATCCAAATAAAATTTGTTCTTGATGTGTGAATAATTGTCCTCAATCCTGCCTGCTTCAGATCTACTTAAAACTGTGATGTAGTTTTTATAGAAAGCAATAACTTTGATTAGAAACAATCGCAAATCCATATTTAACCATTTGAAAAATGTGCAAATCAAACATAAATTCAACTGTTATCACTCCACAATTTTTATTTGTTTGTTTCTTATTTCTTACATTCTTTAGCAGAGAAATCTGATTAATTCTGATTTATATTTTCTCAATTGTCTTGTCAATCATCTCATTTTGTAATGATTGCCTTCATGCATCCATTTTACGAAAAAAAAAAAAAAAACAGCAAATAAATGCATCACGGTTTCCAAAGAAAATAAAAGAAGTTAAATTATATATAAGTAAATGTTTTTAAAATAATGCAGATTGTAATAAGGCAGTCATCTGCAAACAACATTAAACAAGAGCAGAACATTTCATGGTTCAGACAAAGTTTGTAAGAGTTCTGTATGTGTTATCTCTTTAATTTATCATTTTAAGACATAATAGTTCATTTAACCCACTAAAACTTTACTGACTATGAAGAGGAAAGAGTATGCAGTGGCCTTAAAGAGACATACTGGCAGTTTTAGATTAGAGATAAAGAAAGCAGAGAAGCTCAACAAAGAAGAAAAGGTGAAAGCCAGTATACACCAGCACAGCCATGAAAAGCAGCGATCTTGATATGATGGAAGACGACAGAAAACATTGAACTAAAGCTGTGATTTTCTTGCCCAACAACATACAGCAGATCATAGGTCTAACAGCATTTAAGAAGAAGGAAAAGAGGAAGAAAGGAAGGAAGACAAATTGGAAGACTGTGAGAGGTGTTCTGCAATGAGTAAGAAGACAGCATAAAATTGTAGTAACTTTGACCCCAATGTGCTAAGATGCATCAATCAAAAATTGAAATAAAACATTCACTGAAACATAGCAAGCAGAAATACATATTGAAAGCTAAAAAATAAACAAATAAAAGAGGCTAATAAGAAGCTTAAGTTTACATTTCACATATGAAAAAAGTTTTTTGACAGACACAACATTTTCATGACTGACAAAGACAATATTATGGAAACAGCTGAAATAACTGTGAATGAGGCAGATAGATCTACATATTTCAATTGACAAATTGATTTTCTTATTTAAAAAAAATGAAAAAAAGAAAGGAAAAAAGATTTTTTAACATTGGATCTGGATAATTTTTGAGACAACAATGTATTAATTTTTTCTTAATTTGGAACAATCTTTTATGAACTTCATGACAAGGTTTTCTAAAATATTTCAAAAATTTTTATAATGATTATCATGTTTTCACAATTTTTTCCATTACACATACAAATTCAAAAATCCATCATTTGGCTTTATTAAAGTACAAGTGCCATTATTTAAACAACTTTTTCCAGTTTCAAATGGTTTCTGATATACTGGAGGTCAAATGCAATGTGTAACAGCTCTTCTGTCATGGAATCCCAAAGGTCACTAAATAATGAGATAAGGATGAAATGATAATAATAATAGAATGAGGAACATATTTTCTTCTCAGCACCTGAAAAGTTCCCTACCTTAAACAGCTGCACTCCTATCACAGCAAACATGAAATTGAGGAGGAAGGTGACTAACATGATGTTGCCGATTGTCTTGATTGCCACGATCACACACTGAACAACATGCTGTAAGGAATAAAACACATGAAAGCACACAGATCATTATGACCAGCAAATCTCATGGGCTCTCAATATAGGGACAGAAAGCTTCTCTCAGTCATACCAAACTGCCGCAGCATGGAGACAATTCCAACTATTGCATTATGGGAAATCATGAAATCAGCCAATCGAGTCTCTTGTGACTCTCTTCATGTGGTGTCCTCTTCACAGCCAGTGGTATCAAGGCTCTGATCCCATGACATATTGAAGGTATTTTAAGGAGCAAGGAAAGCAGATACATCACTGTATATGGTTATTTTCTTCTAGGATGTCTGGGTTCAACTAATTATAGGGCAACATTAAGTTAACCAAATTTGAACAAAAAGCCAAAAAAAAAAAAAAAAAAAACTTCTAGAGTGGGGTCTTAATATCAGCACATGGATTAAAATCTAAATTTGAAATAAAGATGGCTGCAGCACAGCGTAGAGCCTATATAACTACAGTACTGTTTGATTAACACTGTAGCACACTGCTCAGCTTCTAATTTTACACCAACACTATCCTAATGGATAAATGGTATATAATGTATATATATCACAGTGATCTTCTACTCCATGCCTCACAAGAATGCATGCCCTTAATATGCCATCAGTTGTTTGGTTAATATGTAGCAAAATAAACTTTAAAATAATAAATCAGTCTTTAATGTCAAACATAATCAATAACCAAGATTATCATTCCCCAATTAGCCTGCCATTATAGGACTGGATAATATATATAAAATAATGTTTTCATCTTTTCAAAGCTGCGAAATTCTTAAGTAAAAATTACTCATAAAATACAAATGGAAAAAATTGGGTAAAGAAGACTTCAAAATGTATTACGTCAATAAACACACTCCAAAAAGTTGCTTTTGTAAGATTTATCATTTCTTGCATTCTTACAACTTGAAAAAAGATCCTCAAACATTCCTGTAATGGTGCATGGCCCATGGGAATGGTATATGCAAATGGAAAATAAAACAAAAAGAAAAAAAAGTAGGTCACAGCAGGAACTGCATGTATCACAAAGACAAGGACAGCCTCTCTGGATGCACAGGACGGGGAGCACCCGTCAACAATTGTCAAAATCTCCAGATGACCATTGCGGATACCGTTACCTTAAACAGCTGTACGCCCATACAGGCGAATACAAATGTCAGCATAAATGTAATCAGCAGCAGATTGCCAATGGTTTTAACTGCCACATAGACACACTGGACTACGTGCTGTAAAATTGCATTCATGGTTTATTGACAACAATCTCTGAAATATGTCACCAAGCTCGCTTTAGTACAGTCAATTATAGTAAAATGTTCGACAAATTCTAATGGCTAAACAAAGAGTATTTTTTTCTAGCTTATTTTAGCCAAATTCATAACTGATTTTGTTGATTTCATTTGGTTAAAATTAGCCACATTTAGACGAAAAGGATAATATACCCCAAAAAGAGCTATGTTAGATTCAATGGCATACCTATGAACATTAAAATATTACAATACATTAAACAGATTGCCATCAACTACAATTATTTCTAAACAATATTAGTTTTTAATTATTAACTAAACAGCAAAGCTGACAAATATACAGACACTAAACAGAAAAAAAGAAATTTTCATTACAACATCTTGTGTAAATGGACAAATTTCAGTTTATTTATCCAAGTTTATCCAACTTTGCAATGCTTCCAGTGATCTGAATATATACAGACACATACAGTGCCTGTATATAACATCAATTTTAGATACATGGATCGAATGAAGTAAATTACCTACATCTAAATTTAAAGAACTGTAAAAAAATTCTTAACATGGCACCTGCATCAAGCCGAGAAAACATTCAAAATAAATAAATAATAAAACTTTCAAAAAGAAAAAAAGAAAAAAGCCTCTCAAGAGATAGGTTGGTTGATATTAAACAAAAATTATTATAGTGAAAATGGAGGCAATTTTGACTTAACATCTTTGACACAGATTAAATAATATAACTTTTAAGCTGAACTAGGCAGCAAAGCTGTCAAATGTACAGACATCAATAAAGAAAAATAATCCAATCAAGCTGATTTGCCATTTCGAAATGTATGTCAATGATTCTTGTAAGTTATATAATAATAAGAAACAGTTTTCCTTCAAGAGCATTTGTCGTGGTAGTATACGAAATAGTTTTTTGGTCAATTTTGATGAAATATTACGTAATGTTTAACAGCATAATCACCACCAATTCTATTAATATACTGTAAGTACCACTGATATTCAGATTTCCATCATTTCCATATAATCAACTGACAAAATTGCTGAAAAAAAAGCATAACTTTCGGAAAAATGGTCCGATAAAGCTGATTTTTGAACTCGACCTATCTTTCATGAATATTTATCAGTTTGTAAGTTTTTGAGAACAAAAGGTCAAATGGTTTTTCACTTATTGTTATAACACTGAAAGTGCATGGCGACGGTGACAGCTACAATGACAGTGACAGACACAGGTGATGACTTTAAGGACAGACACATCTGTGTCTGTACATAAAAACCTGTTACAGACAGAGTATAAAATAGCAAGTAAATAACTTTTCCATATCACACACCATCTCATAAAAGCTGGCAAAACATCTTAGTGATAATTTCTCTACTTAAATAAATGCTTTTTAAGTATGCTTAGTTGATCACAGTTTTGTAATTTAGTGCATGGTTACATATCTGGAATAACTTTCGTACCTTCAAACCTTTAGCTCTGTTGATGGCACGTAACGGCCTCAACACTCTCAGAACCCTGAGGATTTTCACCACAGAAAAGGCGCCTTTCCTGAAACACAGATTTAGAAGATCAAAATTAATATCTTGTTTTCTTTTTCTTAAGAAAATAATCATTCTGAAACATACATCAATGTATCTGAGTCTTAGTTTTCATTTTTGGAAAATTTAGACTAATAATCATTTTATCAATCTAAATTTTCAATATAACCAACAATCAAGGTGTAAATATGTAATAATATGAAGAGCGTACCATTAACTGATTGACATGTGTACAGACTACCTGAAAGAGGTTCACAAAACACATGGGAAAGGTTGGTTGGTTGGTTGGTTGGTTGGTTGGAAAGGAATTTTAGACAAAAACATATATGATGTACAATGCATTTCAGTATCAAGCAGTCAGTATCTTCCATCTCTCACTGAGAGGTCATGATTTAATGCCAGAGTATTTTAAGATTGTGCTCCAATGCGCCAACATGCTATATACACTGCGCTGAAGACAAAATTTAATATAGATACCTTCTACATATAGACTGATAAGGAAATAAAATCAAATCCTGCAATGGAAAACTCACAAAATCCATAATTGCTCTCTAATCCCATATAAAGTGATAAGAGTTGCAGAAATAAATAGGGTTAATCTTTTAAGGAATGAAACCCCAATGAGTGATTCAATTTACTCAAATTTGATTGGTCAAAGTAAAAGAGCCAATCAGCTGTGAGCAATGCATGCAGCATGAAAGAAAACTTAGACCACATTCACAACGAGTTGAGCCATGGCTCTACAAATCCACGAACTAAATATGGTGGATGTACACCAAAGAAAAACCGCCTAATGTTTTAAAAGTCTCTCCGCCTCTCACATGCCTCGTCCCTGTGGGGGTACAGTCATTAAATCTCGGCTCCATTGGGATGACACATGGGGAGGCGTGTGAGAGGCGGAAAGACTATTAAAAGATTAGGCGGTTTTTCTTTCATGTACGTCCGCCATATTTAGTTCGTGGATTTGTAGAGCCATGGCTCAACTCGTTGTGAATGCGGTCTTAGTGCTACAATTTCTACAAAGCTTAGTGTCTAGAGTAAAAATAGATAAGAGTGTGTATAAATTGAAATCTTGCATTACAGTATTGCATAAAAGAAGATCCTGTTTCCCTTATAAAGCAAGAAAGGAAAGGGTCCAGATATTTTCCTTAAAGCATGTATCAAACCTTTGGTAGAAAACATTTGGAAAGATGCACTACATTCCATAGGACAATGCCATTTTGACTCAAGCCTTACGACATCAGATGGTATAATATTATGGACATGCAAGGTTCTTTCATTTCTGATCTAATCCCTAGAGAGAGATATACAGTGTAAGCTTTTTCTGCAGACTTCCAAGTTGAAAAGATAGTACCATACATATATACAAATTATTCAAAAATTTTCACTTTTCAATAAATAAGCGTTTAAGTTAGCAAAATGCACTTTTTATGACATTACTTATTTGCATTTTGGTTAAAGCAATTTGATCAACAAATGCTCTCATGGCTTTTAAAATCCTTTCAAAAACACAAATCACACATTTAGCAAACATTTGTCTACTTATAAATAAACTAGCTTGAAGTTCTGACATGAATGCTTATGTCATCCACTTAAGTTTCCTTATGCAAAAGTCAGTTTTATCACCCTACTAGAACACAAACACAGTTCAATCCTCAAAATTGTCCTTAATAATATCATCCCTAAACCTTGACTGTAATGTCAGCTATACAGCAATGTGCCCTTGGAAAATCATTATGTTCAAAGTGGAATTAAAGCATATTTGTTAATCGCCTTGCATCAGCAAAGGCAGCACAAGAATACCACGTCAGAACACTTATCATGGAAGCTGTTCTTCACATGAAATAATTCACATTCAACCTGATGAAGTGTGGTTGACATTTGTTTTACTCTTAAAGTAATTTTTTTCACTTATTCCTTTACATGTACATGCAGGCACAAACATACTAAAATTAATTTTTGCCACCCAAACTTTTACACCGTTTGATCATGATGCATTTTTATGCCAATACATTGTTGACTTATCTGAACAAAACACCACAAACCCCAACCACCCTATCCCTCTCATCCTTCTCTCTCTTTCTCTCACTCAAAACAGTATATGCAAAGATTTTTCTGATCACAGAAAAAAATTCTTAATGTGAATAACTTTCAGTGTTAAACAATTTTCATAATAAGAGTTCTGACATCACAACTGCCTATAGTTCCTATGATCTCTACCACAATAGTGTCGCACTCTCAAGACACACATGCTCTTAGCTTGGAACAGCCTGACATCTGTCAATACCCATAGCGTCAAATGTTCAATCAAAGAATAACCCGAGATGCACTGCTCTTCCTAATGGGCCATACATCCCTACTTACCTGCAGACTATTTTGAGACACCAATATATTCTGAAATGGCCGCAACAAATACATATATTTAAGATGTTCCATGTAGCAAATTTGTTCCTGTTCTAGACTACAGCTGTGAAACGAGAGAGATTCACTTCAATGGTTGTCAGAAGCATAGCAGAAATAAATAAGAACAAACGAAACCATCAGTTTTGTATCACTGAATTCGCTATCTGTATAAAATCCAGGTGCTCAATTTTTTGCCATTTTATTTTTCAAATTTGACACAAGCATGTGACAAAAAAAGGACAAAGGTAAAAAAATTGCCAAAATGAGTTTCCAATCTGCAAAACGGACCATGTGTACACCACATGCTGAGTAAGTAACACATACAGAGAGCATACAGAAATTCAAAAAGAGATCTATGCATATTTTTGCCCCAAATCCACAGCAATTTCCTGTTGTCTAACACGATGCTTTCAGTTAACAACTATGTGTAAGAATCAATAAGTTTAAACTCAAGTTTTTCAAAATGTTCCAACAATTTTTTGGTACCAATCCAAAGTTGCTAAAATAATACGTACAAAGAGCATTTTCAGGTGAACCAATAAAGATTTACAAAACATACTAAGAGCATTTAAGGATTAAATATTAAGACTTGGTACATATACCAACTGGTTGTACCACAATCCAGTCCATGCCTCACTCACCCTTCATCTCCATCATAGTGTATGGTATTCAGATAGCAGTAGACACAGAAACACAGGTATTAACTGGTATTAGTGAAAACACAGGGGTCAGGTTAACTACACTTACTATGGTTAAGCTAATTAACACATGCTGTGGTCACACTGTACTTAGACTGACATAAACTGATCTGCCATTATCATAAAGAGGCCAAATGACATTCGTCAGCAATTCCACCAGATGAACCCCCCCCCCAAAATATCATATAATCCCTTACAAAAGTTTCCTATATGTCCTAAAGCACTCTACTGAATTACTACAGGACTCTACAATTCAACGGGGCCTTCTCCCTCTGTACACAAATGCAGAAATTCTACTGGACATCCTATAGGACACATTTCCTATAGAAAATATCCAAAAGGGATGCTAGGGGGTTTAAAGATATCCTGTCAAATGCTGCAGTTTTGTCTATTTCTTAATCTAATACAAGTAAATCCTACTATGTGAACACAGCCAAAGAATGGTATATACTCGGGTATCAAACATCATACTCAGGTAGCTCTTAGATATATTTAAAGCAGCTCAGACCAAGAATCAACAATGTGTTAAAAACCTCGACAAAGTATGTTAACATAGACTAGAAAAGTCAAAACAGAACTTTATTTATTTTTAAGTTATATATACAGAATACTCCAGACATTTCCATGTATACAACGTCAACTACATCAAATCACTTCAGTCAACACCATCGCATTGTTAGGGACGTATCAACAGCACCACTCAGCCTCATCCTGATATCAATTACGACCATTCAATATGTAGCATCCTAAGACAAAACACATATGACATAATTCTACACACAGAGATGGTCATGGTATGCAGTGTTAGACAAAAAACATTCAGACTGCACCATGACACAGGATGACACCAATAGAACTCCGGGGGAGGGGGGGGGAGGGGGCTAGAACCATGATGCATTTTAATATATATATATATATATATATATATATATATATATATATATATATATATATATATATATATTTTTTTTT